TCGCCATTTCTGTCACGGGTGTCGACTGGAATCGGAAAATATCTGTCGTTGCTGAACTGGAATAACGACTCCACCAAGTGAACATTGTCGTGCCATCCCTTGCAAATGACGTGCAGAGGAGTCGATCCCATTGCATTGACCAAATTCGGATTGGCGCCATTTCTCAGCAGCGTTATGACCAGCTCCTTTCGGTTGTTTTGCACAGCCAAGTGTAACGGCGAATCACCCGTTTTTCGCCAGCAAAAATTTTCGAGACAATTTTGCCCGAGCACAAGGAAGTAACTAACGACGTCTCTACAGTCAGCTATGCAGGCCACATGGAAGTGCGTGAGGCCAGTGTCATCGGTATAGTTCACATCGAATTTGTCGTAAATATCAAAAAGCTTACGAACGTATGACTTCCAGTCCTGGATATGGTGTGTAGCCAAATAATGAATCGGCGTGGTATGATACAACAGAGGCGTGCCGTAATTATCAACGTTGGGCTCGTCTTTGTAGCCAGTATCAATCACGAACCTGATAAAGTGTAGTCCTGCGCGACTTACACCAGCAGACACTACGGCGTGCATAAGAATATCGTCGATTTCTTCTTTTCGAAAAATATCTCGGAGATTTGGAAGTTGACCCTCCCAATTTATGATCAAATAATAAAGTAGATGGCAAAATTGACTTCGGTCTTTTTCGATCTTCCAATTGACCGCTCGTCGCATTCTCTTCAATATTTCTATCGAGGCTGCTTTACTCACAGCCATTTTCATATACACTCACACAACACAGTAACTTACGATATGAAATATTCGTTACTTTTAATCACTCGGTGTACTCGATGCGATCTTGCACTGTTCACGCTGCGTCGTCTTCACGCGTACTGCACCATGCATACACTGCGATCTATATGGAAAGTAAAAAAAACAACACGTGGATGAAACTATACTACTATAGCGTGGTTAGAAAGTTTAATTCGTGCGCACTAGGGACCGAGTATATGTATAACGTATGTACGCTGCAATAGTAATAGTAGCACATGGCTGGGCATATAGGCCACGCCCCTACTTCGCTAGTCTTGTACTTTCTAATTTTTATCCAAGCGACTTCGACTGTACATACGTGTCGTTGAATGGTCAGTAGTCTGCACTAACACGCGTAGCAGCACTTGAAAATTAGGCTGGCACAGGCATGGACGGTCTTATGGCCGATGCCAAGTATAAATACATCTACACGAGGCATGAGATTATAACATGTGTTCTCGTTTGATCTAGAAAGTAGAAACTCCACCGATTTGATCTAGGCCGCCCAACGCGTATACGTGTCTGCTGCTGTATAGGTCGTTTTCACAGTCGTCAGTAACGGTCACAAATCGACCAGCTGATTTGCCTGGAGGCAAAACAAACCGTCCCCCGTATACTTTACATGTCAAAGTTGGTTGATAAAAGTACTTGTAATTAGTTTATAATCAAGTAAAAAATAAACAAAAAAATATCTGGTGAAAGCGGAAATCTTTGTGTATCGAAATATCGAAGCGGTTTTTAGTTAAATTCTTTAGTCTGCAAGTATAAATATATTGAAATTTCAGCTTTTTTGTCTGTGATATTGTCAATAATCTTTAATAAAATGGTTATTAAATGTGTTTTTTAGGGTCGAAATACAAACTCTCAAGCGGGAAAGTTTTTATTCTTTCAAATGACCAACGAAAAACCAAGAAACAATTGTAATTAAGAATATTATCTTTCCACCAACAGCAGACTTGAGTTGGAAGATGATTTTCATAATTTTTCGGACACATTTCATTTGTACCGAGGAGTGAATGAAACTTTTATATATTTTATGTAATACTAGACTTTTACCTCTTACACATAATGCAGATTCTTTCAACGCTCTCGGTTCGATACAATTTGCTCTCGGAGCTCGCGCCACATCACGCGTGCTTGTATAGCAGCGCTCGAAATTTCCCTCTTGATATACTTAATCATATTCCGCTGTATACGATCCAGGCGCGGCTTATATAATACATATTCACGGAGCGCGCCTCGTAATTCTTAAAGCTTGATGAACTATCCGGGAGTCACCCTCCCTTCTCTGTCTCCACTCATCAACTCGACCGCATATAGCAGCAGCAGCAGCAGTAGCGAATCCTCCAGTCTAGTATATACGTATATATCTAGCAAAGCGGAGCAACCTGCAGTATGGATACACACATATAGCTGCACGTGCAGGCACAAACTCACGCGTACACAAACACACATATATATAGCCACATATACAGTAACAGCAGCGTTGCAAGAATGTGTTTGTTGCGAGTATATAGAGCTCTCTCTCTCTCTGCTGCTGCGAGAATGGATGCGCGCGAATGTTTCGGGTGTTAATATTCCAAACTGTACACACGGGCTAGTGCTCACGAGGTAATAGTTGCAGTATATAGCAGCAGTGGCAACGTCCCGAGATGACCACATCGTAGCGAAGCGAAGTGCGCGAGCTTGCGATGCCTTATTATATACCCTGTATATAGCGAGCTGGAGCTTTCGCCCTCTCTCTCTCTCTCTCTCTCATTCTCTGCAGGATGGTGCTGCTGCTGTTGCAGTGCATGCACACATACACACTCGCCGTATATATTGCTTAATTTAACGCACTCGAGACTTGGCTCCGAAAGCTCAGGGCTGTGATTCCCCGACGCTCGCGCGCCCGAGCAAGTATGTATACGTGTGCTATGTAGCTTTTCATGCTTGCACCTATATGCAGCGCTCTATATATGCACTTTATTTATACGCCCAGCCGGCTATAATCAGTTCGAAGTTATGCGTGTGTAGAGCGATAGCGTGAAATCGGATCAACGAAATTACCATTTGCTTATGTATTTGCATAACGCGCGCGAATCCGTGTTTACGATAAATCGTGTGTGTCTGTGCACTTGCGGTCGCAAGCTGCGCGAGCGCCAGCAAGTGGAGCGCGCGTCCTGTCTCCGCGTATACATAAAAGTCTCTCGGCAATTGCACTCGCGTGCTTGCGACTTCGATTCGCAGAATCGTAACATTTTGTTGGCTGCGCGCTCTCGTCGCAGCTCGATCGCCAAGATCACTCGACTGACCGTATTCATCGCAGACACTTTCCAAGCGTGTGTGTGTGTGTGTGTCTTACGTCTCGCTTCCTATGTATACATATAAGCGAGCTTTTGCCCGGACATCTTTATGCGCGCGTATATACAATGTATAGATTTATATAGCCGCTTGGAGTTTCGAAGCGCCGCAGCGCGCAAACTTATCGTTCAGCTCGCGCGTCTTCGATACTTTGCCTATACGTATATACTATGCACATAAATACATGTATCTACCTCTCTCTCTCTCTCACTGCCTTTCTCTAGCTTACTTAACGTCAGTCTCGAGCTATCTTGCCTTTCTTTGCCAGCAGCAGCAGCAGCAGCAGTAGCTCCTGTATATGTACTGACTTTAAGCTTCGCAAAGTTAACCTTTGTTCTGCAAGTAGAGTCTAATACTTGGGCTGCTACTCAAACATGACGACGACGACGACGACGACGACGACGACGACTAAGAGGAAAGCGCAGGAGCATATTGCGTACCGTCTATATACCTGTATATACAGAGAGCGCGGAGCGAATTATTATCGAGTCGCAACGAGTTGAATAAATTTCCGTACTTACTTTACGCTTAGTTTCATGTTAAACGGCTAATTGGCTTCCTCTACTATCCCTGCCTCTCTCTTTCTTTCTCTTAAACTCTTCTCTCTTTCGTCTGGAGCCATGACTCTCTTTCTCGATCGTTTGGTTGCACGACACCCGGGCGAAGCTGCTCCTTCTGCTGCTGCTGCAGCATCAGTAATATACAACGCCTGAATGCGCATCTTCCCACGCCTGACTTTGTATACCTGCCTGACGTTGTCCGAGTTTCCTTCTCACAAAGGATGAGTTTTAAGTTTGTTATATCGACGCCACGTATACATCTACGTATTACAAGCAGTTATGGCCCGAGCATAGTTGTTAAAGTTGATTCGTTAAAGTGGCTATGGTAGATGTATAATAATATAATGCACGCACACAACGGAAGTATGCATCCATCATCATCAAAAGTATACCGCTTGTCATTTTTCTTTCATCTCTCAATTTTTTTTTTTTTTTTTGCTTCCCTCTTCTCCCCCTTTCCGCTGCTTCGTTTGACTCCCGTTTAAAACATTCTTGCGCGCTTAACAATTCCATTTCTTCGCGGAGCACAAAAGGCAGCACGATATTTTCCGCGCGGCGTACGATATGTACGTATAGTTATACTACACGCTGGCAGCTACGAGCGCATATAGATATTCGTTGCAATTGGTCTTTGTGTGCATATATAGCTTACCGGAACTTTATAATATGTTCAAGACGCGAGCTTTAATATGCAGCTGCTATATATACACCACAAAGCTCGGAATATGGAGTCGTTTATACAGCTTAAGCAAATGGCAATTGGACTATTAATAAAGTGCTATTTCCATTAAAGCTCGCGCGCGAGTATACTTTTCCTGCCTCACGGTCTAGAGCTTTGTTAAAAAGCATATTGCACACACATACACACATGCGCAAGTATTTGTGGAACGATAATACAAGCGGCTATTATTATACAGCAACGAGAAAAAAAAATAACAAAAAAGAGTATGCGCCTCAGTGAGAATGAAAACACGAGTCAGTGCTTATAGCAAGTGCATGAAAATTGGGTTTTCTTATACTTCGCGGAAGAAGAGGCTAAGAAAAATGAACTGGATAATGGTAAATTGTTTTCGTGTTTGCGAAATTGATGCTAAAGCCGGTGTATGAGAGAAAGAAGAAATCATATGGAGGATGTTAAATACTTCCATTTACTATGCACTCTTCCAATTATGCACTCTTCAATAATGGAATTGAGCTATAATTTATGGGTACTCAAAAACAAAATCGTTATTTTCAATACTATTTTTTGTAGCTACGTAAAATGTCTATATTATTAGGAATAATTAACATGTTAATAATTACATTTCAGAAACGAGAAATGTTCCCGATGCCTCGTGATGCACGAAAAACATCCAAATGTCATTCAATACAAAGAGAGTGAGTAATCATGTATTATTAAAAATATCTACATGTAAATGAATGAGATTTGAAGTGAGATCTCTATAGTTTTAATTGTCGACATTTCTAAAGTTTAAATGTCAATTATATTCAATAACATCACTATTATTTATTATTATTGATGCTTGTGCTTAGAATTACGACACATTTAAAAAAAAAATGGCATTGTATATCAAAAACCTGTTTCGAGGTTTAAAAATTATACAGTTATTTGTCGATTACCACTTGCATATTGAAAGATACAGGTACTCGGCATCTAGCGGTGAAGACTGGTATTAATTTTGATTACATTTTCATGAATTTTTCGAGCAATTAACGTCTGATTTTAATAACTTATTTTACACTAAATCCGCATTAACCCATTAACGACCAAAATGCTCGATTTTTTTGTTGGTTTTCGCAGCGATTTTTTTTGTAGTTTGAGGCCTCCAAAAAGTTTCGTATGGATCTATTTCGATGTAAAATTTAATGCCCTTTCAGAAACAGCTCAAAATTTCGATTCTTTGCGTAATAAAAAAGTTATGGCTACTTATACGAAAAAAAAAACGTAAAATTTTTTGCAAAAAATCAAGTTTTCGCTTTTTTTTCGCCAAGTTACCGTTAAGAAATCACGATATGAATATGATCAGGGGTGATCACGACTATCAAAGTATCTCAGAGAATTTTTATGGAATTTTTGAACTCCTTTTCAAACTTTGGTTTTTTGCACTTTTTATCTAAATTCAGTAGTTTTTGAGTAAAAATGAGTTATGTTTTATATGAACATAAGTTATTTTTTGTTTGAAGTAGTGGTTCGAAAATTCCATAAAAATTCCCTGAGATACTTTGATAGTCGTGATCACCCCTGATCATATTTATATCGTGATTCCCTAACGGTAACATGGTGAAAAAAAATCAAAAACTTGATTTTTTGCAAAAAATTTTACGTTTTTTTTCGTATAAGTAGCCATAACTTTTTTATTACGCAAAGAATCGAAATTTTGAGCTTATTTTCAGAAAGGGCATTTAACTTTACATCGAAATAGGTCCATACGAAACTTTTTGGAGGCCTAAAACTACAAGAAAAATCGCTGCGAAAACCAACAAAAAAATCAAGCAGTTTGGTCATTAATGGGTTAAAATCAAAGTTTTTTGTGTAACAGGGTAATGTCGCAGAAAATCTACGTTACAATTATGCATTCGATCCACTTAAGTTAACTTTACACGTTATTTTTACAGCGTTTTGCACGGTAGGCGACTGGGACATCTGCGTGCATTTGGCCGGCGACGCGACCCTCTACTCGCTCTTCCGATCGAACGCCGCGCCTTCGTCCTGTCCGTTTCACGGACCCCTCGAGTTCTCCTATACTCGGGGCGGCGAAAAATCCTGCATGTCACCGCTGTCGCAGGCCGACGCCTGCACCCAGGACTCGAAGCTGCTCATGCGTTACATGGCCTGCGCCGACGTCAGTGGCACCGAGAGCTCGAGTAAGCATTATACCGCACCACACGTATATCTAGCTAGCTGCCTCATCAATTTACCTTATATATACGTACAAGCTCGTATATACGATCGATTCGGGAGTGAAATGATTGTTTCCGATGGAATTTTTATTAACATTAACTTCCTTTTTAAATGGAACAATGTTGTATAAAAAAACTTGCCCTACATCGTTACGTTTTATGATTGGGTGAATAACATGTGCATTATAACGACTATAAGAAACACGTGTAATATCGTGCGCACGCCAACGAGCTTTAATCGTTCGCACTCGAACATCCAAGACACACATACGGAAAATTCGCATCTATTATACTCAGCTCGTGTTGTGCACATACGACAACGTCGCGTGCCTATACAATGCGCACACACTCGAAGACTAAAGCTCGTGTAAATATAATACAACACAGTGCGAGCGTACGTATATATAATATGGAACACAGGTGCGCACGCCGTAGGTATATATAGGTACACGCGCTCGCGCGAGCTTCATGTAATCCTCGAGTGCAGGAGCCCCCACGTCACACGGGCGCGATGATAATTGCGCAAAACTGTTTGTCCACTCTACGCGTACACGATATATATATGTAGGTATTTTATATGTATATATAGCTGCTCTCGCGACGTTATAACACGCGACAAACGTTAATCGACTGGGCCATTAGTCATTCATATAGGGCTGTATGCTGCTGGCTCGAGCAAACCTGCAGTATGCACGTATGTAGGTGTGTGTGTGTACGCCAGCGTGCAACCCTCTCGATGTTTGGCCTTCGTCGAACTTACGTATACATATCACGCAAAGTTGATAAAGCTCTTGGGTACATAGAGTCGTCGCGTCGTACTGCTGCTGCTGCTGCTGCTGCTGCTGCGTGTGTATGCCTTTAACGCGCGCCCGCGCCTGACGCGACTAATCGATCATTATTTATCGCGACACAGTAGTAAAGTCCCTATATGTCGCATAATATAATTCGAGGTCCTATGCATTGTTTATTGTACGCACAGCAGCAGCAGCTCTTCCTGCGATACTATACGTATATAGTCGCACCACGAAGCCTTTGCAAATTGCAATGAAAGATATATAACGCATAAAAGCGGCAAATTCAATTTCGACGAAGGATATAAAAAAAGTTTCGGAAAGAGGGGGGAAAGAAAAAAGAGAGAGACGCGATAAACGATCCGGACGATCGTAAATATATAAACTGCTTCGCAGAGGTGTACGGGCAATATATCGCGAGCGAGGCGTGTGTAGATATAGCCGGGCGCGCCGGCGATCGTGTTTAAATAACGCGGCTCTCTGCTCTTAGCACACGGAACGTAGTATACCTATATATAATAGCAGTCTTTAATTGGTATCAGCCGAATGAATATTTCACTTATAGAGAGCTGCTTCGAGATACGAGAAACAGTGTATAAGGGCAAAAAAGAGTCACGAGTTCCATAAATTTCAACAACTCCCAAGACATTTTATCGCTCAATCGATTCTTCTTTTTCATGTCGCTTCTTCTCTTTCTCGCCGTCATCCCTCGTCTTTAAACTACTACACGTAGACGTGGAAATGGAATGCCTGGCAACGTGGAAGGAGGGCAGCACGCAGTATCTCGTGGCGCGTCTCAGCGGCACCGGTATGGTCAAGGACGAGGACAGGTATCGCTGCTTCGCCTACGCCAAGTCCAGCAACACCACGTGGAATCTCGGCCAGAGCGGGGACGCCAGCTGCAACGGCCTGACGAGCGCCACCGACGGCGCCAAGACCCACAAGATGATACAGAGTGAGTTACATGCTTGTTTATCATTTATATATATTATGTGGGAGGGAGGAAAAAAGAAAGAAAATTAAAAGTACATTATAACAGCTGCTTGCATCGCTCTCGGGTAATCGTCGAGAAATTATAATACATTATTTATACATACATGTGTATACAACGGGAAAGAAAAGTTAAAGGGGTAGGAGAAGAAAAAGGCCAGTTGGAATGGGGGGGGGGGGGGNGGGGGGGGGGGGGGGTATGACGTGGCATATTGCGGCGATCCGCGCGCTGCTAAACTATGACGCGCAGGAATGCCATAGTGCTATACACGTATAGACACACACACACACACACCCAGTTGGGGTATATAGCTTGCGATCGCATTCTGTTGTTCGCCGAGGATATAGAGAATGTGTGCTGCTGCTCGAGAGCTCGCTGCTCGTGCTGCTGCTCATCCGCATAATGTATGTGTAGCACCAGCCGGCTCTCTATGTGGAATTCCTGAGCGAGCCTATACGCTATGACGCGCGTGTACTAGAGCTGCAGCTACACACCACCATATAGCTAGCTACACATGCCGGGCGCGTTCAAAAATTATTATAGCCGCGATAATTTGCCGCCGTGCGCGTTTACGCCGTATATATACATCGTCGTCGTGAGAGGGCATGTCGATAAATTATGCGCTGCACGTATATCTAGTATGTAACACGCAGCAACGGCTCAGCTCCAGTGCACACGAGTGAGCGATGGGAAAAATTAGCTTTTGAAACAATACATAACAACGCGCCGAGCCGTGTGTATTCTAAAGTTTTGAAAATCCTCGGAACCGGCCATTAGTTTGGCTTTTAACTTGGAGGAGCGAAGAGAGGGAGAGGAGAAAGAAAAAAGCGCTGCAGTTTCACGGCAGCTTAGAAAAGGTGTAAAATTTTTCAAATACATGTATATATGCTGCCGCTGCTCCCACACCGTGAAAAAAAGTCAGATATATACGTATATTCTCTTCCGAGGGTCGCGGGCGCGTACACTGCAAGTATCGCGAGTATGTGCGAACAAGAGAGCAAGAAAAAAATTTCATATTTTATCAAAAGTTATTTTACAAGTCTTGAAGCTCCGCCGGCGTGACGTTGGCGGCGCATGTGTTCATATTTCAAATCGTCGAGCTTTGAGGCAATAAATTCAGTTCTTTCCCGAGACCGTACGTTTAAGCAGCTTAAAAACTTTCGTCATCCGCGGAGGGACGAGCAGCGCCAGCAGCAACGCATTCCGTCCGGCACATCTTTAGTTTTTTTATCAGCTTCTTCTCGCTTCGTGCAGCGAAAGTACGCATATGCTTTTTTTTGCGCTTCATACCTTCGTCTGCCCTAGCTTCACTCTTGTGCATCTCTCTTGCCACGGCACGCCTTGTTACTTTGGCTTTTGATCGATTTTCATTAGCATCTCGCTAGTAAAATATGTGACACTCTCGTAACGATCCGCGGTCGAAACAAAAGATTGATATTCCATTGTAAAATGCATAACGAGAAAACAGACCGCAGAGATCGTCAATACTTTTAATCCATCAATCTTTGCTTTTTGCATCCGACGTTCCACGATTCTTCCCTTTCTGTTTTTTACTCCCTTTCTCTCGTTTCTCGCAGTGACCTAGAAAAAGAAAGAAGATAATTTTTCACCGGAGAGAGAGAGAGAGAAGAGAAAGAGAAATCCAATGTGTTTTCGATGACCGTAGCAAACAGTCAGCGTACATATACAGCGAATGTCGCCATTCTGGCATCGTTACAGTTCCCATACATATATAGTAGGATACGCGCGCGCTTGCTCTTTCTTGCGCTCTAACGACTCTAATTTCTCGTCTGTTTTGTTTTCCATTTTCCGTTCTCGTTTTTGTGCCATCTTCCACATATATATATTCGTGTATGATCCGAGGAGAGCTTTTTCTGCAGCCCTTCCACTTGCTGCGCAGTGATCTTGCTAATGACAGAAAATCTATATGAAATCGTCGTACTTTCGTAAAACACAATGCCTCAGAAGTCACGTCTCTCTGTGCACTTTTTCACTGTAACGATTGACTTTTCCTTCGGTATACATTATAATCCATACGTATTGTATGTGTGTACGCGCGTTTGCACGCGTGTTAGACGGCGGTGGCTACCAGGATCATTAATCATCGTGGCTCCAACTGTTATAACAAGTTCAAACAGTCTGGGAATCCTTAATAAACAAGGCATAATAACCTGTTATCCTAGCTCGCTTGCTCGCTGCGTCCAAGCCAATATCGCACGAGAGAACAAGCAGCAGCGGCCCCCCTTTCTCTGACCATTCGTGCGGATTATAAGCTCGACCACGCGCGCATAAATGTTTATACGCGTATATACACAGCGCGCGCGGCTATATGTACATATATATAGAGGTATCAAGTCACATTTTTCCATTACCAAAAACAAATACACTCCCATCGAGCTTCGTCGTCGCTATATGCGAATTGCAGATTGGAGCGAAAGTTTATTAACGTTTATATGGTACAGCGAATCCGATTTATATATTATTATAGATTTCGTGTGTGTGCATACGCGAGTGTGTGTATGCGTGTATCATGCGCAGAGACTCGCCCGGCATCGCTGCAGTATCGCAAGCTCGGAAAGTGATTAATCCGAGTCGATAATTCGTTACAGCTGCTTGAGCGTGTGACGATGACGATGACAAGAATTGACAGCCGGCTATAGGCCCCCTCAACCTACCCCCCTCCTATTGAAGCTCGCACTGCTGCTGCAATCGTGCAGTGACGTTGCGTAGAGAGAGAGAGAGAGAGAGAGAGAGAGACGCACGACACAGGGTGAAGTGGAAAATAGACAAAAGGGGGAAAAGCGAGTAAATGGGAGGGAATTGCAATGAACGATCGATGTGCGTTGATGACTGAAGCTCGGGCGTATTGGATGCTGTGTCGTTGGCGAAGGTTCGCGATATGGAATATGCATCGAGGGTATATTCAAGGGATAATATGTAGGATTCAATTATATGCGACTGTGCTGTTATTTTTTTGCGCGTCAGATGATGCGTTGTTTTTACAAGCATTGCATTACAATTCAGATCATTTACACAGCACCATTTCTAGATGCTCAACCTGATCGTTACTCGATATTGCAGCGTGGTTGAAACAAAAAAAAAAAATTACAGCATAGCTTCTTGAAATCTGATTATTTTCCATTTTTGTTTCGTTTTTCCACAGAACCCGAAACGCCTCGCTGCACATTCCCGAGCTGGCTGTACAAGCTGCATTCGTGGGTAGCGCTGGAATCGACCGCTGGTACGCGACTCCTGGCCTCGTACAACAATCTCACCATTCTGGACGAGCACGAGACCCAGTACACCTGTCACTCCATGGTCAAAAGTAGCCACCATCATCCGGGACGATTTCAAATTGTGACCAGAGCCACCCGAGGCTGGTGAGTTTCAGAGCGCGTAAAAGTATTTTTTCCCCTTTCCACTTTTTTTCGTCCACATTCGTTCATTTCTCATATGTCGTATACATATATACACGTACTCGTGGATTGCTTTTGACTGCTGTGTAAACATATACTACCGTTTGAAATCGAATACAGAATAACTTGGTTCGAAAAACATCCGATTTCGAATTGCATATAGAAATTTACCCAAGAATGCAATGTCGAAGGCAAAAACTGTGGCACACGGGCTTCCTTGGCAGTATATTGCTATATATACGTATCATAAATCGGCAAAGCTTGTGTGATAAAGTTTGGATTTATCAATTGCAAAATATGCGATTGTTCAGCAATAAATAATACACCGAATTTAATTGATGTTATATATTTAAAACAACTAATTTGCCTTTTCAAGTTAAAATAATTCAAGTGCTGAACAGAGAGGTAATAAATTAAAAATTTAATTATCACCGACATTGAGTAATGTTACAAATAATAATGTTATTATCTTATTATATTGTGTACGATTATTTAGTTTTTATTATAATAATTTTAATTTTAAATTTGTGAAAAAATGTGAAAGAGAGTGTGACAAATCTGATTCCCATTGAAAACCCTTTTCATGATGTCAAATCTATCGCGAGTTATGAGGGGAAAAAGTCCTTTCGAATTCCATCATGCGTTGATGCACTGTTTTACGCGCGTACATCACGCGCTCTCATGTGTGTATATTCGGGAATAACAAGAACGACGACGACGACGACGACAACGACAACGACCAGGAAAAATGCGATCAACAAGCCTCGAATTTTATTCTCGCTGGTGTATGCGTCGTTGCGCGATCCGCGTGTGCTCGGTGTAGGTAGGTATGTATTGAAAAAAATCACTTGCGTAGTTTTTATTTCGACGCACTCGTTTTAATTGGATATAAAACACCCAAAAAGCTCGATACTTTATTCTTTTGTTTTACTCTCTCGCTCGCTATGTTTTTGTTACCGAAAGCTTATCAATTCGATTCTCAATGCGAGCTATTATACAAAATAAAAACTGAATTTTTGAAATAATTTTTGTGCATTATAAGAATCATTCAAGTATCAATTTTATATTCGGACAGATTGCATGACAATTACGATTGTTTCCATGGGCATTTTTTACTCCTCGCGCGTTCGTTTACACGATTTTTGGCTCTCTCGTAATCACTCCATTACTCATCTGCGTTTTCATAATTTTTCACCGAGCCCCTCGCGCGTTGCATCGTAATAAAATTATATACACCGATACGATCGACGTTTGCGAGCATCGCGTCGTGTTAAAAAAAAAATTAATTAAGAGCAACGGGTATCGCGTGTTTTCGATTATAATACAACACAATATAACATATAATACGCGATGCGAAGGATCATTTTTCAAGCGGCGTACAAAGTCGCGTTTTTATAAAACCGCACGTAGAATATAATCGATTCACTCCGAGCGCAGGAAGTGTTTCTTCACTTTATATAATAATATACGTGTGTGTGTGCGCGTGCTGCTGGCAGCCAAGCCGGATATTAAATTCATTTTCATTAGTGTTCGACGCGCAGCGCGCTTTTCAAGCCTTGTGTCTGCGGGATAAAACGCTAACTTAGTTCGCTGTGTACTTTGAGGAAAAGAAAAATCATAAAACCCCGCGGAAAAGAAGAATGAAATTGTACTTTGAGAGCTGTTTTTTTAAGATTTCCCTTTCTCTCGCTCTCTTTCTTACTCTTTCTCCACGGTGAACCTCTAATTTATTGTATAATTACCTTAAAACGAAGAAAAGAGCAATTTTACTCGCGGAAGGAATCATAATTCAGTTTTTATCACGAGCAGAGAGCGGAACTACCCCCTTCCGATCGAAATTATCTGATAAAATATCGAACGAAATGTTTGAGCTCTATCGTGAAATTTTAAAATACTTCAATAAAAATATACCAGCTGTACATCTACATTTAGTGCTCCTATGAAAATATACCTTTCACGTGCCAAAAGAATACTGCAGCAGTAGCAGCAGCAACGACGGCGTGCGCGAACGATAAAAAGTTTTCAATGCAGCCGGCAGAAGAAAAGTACCCGTTAGAGGTTGAAACACCTCTCTGTCTCTCTCTAGCTCCTTGCTGCATCGCGCATCAGTTTAAAAAAAAACGCACCATCATCAAATTCGCCCTCAAAGTCTCTTTAAAACTCGCGAGCCACTTTTTTTCCTGCCGAAATAAAACCATAATTTTCTCAAACTTCTTTCAAACTGCGCGATACACGCACCATCGCCTCGGCGCCCGACCGCCCCGTTCGCCCGAGCGTCCATCCCGCTCTATAAATATAAATTTTACAAAAAAAAAAGACAGAAATAGAGGGACTGAGAGAGAAAAAATCGCACACAGCTATCTTCAAAGTATGCGAGGAAGAAAAATCGCGAAAATTATAACGACCAACTATTATATACGTTGGCCGCGTAGTTTATATACACGACTCCGGGACTAAATCATACAGTACAAAGTTGCATAATATTCATCGGTACTGCTGGTATACGTTATCGTATCCCACCTTCGAAATGGCCCTTGGCCCGCACACGTCTCTCTCGCTCTCTCTATGTGCATTGCGCCCCGCTCATGCTCTCGAGCTCTTGACTCTTGGGGGAAAATAATTGCCGTAGCCGGAGTAAATCTTTCGCGTGCGCGCGCTCATGGCCCGGCACCGCCAAACTGAAACATCGCCCGCGTGTTATGAATATATAGGGAACGCTTCTAACCAGACGAAGAAGAAGGAAAAAAATACGAAAAATTTTCTCCTTCTATACTTCGCGCGTGCTATATACTTATGTATACCTCCCGCAAAACGGAGAAAATTTTTTAGTGCATACAAATAAACGATCTCTCTATTATTATTAGAAAAAAATAGGAGCAAACGGCACTGGTAATGAAGTTTTTCATGAAAAGTTGTTAACACTATTGAAGAAACATCGCGCGCGGTAGAACAAAAAAATAGAAAGCCCGAGAGAGGGAGAGTGAGCGAGCGAGTGAGAGTGAGAGAGACGATAACGAAGTTGGGGTTCAGAATAATACAGCGCAAATTACATGCAGCTTCCGTGTGCGGAACGTGACTTGTACTATATTTAAAGGCTATACGATCTCCTCGACCGATTTCGTGTTCAGGACATTTCGCGTGTGCAAACTCATTTAAAATTTCACTCCCAGCGCACGAAAAAAAACCAGAGAGGGAGAGAGAGAGGGGGGAATAGAGGAGAGAGGGTACACACGGAACAAAAATATAATAAAAAAAAGCATATCAACTCAAAGTAATAATTTTAATAATATCGCGCGAGCTTTTTACCCTCGTTATAATTGTTCCGAGTCGTTAATGGTTTTTTTTTATTTTTACTTTTTAATGAAACAATACTTGTTGTTAACTCACTAATTATTGTCCGTTAAAAAAAAGTTTTAACAATGCACGTTAAACTATGTATTAACGTATTATATTTCACTGATTCAGTGGTAGTGATACGTGTGCGGTCAGGCGCGCGCTCGCAACCTTTATACATTATATACATTACATACATTATATGGTTGCATACGTATACGCGCTGCGTCGAGTGAAACTCAAATCCACCTAATCAGGCGTTTCGACGTATATAATTATTATTTCTGTATGCCGCATAATATACCTGCTATAGACAAGTTCCCCGGGTGCAGCGCGCAACGCGTCGAAACAAATTTTGCGCGCAAAACTCCTCGTGACTGAAAGACATGTCCAAGTTTATTTTGTGAATGTGTGCATGTGTATGTGTCTGTCGCATACGTACACGATCGAGAGGAGTAATATTTTACGTGCCCGACGACACGGCGCGCGTCTATATATCTGTATGAGAGAGCTTCGCCTGTACATACGGAGATATACATCGCAACCGAGAATGGGCCGCGTTATATATAGTAGATATAAATAGCTCGCGAGTCTCGCTCTCCGAACCATTTCACGACTTCTATACTACGTGAACTTCGAGCCTCGCTGCTGCTGCCGCAGCAGCTTCAGTTTCTACAGGGCAAAACGTGTTTTGCAATGCTCTATATATAAGCACCAGCCGCAAAGTTTCGCGCGCGCGTGGCAGGCCGAAACTTTTTCCCGCGCACTCTGTGTGTGCAGCTGCATGCGCGCGAGTGCGTTGGTTTTCTTTAATTTTTTTTCTTTTTTTTTTTTGCTCGGCTTGCTTGCTTGTTCGAGTAGACGAGTTTTTCATCGCACCGCGACGGCAGCGGTGCTCTCTAAAATCAACTTTGATTTTTCTTTTCTCGCGACGCGCAAGGAGAAGAGAGAGAGAGAGGCGCTATATATATACGTGTTCGAAGTAGATTTGCTTTGGGTGCCGCCCGCGCGCGCCGTTTGTGATTGATTGCCAAACAGATGTTATGGAGTAGATTGGCGCGAGTAGTCTGCGTCGAAACGATGTTTGATAAGGTTAATTTTCATTCGTTAAAAAGAAAGAGAGACAGAGCGAGAAAGAGAAAAAAGGACGAAAATTTAATAAGACCATCCGGTCGGCGAGGCATTCAATTATACTGCTAGGCGACTATTGGCACGTAGCGAAGGATTTTTCCAAAAAAAAAGGGAAGATGAAAATCTATTCTCGAATAGGTACGCGCTCGTTACGCTCGTTACGATTCCATTTTCAATTTGCCTCCGTAGCGATAATTCCATTTGCTTGAGAGAAAAATATTTTTTAAAAATTGATGAAATTTTTTATTTTATTATTTTATACATCTCTCGAAGATCGTGAGTCCGTAAAAGAGCGCGTCGCGTACGCTACGTGTATATACGACACATATTCATAAATATACGTATATATACGAAGCGGCGCAGAGCCACTATATACTTGCAGTCTGATTTTATAGAAATTCGAACAAATCGAATTGCTCGCGTGCGCCGCGCGGGAAAAGGAGTACGTGAATATTCGTTTTTCTATGTCGATTTCCTTATCCACCAACCGTGTATATCTTCCATATTTCGCGGGCAAATCGTGAACTGTGCGGTTACAATTCTATATGTGCTTTTCTTATTTTTCAAGTGCGACAAGTAAAAGAAAAAAAAACTACTCCTCCGTGTAGGCGTAAGATAAAAAATTTATCTCGATATTTTTACATCTGAATAGTTAAAATTGTACAGGGTTCGAGAGAAGTAAAGAGGAACCGTACCTTACATAAAATTCACATTTAAATTTCTTCCGGTGGTGCTTCGGCTTCTCGAGTCTCTTTTCGCCGCGTATACTCAATCATCCTTAAACTTGCGGCGCTCCACTGCAGTGCCGCCGTTCGACTCATCTTGTCGGGGATTCGCGAGCACGTATTATCGCACGATAGGAGGAGAACGAGGATGACGGGAGGGTCGTCGTCGTCGTCGAGAGAAAGAGAGAAGGTCTAAGAGCAGAGAGCACGTATAGGTATACAATATAACGATTCGGAGTTCGAAGAGGAGGTAATCAGCCTACTCATGTAATGACTTGGCGTTTTATCATGCGCCATTGACATTTACCCGGAGAATTCTCAACAATGGCAAATTTCATTCGTTCGCGTAATCGTTAGGATCGTATAACTACCGTACGTTACGTAAGTAAATGTACATTCTCGACTCCGCCGCGTCGCATTGATTAGATTATTTACGGAGTGCAGCTTGCATAAGCCTGGCATACTGACTTGGCACAAAAGACACCGCACCGCGAGAATCACGTGCGCGTGTAAATTTGCGGCCTTTGCCACCCCGGCGAAGTTTAATTAATTGGTCACCCGGTGAAAATACGAGTCTCCGAGCGCGACGACATAGTTCACCCGGGGGTAACGCGCGCGCTCGCGCATGGTTTGTATTTTGCGTCGATTTCTCTCTCTCTAGTCACCCCGCAGCAGCTCGATGCTCGATGCTAATGAGAAAATGGATTTTTGCGCGCGTACATGCAGCGCCGAGTGACTGTTGCCCGAGTGAAATTTATTTATTTAAACAATCAATTTGCTAGATTTATCCGTCCGTGTGAAAATTCGTTTTTTCTTTCGTTGGTTTTTCGTTTTATATCGTTTAAATAAGTCCGGGCGAATTTTATTATTAATTATAATTATAGTGAGATTTGATATCAAGAATGGAAATGATATTTATGCGCGAGATGAATATAGTGGCAAAACGCGCGATTGCAGGTGTTGAGGTGACAATGTATTGGGCGCGCGAGAGCGAAGCTATAACAATTAGGCGGTCGGCAGCCGCAATATTATTTAATCATACGACCCCGTTTCGGCTTTTGTTTCTCGCAAAATCACTCCCGAAATTTCAGCGCTAGCATCCCATTAATTACTTGGATAAACTCTCTCTCTCTCTCTCTCTTTCTCTCTGCGCTTAATTAAATTTCCGCTATAATAAACCCCCCGCGCTCGTTTTCTAAACTTGAAAATCGTTGAAACGTCGCGATATATAGGCTTCTTCTGAATAAATTATTTAGAATCAATGAAAAAAAAAGGGATAAAACGAAAGGACGCGCGCTCGCGAGCGACGCAGTAAAGCCCGTACATCGTTTACGTTTACGAGGCAACATCAGAGTCACGAGGTGCGAAAGAGAGACGACGACGACGTCGGCGGCAGCGGCGAGGAATAAAAAAAGGAGAAAAAAAACGACGGGGAAATATTTCGAATCCCCGAGTAACGATATATGGAAACGAGGTAACAATATGTCTCGCTCAGTCCAAGTCCGAAGGATGTAAATCTCGCTTCGACGCCATCCGCGCTCGCATCCGATCCGCATATAAAAAGCTACGAAAAGGTGTAAAAAGAGACAGGAATGGCGCTGACGGATAATTGTCGCCGATATATATAAAGTAAAATTCCGATTTCTCCCTTGGGCGACACGAGCAGCAACGCACAGTAGCAGCAGCAACAACGATGCAGCAATAGCAGCAGCAGCAGCAGCAGCAGATCTTCAAGATTTTCTTCTTCTTTCAGTAGTTCCGATGTGATGCATGCACTATACTACACGATGGCAGTTTCAACTTTTTAAGACGTATAAACTCTATTATATGTGTATGTGTATGTGTGTGCGTGTGCTCGTATGTGTGCGCGGGTGACACAAATAATGAAAAAAATAAATATTAAACCACGTATGCTTGCAGCACGAACGGCTACGTCTGCATGGTGTTTCACCGGCGAGACGATCACGTTATGGAGCTGCAGCAGTCGCAAAATTGGTCCCAGCAAGACGACGAGGCGTGCAAGCTCAGCTCTTTCAACCCCTTATCGGCGCCTTACACAACCTTCATCAGTAAGTTTAACAACACAACGCAGCAGCAGCAGCACACTATGTATAGAAAGCAGCAACAGCAGTTGCTGCGCACTATGCTTAATTGTTTCCTCGCATGTTGTAAATCATTTTGTGGCACGGCAGCTTTTCATCTCTTCCCCAATGAGGGAAACAATTAGTCTGAGCGAATGCTTGAAAATACACACACGAGTTCGATATTTTTATTATTATTATTTTTTTTTTTCAGCCAATTAAGATTCTGATTAATGTTGATTAAACGTTATCATATCTTGCTATATTTTTGGAGAAAAAAATAGTGCACCGCTATTTTATTCACGCTCCGATAAAAACGATAAAATCTACGTTTTATATCCAATGAGCATAAATTTTATCCTCTAATTCGATAAAATACCAATTATATATCAGTTCATACATGAATAGCCTTTATATATCGACTCACGAATTATTCATCCCTTTTATAAAGCTCCCCGCAGCCGCTCGATATTTTCCGATCGAAAATCATGATTAGAATTTGAAAAAAATTACACCGTTAATGCTGAAAGTATATAAAAAAAAGAGAGAATCGTGGGGATCGTCGTAAAGCAAGGCTCCGCTGGCTCGTATAACAAAAAGCGCGAGAATGTCACGTATCCGTCGTAAAGTGAAAAATTTATATGGACGCGAATCGCGCTCGCTCTCGCTTGCTCGAGTTTACTATATCACGCGGAGCGCGGCGCGCATCTACGCGCTCGCTAGAGTAAATCTGCTGCTGCTCGGCTCGCAGCCCCGCGTGCGCGTTGACATCTGCCTCGTAAAAGATTGGAAGCCAAGTGTGTAGTATTATTTTTAGGACCCGAGCGTGCTTCTTTTTACGAACGAAACATTTTCTTTTTATCGTGATCCGACTTATCGTTGGGGAATATTTTAGTAAATCAGCCGTGCGCCAGGCTGTGTACGCGACTACGCGTGCGCGTACACCAATAATGGAAAATATTGCGTGCATTATCTCGAATGCGCCGCCGCGAGCGGCAAGCGTCAAGCGTAATCCTTGACTTTACGACTGCAATCCATCTTCTTCAGAACGACACGTGCATAATATGCTCTTCATGAACTCTTACAGTAATGGTAATTAGTCGAGTAATTTGGCTCTTGGAAAAATGTTAACAATTCGATCGTTCTGATTCTCCTATTCGGTGCTCGAATGGCTTTGAAAACTTTAACTTTTTTTTGTTAAAGTATTTCAAGATATTGTCAATGATTTCAAAATTTCATTTCAGTTTTAGGAGAGACGCGTTATTTCTATTATATCCGAACTGACGCTGAGTATTTACGCGTAAAGACGAAATACACTTTTCAAAGTATAACTATCACTCGTTCGCACGCACGAACGCATACAAATCCGTCGCGCGCAGAATGCGACAGATTGTTTATATGAACGCGGGCGGGCGGAGAAAAAAACAGCAGCAGCAACTCGATTTACCACTTGGATTATCTCCTTTCGCTCTGTCCTGCGTACACATAGGAGAATTGAAGATTTCAATTTTTACCCGAAGCGCAACGCAATATAACTCAGTGCCAGTAATGGTACAGCGTATGCACGGCGAACGATGGAAAAGAGTATAGACTCTAGTGTTCATAGCGGTAGACATAGATTCGCTTCGCGTATAATGCGTGAAAAGTTTCGAAAAAGCGAAAGAGCGAGAGGAAAGAGAGGCAGAGCAGGATTTTTCGCTGATTCGAGCGACTTTTTCTATGCTCCAGTTTTATTTTTGTACCTCGTGCACGCATATAAGAGGTAAACAAGATCTTTTCAGGATGGTTTGGAAATGTTTTGCAAGATCACATGTACATATAGCGAGTATTTCTTATCAGCTTGTATATTCTGCACTGATCTGTGAATAACTTTGGATTTTCGGTGTAGCTGAATTTGTTATTTTTCTCCTTTTTTCAATTTAGTATGCAACATTAAAAATATTTTGTTATTTTTCTTAAAGTTATTATAGTTCTTAAAGCTTATTGCAGTTTCTGTTGTTTATAATTATTGTTCATAGCACCTATACTAGCTGTAAAATAAAAATAATAATGCACGATATAATAAAAAAAATTAATTATTACCTGCTAATTTTAATTTTCTTTCCCTGACAACAGCTATGGAACCAATGACCCGTCAATGCCCGTACCTCGGCCGCTACTCCGTGGTGTTCGTCACGAAATCAGCAAGCGCGGAACATAACGACGTGTGGCCATCAAGACCGTCATTGAATAACAACAACAACAACAACGGCCTGTCCAGTCAATACAATGCCAACAACAATAACAACAATAATAACAACAACAACGTCATGACTAATCACCGACGCATCGACAACGTCGAGGAAAACGTCGCCGAAGTGCGATCCATGCAGGCGACGACACAATCGCCGGCTCTGCCCGTTCGGTGTCATCAAGCACGAGTGGAGGGTCTAAATATCGGCTGCACAAAGCCCGACATCATGGAATTCGCCACGGATTGCACGGATAAAGCCTTGTTCAGTAAGAGTCTTTTTTTGTAGCCGGGGAAAATATCCTTTGAAAAATTCAATATATGCTTTTCTTGCATATTTTTTCGTCGCGCGCGCGCGCGCGGTCCATCTTTGGGGAAAAGAGGGTTGGAGGAGGGTGAAGACGAGGATCAGAGAGGCAGCTGGAGATTATAATACCCGAGTAGCAGAGCTTCTGGTACACACGACGCGTATATAGTCTGGACAAAGCCATTGAAAAGCAGGATTTAAGCAATATATAGACACGACCGCACTAGTACACGCACACACTCGCACACATATAAAGCGGAAGTGAAGTGTCTTTCTTCCTCGCTTGCCTCTCGCTGTTAACCCTCTGAGCTCTATCGGCGTGCGTGTATGTGTGCGTGTGCGCCGGCTGTGCGCTGCTACTGCTACTACTTGACGGCTGATACAGAGAAAGCTTGATTCCCGAGACAGCTTCGACAGCTTTGCAACGTCGACGATGTTTAGAGTCTTGGGCGTAACGTCTTATCGGATTACCCTGTCGTCTTTCTTCGGGCGTGCGGGCCAGAGAAGCGAAGGGGGTCTAAAGTTCAAGATAGTTAGTTTGCGGCCTGCGACGACTTGCGGAAAGAGAGAGAGAGAGAGAGAGCCCGAGAGTAAGTCGAGTCTCGACCTTTACGCTTCGTTTGCTCTGATGGACGTCATCACAGCACCTATTCTCATCTAGCGCGGCCTTTGTTATATGTACATAGCATCTTTACATTGTATATCACACTCGAATACGATTAATTGACTTTGCCTTCGCTCGCGATGGCGGTACAGGCGAAGGGGAGAAGGGCGAGGGGGCAGCTCAGTGGGCAAAGATTTCCTTAGCCGCTTCTTAATCTGCGCAGCCTCTCACCCCCCGCGCGTGTGCTTGCTCACTTGTCGCTGTTGCGCCATCACCGCCACCGAGAAGTGTGAGAGAGATCAAGAGAAACGGTAGTCAGAGACTGTACAGCGCAAGAAAGGAGCAAGTTTCCTCTGTGATTTCAGGGCTTGTTGTCTTGTAACTTTCATCCTCCCCCATCGACCATCGATTTATCCGCATTCATCGGAAGTGGCTTTATGTCTCTTTGACGTAGCCCGATTAGAAAATGACAACGACCAAAAAAACAAGAACCGCATGCATTATGCATATCGAGGCGTGCGCGCGCGCAGCGTATAACGGAAAAGCTCTCGCGCGTGCAATCTATCTATATTGTATACAAGAGGAGGCGCGCATCGACGATGTCAGCAGCCGCGTCGCTTGTTTTGCCATTAAATTCGATACGCACCGAAGCAGCGCAACGTAACGCTCGCTTGTTAAGCTTGTCAAAAACAATATGTAAGCTCCGAAGCAGACTGCCGCCAGAGGATAAGTGCACGGCTGCTTTGATTAAAGATTATGCAATCGCGCGCTACTTTCTATATGTACCTGCGTGTTATATATGCGTGAGTGTGTGTGTGTGTGTGTGTGTGCGTGTCACGTGTGTATGGGTGGGAAGCGAAAGCACGCCAGCGCAAAAGCAGCTGCAGACCTTTCTAAATCTGCGGCTATAGCATATTCGTTCTCGAAGTACGTGTTTGCTCGAGGCATTACAGAATCCATCGGCGTCGTCGAGCCGTTACCCGAAAAGCTCGATCGACTCGGAACACGGCGGATTATCGTCTCTCTCACTCTCTCGCTCTGTACGAATAGATTATAGATACTCCGTTCGCTCAAGCCCAGGCTATGTATTATAATGCGAGGAGATATAAAAAATCCTCTCTGATCCGTGGTACTTTCATTCGCAGAATATTCGTGTCACGGCACTTGGGTGGAGAACGACACGGCCTATCTGGTGGCGAGCACAGAGACCGGCCGCTACTGTCTCGTCTACAGCGCCACGGCCTCTGCGGTGACAACGCAGGGCTCCTCGATCACCGGCAGCAGAGAGCTCACCATTACCGGGCACATGGCCTCGTGTCCCCGGCAGTCGCATCTGCATAAGCACGAGTGGCGAGTCAATCTCACAGCGTACAGTAAGTTTTTTTGAAATAATGATGCAAGCTCGATACGCAGAATCCGCTGATATTTTAATACCCTCCTTCTGTTTCTTGCAGCGCAATGCGATGACGTTTCGTCCGCGTCGACGTGGCGGTCATCCGGCACTTCGCTAACGACGCACATGGTCCTCGTCGTAGGCAGTTTAGCGATTCGCTACCTGGGCAGGTGATACTGTTGCTGAATGTAAATCATATATGGCGTTGAAAGCGCTCCAATGATTATTTTTGACGCGTAAGCACCGATGGTTGTCGTCGACCGATCAACTGTTTCAAATGTCTTGGTAAAGACAAATCCTAATATACTAATAGATAATGTAGAATAATAGGCTTTTGCGCGTCTTTGTAAGTGGATTTTTTTTTATTTCATTCTTTTGTTCAAATAGGCCCAGGGATGAAATATATTTTTAAATATGCAATAGTTTTAGCGTCGAGAAATTTTTATTTCAGAATGCTTTATTTGCGAATACGGTAGACTTCGAGCATCCTTTCGAATAGATTTTCAAAATTTCACTCGAGCATTATTGAAACAAATAATTGTTTCTATTTAATTATTCATTTATGCTTAGGGAAGGCAAAGAAACGTAAGAAATCAAAAAAAGATATTATCAAAATTTTAAAATTATTCAATAAACAAATGCGTGTACCCTTGATACGGACGTAGTAAAAAAGAGTAGAAACCATACGGGGTGCTGGGGCCAAATAAATTATGAGGATAATTGCGCTTATTGAAAAGCAAAAAATATTGAAAATTTATTCAAGGATGCTAGATTGTCGATTTACGAACAGATGTAAAAAAATATATATTGTAAAATATTAACCAAGTCATTCCTGTGAATTAGTTATCAAAATAATGATTGTTATTAGCTTTGAAAACTACTTTTGTATGAAAATAAGTATCAAAGAAAAAAATTAGTTAGAAAAGGGTTCATTATTTTTATATGATATAATCATTTGTTGAATAATAAATAATATATTGAGTCTTGTATTCTGAGAGTATTGAATTATCAATTCATTTAAAAAACTATTGACAAAGTGTACCATTACATATTGAATTACAGATTTATGTTAAGAATTAATTGATTATCATGACATTTTTTTCAATAAATAAGGTTTCAAAACTTTTCTTCTACTGCTAACAATACAAAACTACTGAAAAAAGATAAATTATACATACAAGTGAACCTACATATCGATTAACTATGATATGAGAAGTGTGTAAATAATAAATCAAAACTCTAGTCAAATCATCCTCGAAAAATCTTAAATTGTGGATAGTTCTGGAATAATAATCAACAATTAAAAATGTACGAACTAATTCACGTAAAGGTCACTGCCCGATCGCACAATAGGTTAAATATTCAAACCAGATTCACTAAGCACCTCTCATAGTTGAAAAGAAAACTTGATAAAGTATGCATATTTTTGACTTAAACTATTTTAACTATAATTAAAAAAGCCGGTCTTTTCTATTAAATGTTGATTGAACGGCAATACCATAGGATTGCCGAATGAGGTGGTACCTTAATAAAAAGTACTACTTAAATACTTGGAAATGAAATCATAGATTCAAACAAAATGTCAAAAAAGCCTATAGATAAATATCTTCATAGCTTATAGTAAAAGAAATCTCTACATTGTTAGATACCTAATGAAATTTTGACATGAATCTTCGAGATACAACTATATTTTATTTATACACGCGATTAATTATTTATTTATGTTATGTATAAGTTGTTAACGTATTGTTATATGGTATAATTTACATTTGTGATATCAATTTTCTTGTATATAATAGTGTATATGAAATAGCGCTTTTTATTAAATTTAAAACATAACTTAAGGCTGTAAATAAAACGTTGAAAATTGTGTACGATAAATTTAGATATAAAAATGTTCATTCGTAATCTTCACTAAATTATGGAATATTGTAATTGGGTCGATGACAGTGTCATCTCAAGGCTTTGTAAAAATAAAAAAATAATAAAAATTGTACAATTTTATTGTATGAACGTATGATGGGACATAATTGGAAAATTGAATCACCACATTTTTAAATTTATATCAAAATCAATTTCTAATCCAATACATAACTGTAAATTAATGTATTTTCACCTAATTTAAGTATGGAAAATCATTTAACAAGACAAAACGCAATACAACGAGAAACGTCACTTAAGCGCATAAATTCATAATTATAAAAAAAAAATTATTGAAATCGATGAAATAAATGTTTTGTGTTCGAAACAGCAAAAATGTATTCTTTCTGAGGTGAATGATTGATAACTCTCTAATAAAAAAGACAGGATAGACTTTACAAGATTTCAACCGTACTGTAACATAAAATTTACGGTTAAACAAGATGTAAATTAAATGCAATTCGCATAGTTCAAATAAAATATAAGAGAATCGAAAAAAAATATTGTGACTCGATATTTATAATGGAAAAAATAAGTAAGCTGATAATAGCGCTTGGAAGTTATAAAAATGTATACATACTACGTGTTTTATGATCTGATGAAATATTACAATGACATTTACGATTATAGATGGTTTTTCATTATTATATTATAGGTGTTAATCGATAATATATTTACAAATAATCAATAATATCGTATGTTTTTATTAATAAATTCCTCTCTCATTATTAAGCGCTTTTCATGATTGATCCATATATGATTAGTAATATTAACTTATTTATGAACTGAATAAATAATTTCATTTATTTGTTTATGATTATGTAAAATTCATTTATATTTACAATTATTTACATGAGTATATGTATGATTTTTAGGTGAAACAATTCATGATTATATAAAATTACTCAATTGTTGAAGATTCTCTAGCAGACGAAGTAGTGACCCCGTGAGGATTGCCATTGAGTACCACAGTCGGCCGTCCCGGCGATGGGATGAAGTTGGAACTTCTGTGACGAGTCATTACCAATTCTCTGGTGTTCTTTTCCGGCTTTATGATGACTATATAGATTTTCGGCAGAAACAAACACGTTAATTGCACAAAAGCACTGAGGGACAATGAAAGGGCTAGAGTTACAACGCGTATGGCATTGTCAGCCGATGCCAAATAAAGAGGCACAAAGGCTAGCCACAAAACCAAAGTCGTGTAATTAGTGAAAGCTATGCGCCGAGTCTCGTTAAAGCCTTCTGGACATTTTCTCGTTTTGATGGCATAGTATGTGCATATCACTGCAAATAAGAAATTATAATGTTCGAGTTAATCGTCTTCAGATAAAATTTTGTAAAATTTAGTTAAAGAACGATGAGAATGTACCTATCAAAAAGAATGGATAAACTAATCCGACAATATAGGAATAATCATTAAAGCCTTCGCAAATAATTAGTCGCTGCTCTCTCGAAGGAAAAATGAAAATCGTTTTTGGCTTCATTCTGAGTAGCCAAGCTCCATTTATAAGAATCTCCACAGCTGTCAAGACTCCAGTGATCGTCAGCTGCGAATTAGGACTCGTATATCTACGGATTCAACATCAATTCTGTAGATTCAAATTTTCAACAATTTAATAATTCGTATCTACGGACCTTGGTTTATGAGGGCTGTTTGTCGCATTATTAAAAATTCGATGAATTCTATTGGTCTTGGTGACTAATGCGGCATAACAAATTGTGTAGCACAGACCGATCCCAAATCTAGTCAGAGCACAGGTATACTCGTTCGGCCAGGCAATGATGGCGAAGGTCATGAGAAACGAGGCCAAAATACCGAAGAGCATTAGGCAGGATAACTCTCGACCCGAGGCCTTGATTATCGGTGTGTTGCGATTAGACCAAAAAATCCCAAAGACGACAATTGTTACTACTATTCCTGTATTTGAACATATTTATTTCGTAAGTACATCGTTATCATAGAAAAATCAATGTTTTTAGCTATTAGCTAGTACAATATAAAAAGGTAGAATCAATGGTCTTTTTTCATTAGGTAGGGGATTATCAAATTTTGACGAAGGATACCAAAATACTCATATTTTCAACGTACTGAAAACGGCTAAAATGAAAACTTACCGAATGTAGCCACTGTCACGGCACAAGCAGCCCAAGGATGCGTATAATCGACAAATTTTTCATTGACTCTCTCGCAAATTGTTTTATTATTCGCCGGTAGAGTACCCAGGCTGCACAATTCGCACTGATTTTCGTTCTTTTTGCGCTCGTGCGTGCCGCAATCGCGGCAACGCGAGCAACAAGAGTCCAGACGCTCACGCACTTGATCGCTTCTGCAGGACGAGATGCATCTCGAAGTCGGAAATTGCCACTGGTCTTTTGTGTTGCCGTATTTGCCTTGCATTTGGCCGCGTAAGCGAAGCAGACTATCGTCGAGTTTAAGATCGTGAAACTCGTCACCTTCGGATGTAGCTATTTTGAACAAAATGAAAATTTATTTAAGGATCGCTAATAATCAAAAGTAAAAAAAAATCAATTTCAATTTCTAACAAGTATAATTGCCCACAATGATCCAGTGATATCCATCTGGTTTCTTTTGATAGTTTAAAATCGAGTATCTTGTCGGTCCCTCTCGTCCTTTGACAAATTTAAATTTATTGCCAGCTTCATCTGCGTGGGTCATGGTACATTATTTTTTTACATTATTTTTACATTATTTTTTAATCGTAAAAGAACAACTTATTTTCTGATGTACCTTTGAACGATACTTTGGCTAGATAAGATGAAAGTAGAGGCCCGTCAATATGACTAAGAATCTCGCAAACCATTCCTCGCTGATAATGTGGACACATTTCTTTCTGTAAATCGTGCAGAGCCAAAGCCACGGCATAAACCGCATCCCTCACGAAATGAATATTTTTTCGCTGCTTATAACCCATTTCACTCGATATTTTCATGTTAAAGTCATCTTGTCGACAGTGATCTTCACGAAAATGCTGCTGTAGCAATAAGTTAAATTTTTCGCCATTAAAAATTTTTCAGAAAGTGAATGAAAATATAGAATAAATACTTTTTCAGAACGAAATGCTAAGATAGATTGAATTAGGGGACTAATGCAGTGAAAATAATGTAATTCAAAGCTCTAAAATGCTACTTGACTTACACTGATGTAATAATTCGAATTATTTAAGTCTCGTAATTCAAATTTATTTCGAATCGTGTAACACTAACACAAGAGAGGTGGACTAAAATCATCTTACGATTTTTTCAGCTCTGTTTTTTCATTTTCCATATGGGCAATTTTTTTTACATAAGATATTAAGTGGAATTGTAAATGATATTATAGAGAAGGGTTAGTCATCCGGCAATCGTTGATAAAAAATGGTCTCTCAATATAATATGTTTACTCGTTGAGAATCTTCTACGGAATCAGGACTTCTAGAGGTCTTATTTACTACAACTTTGCCTTTTCTCTTTGTGATTTTCAAGATTTCAAGCATGCGCCTTCTAGCGGTAAAATAGGTACCATTTTGATGTTTTGTTCGATCAAAACGAGTTTTATCGACGATTCAGAAAATACTTGCAAAAACATGTGTTAGGCGCATTTTAAAACTTACATTTTTTGATCGCTTCATTCGAATGTTAAATTTAAAGTGAAATATCTCACAATACAAAAATTTTAACATAAACTTAGATTTTTGAGATATTTCCTACGAATTATGTGACTTTTTTAAACATTTTTCTTTCAATGAAACTCATCTGACACCAATCAATCACTTCAAACAATGCGATAACTCAGATTATATGAGTTCGACTATACATTAATCTGAACCTTTTTTTTTTATTAAATAATACGGCAATGGACGCGGTACCTCCTTGCATCAACCTGTGTTGATACAAGTTGTTTTTTAAATCGCGAAAGCTAGATGCTACTTTGGCATCCTCTTGGAAAACTCACGATTTTATATATATTTTTATCTTAATCAAGAGTCGAACACATCACATCACATTAAGTAAAGGGTTGAATTATCATCGTTTGATGTGTTCGACTCTTGATTAAGATAAAAATATATATAAAATCGTGAGTTTTCCAAGAGGATGCCAAAGTAGCATCTAGCTTTCGCGATTTAAAAAACAACTTGTATCAACACAGGTTGATGCAAGGAGGTACCGCGTCCATTGCCGTATTATTTAATAAATAAAACTGGGGCGCGAAAATAAAACTAGCAATTTACGGGTAAGGATTGTTTAGAATACAATACTTAATCTGAACCTGTTGTTCCACATGCAAAAGAACCCAAACAGCCGATCTAAGCTCACATCTTTAACCGACTTGAGCGTACTCGTACCGATTCCTCGTCATTCGAGACGCTTCCATTGGCTCCGCGACACCTGTGATACTCCGTCCAGAACTCGTCGAACCACGGATTCACCTTGACGTGCTCCAGGGTCAGGTTCGTGAAGTAATCGTCGAAGCCGGCCATGTGCGTGTAGAGCGGCTGAACGGCGAGCGCGCCCTCGAGGATGTGCTCCTCGTCCGGACTGAGCTCGCGCTCCCTCTTGCCCGACGACCAGATGTCGCTGCCGATCCAGACCAGCTGCTCGCTGGCGCTCAAGCGCCGTGCCGCGCGGATCACGCGCAGAGTCGCCACTTTTTCAGCGAACATGACGACGACTATGGATTAGAAAAAATTATAACGGAAGTTGATTCGAAAAAAAAAATAACTATCCAAAGAGAATTTACCTCGAATGTCCGATTTTTGTGTGATATTGTGAATGATCGCGTCGTAAATCGGCTCGTCGGAGATGTCCTTGTCGATGCAGTGCAAAAACCCGAAGCAAACGTTGTAGTTGTGCGCCAGAGCCTCGAGTGCCTCTTTGCCTCGTTTGCCGTACTCCGTGTCGGTGTAAACGAGGTACGCGTACGACCAATCGAAGTGCCTACATAGGACGCGACGATTATCGCAAAATAAAATTTTTCATATTCATCGAGCTATACAGTCGTTGTCCGCACAGCTTACTTGAGTATTTTCAACATCGCCTTGGCTTGATTCACGTCGCTCGGTACGGTACGAAAGAAATGCGGGAAACGGGCTCGGTCGCCGAGCGACGACGACGTCGCCATGTACGAAATCTGTGGCACCATGAACAGCCGCAATATCGGGGCGATCTGCGAGCGGATAAGAAATTATAATTTACGAAAACTGTGCACCAATAAGAGGAATTTTTTCTCTCGAACGATCTAATTACAATTTCTTTTTGCCAACTTTGACATGTCTTTTTATCAATGAGCGAAATTTAAAATTTCATTCGAGCTTCAACGATATACATTACAGTTTTGAACTCACGTACCGTGCGCGCGACATCGCAAGCATGCGGGAGCTTAACGGGCGGGTGCAGCCGCCCTGCTAGCGACCACACGCGCACGTATCCGCGGGTGGACGGCAATTACGTTTTAATAAGCGTAATTGAATGAGAATTTAATTTAAATTACGCTCATACATAATGGCTTGTAGAATAAAATTCCATGCAATACCTGTAACGTGACGGAACTGGAACGCGATGCCAAGACCGCGGCCACTTTGTCGAAATGGCCGCCCATGAACTTGGGCACGCTGCCGTCCGCGCATTGAAACTCGCTTCTGTTGTGAAACTCGTTTTCGTGTGCTATGAAGCCTAGAAAGTACGCGTCAATTGAAATTGATGTAAATCCCGATGGAAGTACACAACATTTTATCGCTAGTTTTTAGTCATCCAAAAAATTTTTTAGACTCTAAAGGACCTTCAGAACTAAACGTATACCAACAAAAATTGTAACATTTTTTTAATATTTAAGGGATGTCTTACATTCGACATTTTTTCAATGTCTATATTTTTTTGACGATGAAATTCAATCATATTACCACTTAAATACATTTTAATATGTATAGTATTATTTTTAATATTTAATACTTTTGAATTGTAAAACGCGAATGATTTGAAATGGTTAATTTGATTTTAATAACATAATCTTTGGCGCTGGGTTTTAGAAACCAAACTTGCAGCATAGATGAATAGCTTTCAAAACATGTTTTGACATATACAGTTCTTTTGACTTTGCTACTTGCAGGTTTACCCAAATAGAGGTATTCGCCATCTACCGGCCGAGGCTTAAAGTAACATCATCGTATTTAAAGTGGTCGAAAACTGGTCTACATTTTTTGAAATAATTAAATTATTGTTTTTAGATCGTTTTAAATGCTCGTTATGAAATCAACCAATTAATGATTATGTATTTTAAAAGATTTTAAATGGTTATTTTTGGTCATCAAGTTATTATTAATGTTGAGCATTTCTATCAGAACAACATTGCGCCAGTTATCCCATGAAAATTTGAACAAATGTCACTCAAAATAACTACGAACCTTTGACGAACTTTAACGTTTGTTCGAGGGCGTAATTAGGATTGTCGCACGTATCGAAAGCCAAGACTCCGAGTCGTACGCCGGGTAAAATGTTAGGATTACGATTGATTCGATCGACGGTATACAGCATCGCTTCCAACGGTTGTATGCCGTCTTCGATCTGTCAAAGTATGCGACATGATTTATTATTAGACTTTATGAGATAATTTTTAAGAAAATAGAGTTTTAATCACTTACGATAAAAAACAAAGTATAATTGTAAAGGAAAAAATTACCTGAATCTTACCGCAATCTTCTCCATTCACACCTTTTGCATGAACAGGAAACAAAGCTCCCAGAACTATATCACCGGATATATTTATGAATTTTTCGCTCTCAACCACGGCAATCAAAATAAACAGTACGAAGACGATAAAATTCGCAGTTGTCACTGTAAAATTATATCACTTTAATCTTGTTAAATCAAATTTATAATGAATTCTCTGAATCGATGAATTCCTGAAAAGCTCACTATTGAAAGATTACGGTGATAAACTAACATCCATCTACTCCTTACAATTCTGTAAAGTAACTTGAATCAGGCCGCAGATAAAAATTAGCGAAAGACCACGTGCAAAAAGACGCGCCGCGTCTACTCGATGCATTATATAATAATTTTTAATTATAACTTGATCGCTGCGCTCGCCGACGTTGATGCAGCCAACACGATGTCCCAGCAGGAACTGTGTGCAGTCGAGCCGTGAGCGGCCGACGACGACGGCGTAGCATCCCTTACTTGCGTGTTTGTATCGTCGCAGCTGGGTGCTGCTGCTTTTCTCGACACATAATACAGCTAAGAATATCGTAAGCTGCACACGAGCAATTTGATGGATGATGCGCCGAGAATAAGCTATTTTTCACGGCAACGCCGTTACGGAGTAATGTTATAAGCCAGGACGAGAAAAGAAGCCATGATTATTGAGTATACACGGCGTCTGTGCACACAGAGGCGTGTGTCATTACTTTTATTAAAAGGGATAAATCGGCTTGTACGGGCAAACTGATCGTGTTACTTCTTAGAAATAAATCGGTGCATTCGATGCTCTATAATTGAGAGAACGTCATGGATGAAACGTCCTCTCAACCGATGCTAAATAATCCCGAGTTTTTCCATTTTCAACGAAATCGTCGATTGTTGACGATTTCAAAGTGTCCAATTCAAATAATTCGTTAGCTGGACGCCGCGGTTGGTGGGGATATTTTCGCGCGTTTCGCGAAAATTTTGGCCGATCATCGTGCTTTCCCAATGAGTTTCAAATCAGTATCCAACTCACCGTTGTAAAGTCGAGGTCCAACGGAGGACTCGTTTGCGATTTGAAAAGTAGACCCGACGCGACGGCCGTTAATTCTTAATTTTTTTGCTCGCGCTAAACAATTAACGACTTGTTTATTCGAACTACAAGAGTGAGCCGCAAAAGTAATTGTTGATTTTTTCCATTCACAGTGCGATTTACGTATAATCAACGACATAGTCGTGATAACATTCGTACTTTAATAAAGAAATGAGCGTAATGGAATCGAAAATAACGGAACCAATGATGGAAAGCAACATATTCGTTTTACTCAATAAATTCTGTACAGAAACTAATGAATACATTGCGATATACCGTCTAAGTTATATCGCAAACGCGTTGGCAGAGTCTAGCGATTTCTACAATCATTGTCTTGCTTGGTTTTGCTTCGAACAGTACTATCTTTATTTCCAAGGCACTGATTTACTTGTGCATTTAATAATTTTGGCTGTAGATGCGCTTGAGAAGGACAGGATATTGTTAACGTCGATTCATGCCAAATTAGAGAAAGAAAAAAGTTCGCTGAAAAATCACGGTCAAGTTCATTATTTCCAGCGGCGAGCTAGCGACTTATTGATTCGTAAGTAATCGATATACAAAACGTTTATTGGCAAATAATTATAATTTTTTCTGAATTACTATTCGAATTTTACAGACCAACGCGAGCTGTACGAAATGCTGTGCAGGCAATTCATGGTGGTGATGTCGCAGCTCGAGGGAAGCCCTTATCATTACATAGAGTATGATAATGTAGCTCCACCAAACTCTGAATATGATTCGGACTTGAGCTCCAAACAGTCGCAGGAAGAGATTCAGCCACTTAATTTGTCAAAAAAGGAAGATTCCTCAGAACGGAAGTATGAACCTGATTCGAAAGAGTATTTTGCACAGGCATCGGATAAAATTAAGAAGAGGAAGCCGATGAAACAGGTTAGAGTTCGGAAGTATAAATGTTATCCGAAAGAGTATTTAGCTCAGGCATTGCATGAAATTAAGATGGGGAAGCCCGTGCCCCAGGTTATAAAGCAATATACTGAAATTCCCTCGCGTACAATATACGAAAGGTCGAAGAAAGCTCGCGAACAAGCGATCAAACAATTGTGAATTGTTTTACTTTAATTTTCAAGACGATTTAAACATCTTAACGTATTCGTCATTTACGTATTTACGTATCTAATCATTCAGTACATAGATGCTGTGTACGTGTACAATTACTCCTGTATCAATGAGATATTTGTTTACATGATCGTACACGCGGAACTTATTCATTGTATTAAATTTCGAATTTCAATGTTGGCTTGTGAAATCTTTTATAAACAAGACTTTGTAATGTAATGAGAATTTGACATAAAACTTAAGTTTAGATGCCAATCATCCGACGACAAATAATCTCTAGCATCGTAACAGGGTCAACTTTTCCATAAACACAGTAATAGAATTATAATCGTTACGAACGCGATTGATAATTGCATTATTATGCTTTCTAGCGATTTTATATTCTGTTACTAAGACTTTTATAATGTAATGACAATTGTAATTAATTGGAATTAAAAAGGGGGTTATTTTAACCAACATTTTAACTCGCATAAGAAAACAAAATTTTATATGTATCGAGGAAAATAAAAATGAATGAAATTCGATTTAAACTAGCTTATTGTGTTTTATTTTATTTTTCAACAATTACTGGTCTCAATTTAATAATATTACATGTAAAATCCTACACGCGTTAACTCGACTTCTTCTGACTGTTTCTTTAAAAAATACCAAGTAAATATTGCGACGAAAACAATAAAGTCCATGGAACAATATCTATTTCGAAGAAATTAAATGAGAATGAAAAATTATCAAAGGTCTCGTTAATACATGAATTCTCATGAGCGATAGTCTTGAAGAAACATAAATGATAGCCGCACCAAGTTATGAATCAGATCGCAGATATAATATTAGACGTAGCGTATCTGCACTCATAGGCACACACACAACAATAGGACAATCTGGCGACGATCGTGGACAGCAGCACGAGGCGGCAACGGCGGCGTTGAGAGGGCATCCATCCATCTATGTATAGCAGATTGCACATCCCGAGCAAGCTGTGTGTATTGTCGCAATTATTCAATCACTGCACTTTATTGTGTGTACGTGTGCGCGTGTGTCCGAGCGCGCAAGCTCTATCTCGCGCAGCAGCGGCAGGCCCTTTACCGATCGTTTTTGCCGTGGCATAGTGCAGTTTTAGATGCGGCGGCGGCGACGGTGACGACGACGACGAACCACTTTGAAAGATGGCTTTGTTCGCCGAGCTCGAGCGTTACGACTATACAGCTACCGATGCACAATAGATCGCTCGTCCGTGGCTTGATGTTGAGCTTTTCCAGAGCCAGAGGTGGACGTTTTTGTGCGGGATCATTATGTAACCCGGTGAATCGCTGTCTGCTCGATCGAAGAAGATGTCGATGAGTAAAATTCCAAAGAGTGGGTGATAAATGTTTTTCCGAGCGACGTTCGATTGGAGTTGCGAAGCTGACACTTCCGTTCTATAATTCTCGTAAGTTGATTTTCTCACAAACGTAAAATAAGGGTAACATAAAATCGATCAGCAGATTCCGTTGATCTTTTTCGACCGATCGGCTTAGATCGTCCGAAGAATCGCAGCGAGTACAGGACAACGAAAGAAAGAAGAAAAAATGGGCGACTACGCGGGCACGAAGCAGTTCAACGCGATCGACGGCGTCGTTTTCACCGGCATGCTGGGCGTATCAGCTCTGGTCGGCGTTTATCAGGCCTACAAGTCCCGCAAGAATCCCGAGGCCGTCAAGGAGTATCTCGTCGGTGGCCAGAACATGTCCATATTTCCCATCAGCATGTCGCTGATCGCCAGGTACGATCACGATCATTGTACAAATCGTAATCTCTCGACCTCCATCGTATACGAAGCGTCACTCAATCGTCACATTAATTGTAACAATGTATGTCCCGCTAATATTTAGTTACATCTCGGGCATCGCGATACTGGGTTTACCCGCCGAGATGTACGTATACGGCACGCAGCTCTGGTGCATCGTCATCGCCGACTGCTTCGTCTCGCTCACGATGGCCTTGGTGTATCTTCCGGTTTTTTACGGCCTCCAAATAACGTCGTCGTACGAGGTAACTATGATAATAATGATAAAATTAATGAAAGGATTTCGTAATCGTCTCCGACGTCGCGTCTCGTTTATTACATTTGCAGTATTTGGAAATGAGATTCAACCACGTAACGAGAATGATCGGATCGATCATCTTCCTGATAAAAATGGTAAGTCTCACTCTGTGCTCGCGCCCGACGATTTCGCGCGTTTATCCGTCTCGCTCTGTAACTTAATAATATTCCCCCTATGTTTTGACACGTTTATTACATCGTTTTGCAGCTGCTTTATATACCACTGGTCATTTACGTGCCGGCGCTAGCGTTTAACCAGGTCACCGGTGTTAATCTGCACATGATAGCGTCGCTCGTCTGCGCCGTCTGCATATTTTACACGTGTCTCGTAGGTACACTTTTTTTAAATGCATCTCTCGCGCTATATCTGTTCTTATTGAATTGACGATTTGTAAAATGGCTCTTGGTTATTTTTTAAATACTTTCAGGGTGGTCTGAAGGCGGTCGTATGGACGGACACGATCCAGACGATCGTCATGTTCGGAGGCGTGATCACAGTGGCGGTGATCGGTACCGCGCGAGTCGGTGGCGTCGCCGAGGTTTGGAAGCGCAACGTCGCCACCGGACGCATCGAATTTTTCAAGTAAATCATTGACAGTACACTTGAGGGCGTAAATGCTTCTAAAAATTCTTTAACAAAACTCCGCGTATATAATACTTTTCAAGCTTTTGTAACTTTTTGTCGAGCGCAGCATGAATCCCGATCCAACGGTGAGACACACCTTCTGGTCGGTCGTCGTGGGCAACTATCTGAATTGGCTAGCGACCTGCTCGGTCAATCAAGCCATGGTTCAGAGATGCCTGGCGATGCCGAATTTGAGAAAATCAAACATGTTCGTAATATCGATAAATGCAACGATTGGAAAATATATCATATACTCGTGAGACTGCGTTAACAGAGTAAATTTTTTTTCTCATTTCAGTACGATAACCATTATGGCGATCGGTATCATTTCCATCGTTTCTCTCAGCTGCTACTCGGGAATTCTCATTTTCGCCGCTTTCTTCGACTGCGACCCGGTGACAACTAAGGTATCGTCATCGTTCGGTATTCGATTGATCAATTGATCATAATGTAAAATGGAGCTGTTGTTTTTTTAGCAAATACGCAAACCCGATCAACTTTTGCCGTATTACGTGATGGAAATGGCTCAATCTCTGCCGGGGTTACCTGGGCTTTTTGTTTCGGGTGTTTTCAGTGCTGCTCTAAGGTAAGTCAATTACTTTCGGGACCAATATCGAGACGAATTAGCGCAGTTACGTTTTCAATGATAAAATGACTATGTGCCTTTTGGCAATTAGGGATCGCAGTCTTTGGTTGTTTAATCGCTCGAAAAACTGAGATTAAAAGTTGTGAAAACTAAATTTTCAAGGATCCAAATCAAAGTCTGAAAACGGTAATTTTTTCCGAAAGTAAATAGTATATTAATAATCAATAAAATATCAGAAAATTCACGTGATGGCTAGAGAATTATTAGATTCTTTAAAAAAAAGTATTCATTTATTAAATTATAAAACGAGCATCTATGAATTATTTCTTCCAATGGCTCGATGAACAGTAAATATGTGACTCATCAATTGACGTCTTTGATCAAATGTTTCATGGCATTCGTTGCATTTCCTCATCGCTTTATTTCTATTGATTGTGTATAATTTCTGTTTTGTATTGTCTTGAATGTTCAATGACGAATTTGAGTTGTTGGATTCTTGTTTTTTGGGTTCATCATGTACTCTCATGTGCCGTAATAAATTTTTTTTCCATTCAAATACTTTGTGGCATGTGTAACACTCAAAACCTTTTTGGCTTCCGTGGATTCCTTTTTTATGATGTGTCAAAGTTTGTTTAGTTGCAAATGCTTTTTGACAAACGTCGCAAATGTGGTCTTTTCTTCCTTCGTGAACTAATTTTTTGTGTTTCTCTAAGTGTCCCGGTTGTTTAAATTTTTGTTGACACTCATCGCATACGTAGTCTCTTTGTCCTTCGTGAATAGTTCTGCGATGAACTTTCAAGTAGTGTGTTGTACAAAACGCTTTATGACACACGTCGCACACGTAGTTTTTTTCTTCATTGTGAACTGTTTTGCGATAACCTTCGTGATTTTTGTGAACTGAATCACGATCAAGTGCCGAGCAATGTTCACCGATAGACGCCATTATTTTAAACTTCTTTGGACAATTACCACACGTAATTGATTAAAAGAATTTAGCAGTTTTAACTTTATCGATTTAGGTATACGTAATTTTCTGACTGATACTTTTTTAAAAGTACCGAAAAAATTGTATACTCGATTGATATTTTTCAAAAAGAACCCATTTGTGTTCATCAAATACAGTTGAATTTCATGGAAGATAGGGTAACACTACTACTGACCAAGGAAGTTGACTCGAACGTACTTGGCTAATTGAAAATTGTCAGATTGAAATTGTTTTGTTTACATACCGAGTACCAAACTACACGCCTGAATAGTCGAACGAAATGATATTATATGATATCAACCGAGCCGATAAGTTAATATATTTCATAGGCACCATTGTTTTAAATGTTTCTTAGTTCTTAATTTTGATTATTTATAGGGTTATTATACAAAACAGAGAGAATCCTAAATAAAAAATATTTTGTCACATTGCGTAGCACAATGTCGACGGGTTTGAACTCGATGTCCGGCGTGATCTACGAGGACATGATAAAGCCTTGCCTCAAGAGGCCGTTGTCGGATTTAGGAGCGAGCAGAGTCATGAAGCTCACGGTCGTCGTCATCGGGGTCGTTTGCGTGGCTCTGGTATTGCTCGTCGAGAAGCTTAGCGGACTCATACAGGTATAAGTCGAGCTCAACGCGGATCGTTGATTCGGATTATTTTGATAATACGCCGTTTTGACAGGCAGGAAAAAGTCTATCCGGCATAACAGCCGGTCCACTGCTGGGCATCTTCACTCTCGGAATGTTTTTCCCTTCGGCCAATTCTAAGGTACGCCTTATTTGATGCAAATTTTCTTCGCGAAAATTGATGAATCATTTGCACAGGGAGCAATAGCCGGAGCTCTGCTGAGTCTGAATCTCGTCGCGTGGATATCGTTCGGTACGCAGGCCTCCGTGGCCAGTGGACAGATCAAATTCCCCGTGAAGCCCGTCACCGTCGAGGGTTGTCCCGACGCCCTCAAGGCCGCCGCGAACAACGTCACTTTGCTCCTTCAAGAAGCCCATCAGTAAGGAGACTGATTGAATATACAATGAAAAGAAAAAACGCTTCGAGCAGAGATATTTAACAAAAAAAAAAAAATATTTTCTTTCTTCTTCAGCGAGTCGCCGTTTTTCCTCTACAGAATGTCGTATCTCTGGTACACGTGGGTAGGCTTTTTAACGGCCATCGGTGTAGGACTGATCGTTTCTTGGATCACGGGCCCGAACAAGTACAAGCCGGAGGACAAGAAACTTTATACGCCCGTCATTCATCGTTTTTTGGCCGACGAACAGAAGGTATGATATAACGTCATTTAATTAGTGAAATAAACACGAAGTAATTTTTTACTTTGTTTTCAGGAAATATCTTCGGAATTGAAAATAAGACGGGAGAAATGACACAATATCTAACGATAGATAAAAGTAGTTAGTAATAATAGTGAAGTAATTATCCTAGCTGTATAAATATATGGTTTAAGGTAATTTTAATTCTAGAATAAATCATCGATATTAAAGTAAATTAAAATTAATATTTACGACAAATTCATAGCCCTTCGAAATACGCTCGTGACCAGCATGAACAAAGAATTCTAATTACAATTTAAAAAAAATGAAGAAATTAACCGAAACAATTGTTATTTTTCATTTCATACACAATAATCTTAAAAATATCAACTGATATCCAGATAACAATAAAATGGCATTAATTATTTGCACATATAAAATGTCGAAAATATTACCGTAATCGGAATAATTAATAAGTATGATAGTTTTGCATAATACAAAATAAGCAAGCAGCCTACTAAGGCCCAAGTGAGTTATTGGAATGTAACGAATAAATGATACATTTTCATTACTCACATCTGAATGGAAATGTTACAAACGACCTAAGCATTAAAACTCGTTGATTGTGAGCTCATCCGACGCTGTCAATAGGAACTCAGTAATGTTAGTAAACATAAAGTTTGTTAAAAATTAAGAAGTAAAATGTTTTGTTTCGAAATCGTATTATTTCAATTTTTACAAAAACAAGTACAGTAATTATTATATCTTTATATAAGCTTGACATACAGTTTCGAGAAGAAGAGAATATATTCTGATTATTACTTAATTATGTCGAAAGAAATGGATACTAGTGGGTATTTTATTTTCTCTTTTAAAATATCTTTTAATGATGAAAACTCATTACTCTTTTTATCTTTTACAGTGCATATGGTAGTACACTAACCAGTTAGTAATGGATTTTTATTAAAGATCATTTTGAATTGTACGCTAACTACTCTGAGCGATGAGGGACGCCATCTTACGGTGCTCGCGCAATCTTATTTTGTATTATTAGATATCGTCAATTGAAGTTTTTTTCTAATAACTTCGTTTATGTTCACATTTTTAACCTTATAATTACTTGATTTTGTATATTTAAAGACACATCGTCGATAAATGCCGATTTTCCAAAATATTTTAAAATATTTTTAAGAAAAAAAACATATTTCAATCTAACACAGAAGCCGATACAATTTCAATTTTCCGGTGAAAAAGAGAAGGCGCGCAAATTTTTTTATGAATTATTCTGAAACGCGCCAATCTTTTTCAATAATCGCATATTTCAAATGATTTATTTTATTTGGTGGTGGGTACGTACATTTTCGTGACAGTGCATAGCAGGCATCATAACAAACATGTTATACCTTTGACTCGTTGTCAAAAAAAGATGCTCGTCTAATTAACATTAATTAGATTATTAAAGAAAAGAAAAGAAAATGTCAAGGGAGGACTCCCAAACGAGACAGTCGGAGTTTTGTTCAAGTGAAAATAAGTATGAGGCGTCCGATCCTTGGAGATACGCGGAAGACTCCGATGGTTCTGAACAAAACAGAACGTGCAGTTCTCCAGTCGATGAACCTGCTTCAAGTGTACATTTTGTTTTTTAATTTTTTTCAACGCATAATTTCATTTTCAATTGTATGACTAATATTAACATTTTTACAGAAAAATTTCAACAAAACTCATAATGTGAAAGTTCAAACTGATAAATCCACATTGCTTTCATTGAAGCAAGACAAAAGGTTTGATACAAATGTCAATAAAAAATGTGCAAGCAGCAAAGAAACATTTGAAAGTAAAAAGATGGTTTTTACAAGTAATTTTGATGCTAAACAACAGCTCATTAATGAATTAGAACATGTAAAATTGAAAAAAACAGGTCTGCAGTATGATCATGAAAATGCTAGCATCAGACTGTCCAATGATATGAGAGCAGTTAGGGCTTTTGACGAAATTTCTGAAACTGACTCAGATCAACCTACAAACTATTCATGGTGTTATGATGAAACAAAAGCTGGCGATGAATCCAGCATTGATGATAAATTAGGGATATCAAAAGCAAAAAGTGGATACAACAAAGAATCAAGGAACAAAAAAGAAATATTTAGTTCGAGTAGGAGTTTCAAGGAAATTTTCAATTTTTTTAAGGATCGTGATAAGAAAAGATCAAATACTGATAGCACAAAACTATCTGAAGTAGTGGGTCCAAAGTTTTTAAAAATACCTGAAATCCATGAAAGAAAGTCTGAAGCATTTTCCTCATCAGTTCAATCTTCTTCATCGGATCAAGAAAAAGACGTTAAAAACAGAGGTGAATCTGAAATATTTCATCAGACTCCTTTGATGTTTTCTCGGTGCAGTTCATTGGGATCATTAAGTGGATTTGAAATTAATTCAATTAATGATGACAAAAGTTCATTTGTTAGTGATTTTAGCAGAAGAACTAGTGGAGTTGTATCTCCAAGTGAAATTCCAGATTCGCCAGCTCCAATGGTTTTAACCAATAATAAATCACAGACAAAATCTCAGTTGACTTCTTTTGGAACTAAGAAACCTTTACCATCACAATTTGATAAATTCAAGGTGGAATATTCATAATAAATTGTATCTATTCTATTAATTCTTAATTTCTATTAATTTTTTCAATTTTATTTTTACAGAATCCTTCATACTTATCAAGTACAACAGAATCAGCAAGTGAAACTTTAAAAAGGCTTCCAGTAGCAAAGATGAGTATTTTTGAAGATCATCTAACATCATTTAAAGATGAATCAACACCAAACAAATTACATTCTATGGCAGCAAGTAGTTTGAGTTCTTTAACAATTGATGATGATGATGATTGTGATGTAATAAATAAAATCCTTGGTAAAGATAAAATGAACTTATTAACTACAAATCAAATTAAAGTTGATTCCAAAGAATTAGTTCAAGAAGCTACTCTTTCTCTGAAACAAACTTTAAACAATGAATTTTTAAATCTTGAACAAAAAGAAAATGTAGCTGAAGAAGAAAAAAGTGAAGTTGTAGATTTAACGCCTTTTGAAGAACAAATTCTTGATCAATGCATTAGAACTGGAATAGCAAAGTGGATAAAACAAAATGTAACTGAAATAAAACCTTTTAGTTGGGATTTAGGAATAACATGCCATGCTACCCAATCAATATTAACAAGTAAATTAAGAAAAGCCTTAACAACTGAATTGATTAGTGCTAAAATTGAGGAGCAACTGATTCATCAAAGAAATCTCATGAATAATAATACTAGCATTAATAATGATGATAAAATTAACAGATCTAAAAATGAACAGATACCTTATGCTAATGAAGAGAAATTTTCCTCCAATTTGCACAATATAAACAGAGAATTAAATATTCAATCCATTCCTGAGGAAAGTAATGGAAATCAAGCCAATGATCATTTTATCACCTATGAAGAATATCTTTTAGATCAATGCATTAGAAAAGGTATGGCAAAACTTACAAAAAGACATGTGAATGATTTCAAACCATTTAGTTGGGATGTGAATCGAATCTGCCTTACTACAAAAGCTATGATGATTCATAGTTATGAAGATAGCATGTACAGTAGCCATTAATCAGCCATTAATCATTCAGACTATTATTAGTGATAAATTTGGAGTCTACAATAAAAAGTTAATGTGATAAATAAAAACGTAAAAATTAGACTCACAAAATAATGTAGGGTACAAACATTAATACACAGAGAAAAAGAGTGATAAAATTTAAAATATTTTAATACTTGTTATAAAAAATAAAGTGCATGTATGTGATTTTTAGATTTTTATAAAGTCTTCCTCAATTTAGTATTGAACTATCAACATTGTATAAATTCACTCAAATAGGTGATTAGTTATTAATTTTATGTTACATAATTCAGCTTTATTGTTTGAAAAAAGTTTTTTATAAAAACTAATTAATTGTAAAGTTGATTATAAACGTAATAATAAACAATAAAAAATGTTGTAAAAAAAGAGTAAGGTTTTATTATTTTCAAATTTGTGCTATAAGTAAGTTTTGTTGGAAATAAACATTAACCCATAGTAGCTGAATTGTTTACAGTATCTTCTATTTTACATGATGTTAAGAAGCGTTTCTAATTTTTATATTATTTTACAAACTTACAAACATTTCAATTCATATCTTCATGCTATTACATACTCATTGCTTGTACAATTTCTCATGCAATCATGCGCTTATTCACTCTTACACTGGCTAATTTTTACAATTTTTAAACGCCGATAAATACTAAAATTAAACATTCAAATTGTAATCATTGTAATTGTTTTATGTATATATGTTTTATAAATATATACGTATATGTACTAGATATTCTAATTGTATACAACCTAATTTAGTACGTCATGAAGTCTCTAACTCTAATATGTTCTATTTATAAATTAATTTACACACTATTATTATCACAAATCAAAACAATTAAGAAATATTATATTAGCTCACTCCATGACTATGCATTATGTACACATCACATTCAATAGATACGAACTGGAAACTCAGAATAGAGTTCATTTTGCTATTTCTCAATCTTGATGCATAATTTATCAAGTATGTTTAATATCATTAACTTTGATCAATTAATTGATAGAAGTATTCACCAGTACTTAGGATTTGACATTTTTTTAAAAATCTGCTTTTGTTTGGCTTAAATAGGATTTTGCTTATACTACAGTGAAATAGATGCCCAATATAGTATCAATTTCTAAGATTCAAGAAAGCCTAATTAGGACAATCATGATGTAAGTGGAGACATTCCCATAGCTCTGGGATCTTGTTGAACCTGCTGATTGCTCATTGGTAAAACTGTTGGATTGGGAGGACCAGTTTCTAAATTCTTTAGTAACTGGCTCAACCAATGTTCAGTGGATACATCTTCTGACAAACAAGAAGAAAACGTGCCATCTCTTAATTGATCTGGTAGACACTGCCTCAAAGCTAGTAATGCTCTGAAAATATTATATTACATTATTATATTTTATTTATATTAACTTTTAATTAATTAATCAATTAATTTTCATTTACCTAGGGTTATCTGATAACCTCAGATAGCATCTAACTACATGTTTTAACAAACGAGCTGATGGTTCTTTAGCTAATGACAGGACCATTTTTCCTAAAATCATAGCTACATGACTGAATCTATCATAAGTCTGACAGATATAAGATAAACCACTATCATCCAGTAGTATTTTTTGCAGAATAAAAGTTGCCACAGTCTTACTCAATTCTGAACCACTTTCCATTATACGTAAACATAATGGAATGATTTCAGTTGTTAGCAGGAATGTAACAACTTCTTGTTCATCTGTTTTTACTAATGCACCTATCACTCCTAGACTAGTTAACCGAAGATACTCAAAAGGTCTTGTTTTATTAACCGTATGTAAAAATGGGTACAAGAATAATGGAATATGTGCCTAAAATAAAAGAAAAAAGTTATAACATAAAAATACACACCAATAGATTATTTTATTAAAAAATATATTAATATAAATACCGATAAAAAAGCAGATCTAGTGTCCGGATGACTGGCAAAACATTGCAGTAATGCTAAAGCATTACAGACTCTATTACTTTGATGAGCTGTAAGTGTTGCTGGATTAATCGCAGGATATATATTAATGATTTCCTGGAGTAGAGAAGCAACTGTGCCAAATGAATGCCAAAGCATAGGAGCTAATTCTGGGACACTCTCGCGCTTCTTACTCAATTCCAACAGAGCATTCTGTCGAGTTTCTGGATTTGACAATTCTATGATGTAAGTATATAGTTTCTCTCGTTCCATGGCTGCCTGAATAGATTGCGGACTTTGCTGCTTGCTACCCATTTTATTTGTATCAGTTATTTCACTTTTAATATATGAATTGTCTAGAATGTTACTCTTTACAATATCTGATATGAGTTGTTCAAATTCTTCAGGATCTTCACTTGAATATCTGTTTTTGCAAGTAGAAGTTTTAATAACTCCTAACCTGTAACAAGCACATAAATTATTAAATTTATGACAATTTTGGCAAATTGAGACCTTTTTTTCGCTAAATGTCAAGAGAAAAAGTTGTCATGCCGCGTTCAAGTATGAATATTGACATGCCTTATTGTGGGTTAGAATGAAATGTCGGAAAAGTCGAGAAAAGCGACACTGGGGCACTGTTCGTCCGAACAAACAAATGGAAAACGAGCGACGCGACACAAATTGACCGGTTTCGCCAATTTCTTTCAAATGGTCTTTAGCAAGAAGCAACGGAGCGACGCGTTTTTCACGTAAGTATTTTAATTATAACTTCACTGGAGATAGTCTCGAGGTGCACCTAAGATGACTGAGGCCGCTGAAAAAAACATGTACACATAACACACTTTCGGCTGTATCTATATCATAAACGCGCGGCGCACACGTATGCACACACATACGCAGCAGCGCAAATATATTGAAGGAACGCGCGACCGCGAGCGGCCCCCTCCCCCATCGAGACATACACGGTCAGAGCCGGGCTACGTAACGTAATACACAGCGCGTTTATTATGCGGGTGATTCTACACGCGCATTCGGCGAAATTTGCAATCGAAACGATCCCGCGATCTCTGATTGTTAATCGAAAGGATTGTTACTTTTTTAGAGCTGGTGGGAACGAAGAGAGAAGGCATGATTGTAAATCAAAGTCTCGCACGGGCCAGGGCCACGGTACACCAGACGAAAACAAAGAGGCAGCAGTGGCAGAAGGCAAACTCGAGCGTCGAAACCACGTTTCGCGGGCTCGGTCACGTTTCGTTCTCGCAAGACACATCCGTAACATATCCGAATTTTCGAACCGACTTTGAACGTATACGTTTCAACGGTGTTGTACTTCGATTTCACGATCAACAACGATATTGTGCATCGTGATGAAACTGAGTGGAAATTTCGAAGTAATATTGTGAAAAAAATAACAAAGTTAGAGTATAAAAACCTTTCCATCTTCTTACAATCTTCCCAAAGTTTTTCCGCTAATTCGGGATTCAAAACTACTCGCGGTAGTTCGAGCATCTCGTGCATTACATCCCTCGGATGTAGATGTACGTCAGAGTACTTCTCTTGGTACCATAACAAGTAACCCGGATGATGACAGTCGAATGTAAAGTGTACCGGTCCTTTCATCTTTTTCGTCGTTTTTGTCTTGAGTTATTTTGTGTTAAAAGTGATGATTAAAATCAAGTCCTGAGTGCTTTAAAAATGTATAAAAAACGAGTCCTTGGTTCGTGCGATCCTACGCGTGTCGACTGTCCGTTGGGTTGCAAGACGTTTTACGCCACTGACTGGTTAATACGATATGATTTTTTGTCCGGGCCGTTCGGGATCGCGTATAAACAAAAACACCCGTCGTAACTCGCACGGCGTTTGTAGAGCAGTAGTGTCTACTGCCTAAATGTCAACTATATATACGGGTATAGTGTCAGAACAGAACGTCGTTACTCGTTTAAGAGTAAGAAGCAGCCGCCAAACAATTTTATAGGATCAATATGATTCCCAGTATTTTTCAATTCACAGAAAAAATAAAGAAATGTCAATTCGAGATCTATGTAGTTCTACATGATCGTATCTACTAATGGTAAGTCTTCGTAAAACTGTAATTATTTTATCATGTTATGTATTATTTTATTAATTTATAGTTTATTATGAACTAATTAAAGTACGAATAATTTATGCAAAATAGGGAAAAATTTCTCATTTAGAAGTCATCATCATCGCTGACTCAAATGCACTGCTGCTCCCGCGGGCAGAAATTAGCGCGATGTGTAAAGTGACGAGTCAACTTTGAAATAAGAGCTCTACATTATGAGCTTTGTAAGTACGCCGGGCGTACAAACACACACACACACACGCACAAACAACTCGCGCATGCCAATAGAAACATCTTCTCCTCGCCGATGACTGTAATGTTCGCACATTTGTCAGTTCAGTTCAGTACGAACCGAGCTTGAGTGAGCAGCAAAAAATAGAAGACAAAAAAGTATAGCTTCTTTGCGATACTCATCCGTGCCTTATTAGATACAAACAGAGTAACGCTTTCGCCGAGCTTCGCCAAATATTTAAACAGTCGCCGAGGTAAGGCATTTGTTTGATCGTTCGTTTAATAACCGTACTTTTACCTGAATGTAATAAAAATAAATGCAATTCAAGATATGATATTCGTGCCAAAATCACTCTTCTTTTATGCAATTTTAATAAAGCCCGGTGAATTTTTCATGCTTTAATAAATTATTTCTAATGGATATTCTCACCAAGTTTTATTTTACCATAGTCTCTTTTCTTAGCGCAGCATCGACCCACGTGTTTCGCACTTCCTTTCGCCAAGCCATCTATGCAAATTTCAGCCCTCTATATAATGTACTCGGCGCTTGTGTACCTTCACGCGTACATAAACCACATGATGCAATATCGATGTTTCGAATGTTTTTGAGCTTTCGCAATATCTTTTCCCTATGGATAACAAACGCAAATTTTTTTTTATCGACATTTCGATAAAGTAACGCACTTATTTTTAGACGCTCTCAATAATCGAAGTTAGTAGCGTTTTTAAATTTCAACCATTTTATTCGCGGTATTGTTAATGTTTCGTGAAGTAAGAAAGTGTAATTTTCAAAGTTTTAATAAGAGCATTGTAACAAGCAAGAGTTGACTTGTATCGCAGTGATCGTGCACTATTGCGGTATCTTGTTTTTGAACTTCAAGTTACTCAAAAACATGAGTCAAAAAAATAATGACGAAATAGATGATCGCAATTTCTAAAATCAATACTTACTGTTGATTGTTCAGATAAATGCGAAAATTTTTCAAAATTCGGGTTTAGCCCATGGTATAAAACTACTAACTTTTTAAAGAATGTTGCATCATTACTTTTTGGGTCTGTCTGTACATCTAGACTCCCATTTCCGTTTGGTTTCAGCCGGCTTCATCTCGTTGGATCGATGGAACTTTCCAATAAACCCGATCTCTAACGGTGCGCCGCTCGATTGCGTGGGGCTTCGTCTAGACACAAATAATGAGATACATAATCTTGAAAACTTTTCGCTTTCAGAACTAAAAGAAAAAAACAAAAACAAAACAAAATGCCGGCAAGCAACGAACAAGGCTTTTCCACGAAAGCCATCCACGCGGGTCAGGACCCTCTGCAATGGAGCCACGCATCGGTCGTGCCACCGCTCGTCATGTCGACGACGTTCAAACAATCGGGGCCAGCTCAGCACAGCGTTAGTACAACAAAAAAATATTTTTTATCCATCGTTGCATATTATGCACACGTATGAATCGCGACGATGTCTCACACCCGCGCAATTATGTTTATACAAACAGGGATACGAGTACGGCCGCAGCGGCAATCCGAGCCGTAACTGCCTGGAGACGTGCCTGGCTGCTCTCGACAACGGCAAGCACGCCGTCGTGTTCTCGTCGGGTCTGGGCGCCCTCACCGGTCTGCTGGCCATGCTCGAGACGGGCGACCACGTGGTCTGCGGCGACGACGTCTACGGCGGCACCAATCGCTTCTTCAAGCGCTGCGCCTCCAAGCAGGGCATCGAGACGTCCTTCGTCGACGCCTGCAACGTCGACCACTTCCTCGAAGCGGTCAAGCCCAGCACCAAGATGATCTGGATCGAGACGCCGACCAATCCCCTGCTCAAGCTCGCCGACATCAAGGGCATCTGCGACAAGGTCAAGGCCACGAGGCCCGACATCATCACGGTCGTCGACAACACCTTCGTCACCTGCTACTTCCAGAAGCCCCTGGACCTTGGCGCCGACATATCCATGTACTCGTTGACCAAGTATATGAACGGCCACTCTGACGTCATTATGGGTGCCGCTATCACTAGTCGGGATGATTACGCAGAGAGATTGCGATTCATCCAAAACGGTGAGTTTTTTTGCATAAGAACGCTTGACGCTGTAATCGGCTGTGTACCCTTTATTTACTTTCGAAATTATTTTCTTTTCGCAGCAATGGGAATCGTTCCCTCTCCCTTCGACTGCGCCCTGGTAAATCGCAGCTTGAAGACTCTGGAGCTGAGGATGCAGCAACACATGAAGAACGGCCTGGCCGTGGCTAAATTCCTCTCCCAACATCCATACGTAGAAAAATGCATACATCCTCGTGAGTTTCGCTGAAAATTATTGGTCAAAAAATCGAACCAGAGCTTATGACGATAATTAACCGATTTTTCTCTCTACTGCTTTTTTTACAGTTTTCGAATCTCATCCCCAGCACGAGCTTGCCAAGAGGCAGATGTCCGGCTACAGTGGTATCATTTCGTTTTACATCAAAGGCAACTCAGATGTTTTCTTGAGGTCCCTGCAATTGTTTATCTTGGCCGAATCACTGGGAGGTTACGAGTCGTTGGCTGAGCTTCCGTGAGTATTACACACGTGCACAACGTTTGTGCCGCTACTCGCACGACGTGTCATTTTTGATTTTCATAACAAAAAAATTTGTTTACTCAGGTCCGTCATGACTCACGCTTCGGTGCCTTTGGAGGAGAGAGAAAAATTAGGAATCACAGACAATCTCATTCGATTATCGGTGGGAATAGAGAACGAAGCCGATATAATTGGAGATTTGAATCGGGCTTTGAATAGCGCGATGACGGTCAAAAGCAAGCAGAACAACGTTGTATCCGAATAATAATCGACGTTGTCTCGATCATTTTTAATATTGTTTACATTCTGATTTTAACTTCGTATAAAAACGATGCGATTTTTTATCTAATAATTTATCGATATTTGTAAAAAAAAAAAAAAAATAGAGTGGCGTATTAAAAAAAAAAAGTTTTATACTTATACCAGAAAATTTTGCTATATTTCGTTTTTTATCCTAATTCAGTCTACAATCTACTAATCGATAATCCACAATTATCGAGAGCACTCGACACAGATGATTAAATCAATTTTTCTTATCATTTTCAACGAGTTAATTATTATTACTTATAATATTAAATAAATGATTAACATTAAAAGATCCAAAAATATCGATTAACTTATTAAAGTTTAATTAGTCATACATCTCATTTAAGATCAATTATTTATGTTTTGAGAATGCTTTTCAAAATGTTTTTCAAAATGTATTTCAAAATGTATTTCACAATGTTAAATGATTAATTCATAAGAAATTTTACATATAAACTGAAAATGTTCAGTTTGGTAAAAAATAAAATCGAATACAAATTATTTTAACTGGAATATCTCAATGAAAAACTGAGATTAAAAAAAAAACGTGTGAAATACATCGCATTTTCTTTGCTTCTTTCATAATTACGATGATTGCGAGCATAGGACTTTATAAATAATTCACTGTTAATTTCAATACTGTAAATGGGTCAATAATATCAAAACAAACAATCAAGTTTTCATGAAAAATCAAAACAATCTTGATTTATCGTATCGAAATTATTATCAGTAAAATAAATGATGAGAGTGTAAATTCTGCGGTCAAAATAAGCCGTAATATTATTAATTCGCGAACGCAAAAGTATAATAACGCCATCCCTGTACAGAAAAGTATCTTTTTGAACCATCTTTCTGTATTGGGACGACGATACATATAGGATGAACATTAGAAGAATTTATATTGATGAGAAAGAAGATTTATAATTGAAGATTTATATTGATGAGTTATTTTGACTGACCTCACACGCGCTCGAATAAAATTTCGACCAGAAAGTAAATCCCTGCTTCAATATTATATTTCAGTTTTATAAATATTGATATTTAAGCGAGAAACACGTTATTTGATCGTTTGAAAGTTTAGCTAATCGTATTAGTACTATACAAACTATGCAATAATTCGCGTCGATCCGACTAGTCTAAGAAAGAGATCGCCACACCTCTAGATTCTAATTTCAATCATTTGGTTGCAATAGCAAGTTAATTTTAGACTTCTGAAATTCAAAATGAGTTTGGATTATACATACCTGATGTTCAAACCGGAAAAATTAGATATCATATAAGCGTATCTAAAAGAAAATCAAGTTACGAATTTCGATTCAGGAAAATGGGGGAAAAAAGGCACAAATCGTGTAGAAATGATCATTTAAAAACTAAAAGATAGAAGTGAAGATGTAAAAAATTATACATCTACGAGTCGGGTTTAGTTAATACAGTGTATTAAGATATGGGTTAATGATAATGATAAAAATAATCTCGAAGAATTCGCGAGTATGAACATTTTAGAAGTAACTGGAATAATAGTTGCTTACATTCTGTCACTGAAATTGAAATTACGATTACCTGAAAAGAAAATACATACCAGCCAAGCATTAGCAATCATATACCACAGGTATACATATTTTGGAGAAGAGGTAATAAAAAATGAGTTTACGAATGAAGTGAAATCTTTTTTCTGGTCTAGGAGTCGGCGGGAATCTACCATGTCCATGTTAGCGAAATATCATGAAGAATACGAAAAAGGACAAGAATGGGAAGATGAAAAATTAAAAAGTTTGATTAAATATTATATGTAAGATTAATTTAGATTATATTTGTAGTACAATTAATTTTTAAATTTATTAATCTATTTATCTATTACAAAGCCAAATTGCATAAATATCTTCATATGTCACAAATAAAAGATTGTTCTAAACAAGATTTGGTATATGAATATTCAAATTTGGAAGCGAAATATTTAGATTTGGAATCAAGAAATTCATATTTGCAATCGGAATATTCAGATTTGGAATCAAGAAATTAAAATTTGCTATCGGAATATTCAAATTTGAAAGTGAGAAATTTACATTTGGAATCGACTAATTCAAGTTTGAAAAAAATAATTTTCCATTTGAAAGAGAAAACTTCATATTTGGCATTGAAAAATTCACATTTGATAGCGAGAAATTCATGTTTGGATTCGACAAATTCACAATTGGTATCGAGAAATAAAAGTTTAAAAGATGAAAATTCAAATTTGAATTCGCAAATTTTATATTGGGTAGCGAGAACTTCACATTTGGAATCGACTATTTCAAATTTGATAGCAGAAAATAATTCTTTAAATATACAACTGATCACAATGTCTCTATTTCCAAGTATCGATGGTCCGGATGAAATAGATCGAATATTACAATCATGAAGAGGGAGGAACTTCCTCAAATTCGTAGAAAATGTACACAGAAATCGGAAATTTTTAATTTGGTAACAAGAAAGATGGAAAACAAATAATTTTTATTTGGATTTCGTAAAAAATAAAACGCGGAAACTATTTATATAAACTTATGTGAGTAAAATGTAACAAATTTTCTTTTTTTCTTGTAATATCGATAGAGCTGTTTTTAAACTATTCACGCTGTTGCGGGATATATAATCAAATTCAAACAGCATTTAGTAATATTACTGCACTTGGCACAGACGCGTAACGAGCTAGATGTTTCGGGTTTAGAAAAAAATCGGTAAAAATCAGGAAACTCGCTTCAATATTTGAAACAATATTTAACAAAAATAATTAAAAGCAAAAATACACTTTTTATACATCATTACAATAAAATAGCCACCGATAAGCTAGATCACTGTGATAGAAGTTATACGATTACCAACTGAATTGAAATTACCTTCTTATAAAATAGAATCAGTTTCTCGATCTAGAAACTTTTGTGTAGACTCACCAAACGATGATATCAATGAGCGATGAGGACACTTATATAAAAAGAAAAATGTCAGTCTTAATTTTTAAGAATAAATTTTTAATTATGTTTTCAACTAAATAATAACTTTGTTTGGACTAAAAATGCGAATCACTTCGTTTATTTACAAATTAATTCTAGTTTTCTTAAAAACAATATTTCCCATTTTAAAAATACAATGTATAACATAATTTTTATTAGTGCCTCTGACATGGAATTTTTATCTATAAAATATCATACATCTAATGCATTAAAAAAACGACGAAGGAGTATCAATGATATAAGCGATCATTCTTCTTTTGTCACGCGAAAGGATTGGCAAGATTTTTTTTGTACATAGATATTATATAAAAACCGTAAAAAATAGATACATATTATTGTCGTTTAATGAATGATATTATAAAGCTGCAGAGTGCTCCTCCTTTTTTTTCATAAAAATCAATGATTGTAAAACATAAACATATGACGGTGGAATTTGCTAGTTGCAACTAATAATTGTAATAATAATTTTTCACGACATAACTCCATTTTACCATAAAAAAGTTACGATGTTTCGTTCTGTAAAAACAATGTCATGAGGACGAAAAACTTTTTTCAAAAAGTAAGAGTATCGCGATGTGTGCACCAACAATATGTAGAATTCATGCGCTCCGATTTGTAAAAAATCTAGGGCGCTGCAGCACTCGGAATTGGCTGCTGTATAATTCGTTTACACAATTATTATTATTATTCTTTTTTTGTTGTATGCCGAACAAAAACGATGAAATACTTGCGAAACTATATAAGTGACTTAAAAACGAAAAGGCACTTGATGAATGGCGAATAAGGAGATTTTTTTACCACTTTCGCTTTAACCCCCAGCGTAAATAGCAGCTCGAAATCTATTTTAATGTAATAATATCACGATATCTTTTTTTTTCTATTCTTTACAATTCGAATTCTAGTTTCGACGCTTAAAAACGAAAAAATTAATAAACATAAATACACATGCTAAACTAACACACACGCACAATTAACGCGCACGCAATCGTACACACGCACAATTACAATCTCGTTCGCAGACGCCAGACTCGCACACACACACACACACACACACGCACACACGCGCGCGCGCTATCGCAATCAATCGATAAAAATTGTTCTCTCGCATTCATCTCTCGTCTTAAAATCTACGTAAGGATCCAGCACGCGCGCGCTCACATAAACAAATCCGTCTTGGAAGTGATCTTCTTGATGGCCGGCAGAATCCTTATGGCCGTGTACTGTCCGTAGCCGAGGGGTATTCGCAGATCGGCGCTGTCGCGACGCTCCTTGTCGCGGCGCGCCTCCTCCTGCTGATGCTCGTGGACGATCATGACGGTGCGCGCGAGCGCCCAGCAGACGCAGACGGCCCCCGCGAGGGCGAGGATGATCACGAGGACCAGCTGCGAGATCGGACCGATGACGAGGGCCAGCCTCAGGAGCAGCATGAGGTCCGCCGGCAGCTTGGGAATTTGCTGGAAAAAGAGAGTGAAATTTCAGTTTTCTGAAGTCGTATATATAGATGTGCGCGATGCCGCGCGCGAAAGTAGTTTATATCGTATCGAGGCCAAGGACGATCACGCAGCTGCTGCGCGCGGAATACTTTCTTACGCGCTTGCGGGGTCACGAATTCGAGATGAAACTGCTTTTTTTCTGGCTCTTTTTCACGGTTCGCGTGTACCGATGAATAGGTACATGTACGCGAACGACGAGATTTATCACGTGAATTTCTCAAAAAACGTAATTATTATGATCGGTCAACGATAAATTGTCAAACGATTGCCGCAACAACGACGCATTATAAATATGAAAATCTCGTTCGTCCTTTCGTTTCATTAAAATGAATTGAATAGGCTGTGCGTGTGTGTACGTGTATACACGCAGCGTACGCATCATCATCGTCGCAGCCGTTGCCGCGCCGAGTGATTTCATAAAAAGTCATAAATTAAGAAAAACGCGCTGATTAAAAGAAGAAGAAGAAGAAGAAGAAGTAGTAAGTAGAAGAAAAAAAGCGGCTAGGCGCGCATTAGCATCGCGCGCATAGACCGCGAAGGAGGAAAATAGGTTACGAAAAATGCGCTGCTGGCATAGAGCTAGATGTGCAGTGTAGTGAGTATACTCACGAGATCAGTCCAGAAGAGCGGCACCACCAGATTGTTAAACGGCTTAATCTTGGAATTGTATCTAGTCTCCTTCATGATGAGATTTGTCTGCAACCTCGAGTGCACGTACATCGGTATACCGATGTTCTGTAGTGGCAAGAGAAAAAAAAATAGATAAACATAATCATTATAATGCCATCAATCCCATTCATTGCGTGACGAGCTGCAGCTAGCCATATAGCTCTCTGTCTCGTTGTCCTTTTCCATCTCTCTCTCTCTTTCTCTCTATCTCTTTCGAAACGATCGTTATCTTCTGATTCATTCATCGGTATAATCTTTGCTATTATATTTTTCTATTTACCTCTTTCTTTTAGTAAATCCAAACATCCGTATTAAGTGCAGAAAAACGCGTACATTTAGCAAAATATTCGGGCGACAGTCTTGCCGGTTACATCACCTCGTAAAATATCTATATCGCGCCTTAATTGAATTTTTCGGTTATTCAATATCGCGTTCCTCGAGCACAATTTAATAAGCGAGCGAATTTCGAGTCGAAATATAAAATATAATATTAATAAACGTCTAATTTATACTATTGCGTTTCGTAATCCAAGCGCGCGTGGCTTACACTCGTGTCTCCGATCGCTCGAAAGAGAGAGAGAGAGAGAGAGAGAGAGGAGGAAAAAAAGCTGCGCGCGACACTTACCGGTTGCAGCTGGATGACTGTGCTGTGCTTTTCAGCGTCGGGACTGAGACCTTCGATTCCGTTGGCCAACGTTGGATCGGCGTTGAGGAAATGGGGCAGAGACGCTGCCGCTGGTATATCTGTTGGGTGAAAATTGCCAGGTTGTTATGATTTTTTTTTCTTATTTTTTTTCTCCTTACATAATTTTTGCAGACCGTCAAAAAATTGTGACGCGCGCGTCACGATCTTTATTTGTTTACGCTTAACGATCAGCGCGAGCTCGAGTGCGTGAGAGAAAAGCCGGGCGTAACGTTTCAATTACCCCATTCCACAAACGAGTTTTTCTTTCCTCGATCGGCTCTCGTATTAACGCATTTGTTGTGCGCATGCAACGAAAGTTTTGTACTCACTGTAATAACAAGGCGTCAAGTCCATCAGGCCCTTTTTCAGACAGTCGTTGTTGCGGCAGTAGCACTCATTATCTGGATTCTCCTCCGGCGGATCGGCGAAATTGTCGACGATCGTGTACTGGTAGGCGGGCAGACCGGCGGCCACGACCTTCTTCTGGAAGGTGATCGGCACCGGTCGACAGAAGGCCTTGCGGAAAACTCGGAAAACTGCCTTGGGATCCATGTTCGCCGGGAAGACCGTGCCCTCCGTGGCTCCCTGCAGCCGATTGCACTTGGTGTTCCTGCAAAATCATAATTTGTTGTTACCTTAACTTCAATGAATGAAATGTAATTATATAAATTATTTTAAATTTGAAAACGAACCTATCACTCTCGGTCTCGTTGCCCTCGCGTTTGACGTATCCCCAGTTCGACAGACCTGGACTTCCATTGATCATCTCGATGCTCAGGTATCTTCCAACTTCGTTGATCATGTCTTTTCTGTTCTTGATGTTCATGTTGATGAGATTGTCACCTTCGTCGTACATCTGCAAAAATTTTTCACTTTATACTGCAACGTCTACATCAAGCAGCTGAGGCGTATCGCGTATCATTTTTTGAAAAACACGAGGATTCGTCATGCCACAATGGCAACAAGCTATTAATCTTTCGATTATGCCGACTAATCGATAAATTTTTAATTTATAGCAACGATCGCGCGAGTATAGCATAAGAAAAGAAGAAAAAAATGATGTCATCTGTTGAAAAATCGACTCTAAGCAGGTATTAGTTAAAAAGTTGCACATTCAAATTTCTGCTACACATCGTACGAGTTAATAAATGTTGTAAGGCTTTTTTGTTCCTCTCCGATCAACTAGTCTAGCCGCACACCTTATTAGCATCGGATTACGAGCTAGCATCCTTTGGCCCCAAAAAATTAATATGATCCGATTTTTTTATGATCTAAGCAAAGAGAAGGGGAGAGAGAACGTTTAAAAATTTCAAATGTTGATCGGTTAACTGTTTTTTTATCCCCCTATGTATGGAAGCATTCATATAAGATATGAGGCAAGACATAATACTCGTAACTTCTTAAGAAATTAACTCGTTTGCAAAAGCTGCAACGCCGATTGCCTTTTTTGTTGCTCTCTCTCTCTCTCTCTTTCTCGCTCCCCTGCTCGCTGGCTCTGTAGTTTGTTATAATGCCGTATGACATTATATTGTTTATAACAGCAGTGCGTTAATTACGAAACTTTTGCAAAAGATATCCGATTCGAAAGAGTGAGAAAGAAAGAGAGAGAAAAAAAGTAACGTTTAAGGCCAATAACCCGAGGCGTCGCGTTACAAAGAAAAGAGCGAGAGAGAATAACAACAAAAAATTATAACATAAAATTATCGCGGTGCACATACGGTTATTTACATATATTATTATTATTGCCACCGATTGGTAAGAATCCACTCACCCGAGCATCGATCAAGTCCAATCGAGCGAAAAGTCCCGCGATAAAATACCCGCTGTGCATTCAACTCTCTCGTCATTATTGCAATGAAAAAAAAACTCACCCTATCGAGCAGTCCGAACTTGCGGAAATTGATGTAGCCGGGCACGACGCTGCCCGCCAGATTCACGAGATTGTCGTCGTAGCCCCAGAGATAGTCGTGCACGCTCAGATGCAGAATCGGCTGGCTGTTGAGCAGATTCGCCAGCTGGACGAAGGGATAGTTGACGAAGAAGCCGGCGTTCCTGATGGCCGACGAGATGCCCTGCGGAAAGGAGAGATAGAAAACAAATTGTGTAACGTATCGATCCTGCAGAATTATTTTTCATATCAATAATTGTATAGGAGGAAGACGGTGATGAAACGATCATAGATTCAAAGTCCGCTGCGCTTGCGCGCTATCACAACTGCAAAACAGGTTTCTAATTGAATGTAATACTCGTTAAAGTGACACTTTGTGCAATAATTAAAATTCATAGCTTTTCCTAACGCGCAATCTGATAAATCTTCGTTGGCGCGTATTGAAAATTCGATCGCCTTGATAATTGAGAAAGAAAATTTTTGAATTAACATATTCATCAATCGTCGAGAATTGAAACATTTAATCGCCATTTGGAAGTTTGTTGAAAAATTGTTCACTGATACGTACGTCCCGCGCGCGCGTTGTTGTTGCTGTTATCAGCGACAAAAATAAATTGCAAGAAAAAACAAAGTCTGCAGCGATATTACTAAAAGTTAGTGTCCCTTCATCCGCAAGCTTCGTCTGCCAGAGCTTTTACGAAATATTGTTTTTTTTTCTTTCTCAGATCGTATTCGTGCGCATCTTTATTGAAATCAAATTGTTTGTCGAGAAAGAAACGAGCGTTTAAAATAACATATCTACGCCTCGAGCGAGAGATTTACGCAATTATGTTTGCCATTACTCAAAGACGGATATATACGACGCACAGAGCGCTCGGTGCATCTTCGTTAATGAGTGACAAAAAAATGCATTGAAATTTTATATCCGATTTGCGTCACGAATTAACTGCTCTCGTCTCCTTTTTTTCTCTGGCTTCGAAAATTCTCCGATATGAATACTGTATCTATATCGGTTACTTACGAGCATAGGAATATTCGGAACCGTGATGTTTTGCCCGTGAGGATCACCCACGGAGAGATCGCCGCGGAAAAGCACGGTTCGCCTCGGGTAGTACGATAGAGTTCCATTCTCGTTCCACGTTACATTCTGATTCTCCAATATTTCTCTGCAAATTCAATGGAAAAAAATTGTTAAATTTTATGGATCAGTTGATTGAGATTTAAAACGAATGAAAACAAAAGGCTAACTGACTGATAGACGTAAGGTCCGACCTCGTTGATTTTGAGATTCTCCTCGCCGGCGAGGAAGGCGTCAGGATTCGTGATGTTGAATATGTAGACGTTGAGCAAGACTTCGATCGGAGGCTTTTTCCACACGTCGAAGATCATTGAACCAGGCTTCATTGTCATGCTCTGTAATTTACATCGAAATTAATTTACACGTCGTATACCGGTGTGTGTGTATATGGCTATATTTGCAACCTCGATGACTGTTTTTATCAAAAATAAATTGAGATATAGGTGAAAGAGAAAAAAAAGTGTTCTAAAAATAAAATAATCTTTTTTTTCTGCACCGAGCAGATAAAAGTCAGCGTGAAATATTTATGCTCGACGACTTACGTTTTGTACGATCAATTTGACTGGGTCGACGATGTATACGATTATGGCCGTGGCGCAGCATAGCACACCCGTCATGAATAGTACGATGCATTCTGTAACAAGAAATTTTTATTTTTTAATACAATTGCATCATTCAGAGTTAAACTCTTGAAAGGGAGATTGCAGGGATGCCAAAATAAGGGTAATTTATGGAGATTTGTTAAAGAATTAGCAGAAAATCGTGTACTCAATCTTGCGAAATTCTTTCATTTTTATTAAAAATCGCTATTAAAACTTCCTCATTCGAGAAACTTGTATTTTTCAATATTTTCTGTAATCGGAGTAAAAGAAATTAAAATTATTTATTCCTCATCCTACTTTGCGATAACATATTTTTATTTTATTTTTTCATACATCAATGGAACTGGATAAAAATTATGTATGATCGACATCGACTTGCCAGCATCGTGTGAGTACGAGTACCGATTTTTAGTGTTTATGGAGATGAAATTCATAAAAAAATACTAAAAGCTAAAAATTGAACAACGTGATACAATACATAATGTGAGTTTACACTACACGTGATGAAAGCTTCAAGAAAATCATGAATTTTTACTCTTCTTGGTCACGTGCAATTATTTTACATCAGTTTCTTTCTAATATTCAAAAAGAACTATAAAATGGTATATTTGACTATTATAGCATTCAATTTTTTCTATAGATCTACTGCAACGTGATGAAATTGTACGTTGTTGTTTTTTTTTGGAGCTATCCAATCACTCATTTAAGTTTCATTTTTAAGATATACAATGTTTATGCATTCTGTCTATTAGCAAGTGGCTTTATTGCTCTTCACGTGGACACGAAAGGACGGGCTAATGCGCGTCATGTATCATTCGAGAGTAATTACACACGTGACAAGAAACCACTGAATAATTTAAGTACGTAGATTTTTTTGAAGCAAAAAACAAAAATACATCGTAGCGCGAGCGATTTTCCTGTAATCTCTCCCGGCCGAAGAGCGAACATTAACGTGTAAATTTTCTAATTAAAATCCTATCTTGGCGATCGAATCGGCAAATTGGCGATTAGCATATGCGCACGAGCAGCAAGTAGTAACCGAACAAAAATTGCGAGCGCGACAAAAAAGCAAAATATTATCATCTCGTATTATCCCATCCCAAAACACAATGACTTATAACCGATGACACGGCTACATTGACGCGCATTAACTGTCATGCGAGAAAAACTACTCGTTCATGCCCGACGAGTTTTTACGATTATCTAGACGCGAGTGTGTGTGTGTGTGTTAGTGCGTAATTTTCAACTACGGAGTTCACTGCAGCGGCCGATCGGTCGAAAGAGTGTACGAGGAGAGAGAGAGAGAGAGAAAAAAAAACCCAAATCTTAATCGAGGCCTCGTGAACGTTAGAAATGAAAATCAATCAATGCACGAGACAGGTACGCATAGTACAAGAGTACAAGAGTATGCATTGTACATGGCATATCGATAACTTTTTTTTTTCAACGTAACATTACGAATGTCGTTTTTTTTCGCGCGACTTTTCACCCGCTCGAAGGACTACGCGACGTCAGTAAATTTGATTTTTCAAAATGTAATCCGTTCGCACTCGGGCGATTGTATAATTGTCGCGCATTCATATGAAATCATCAGCTGCTGCTGCACAACCCGCGCGGCAGCACTTCGTTACTCGAGTCATTTTCGTACACTTTAAATACCGTAATAATCGTAAAATGGGCCTCACACCGGAGCACTTATATGCGTATAGCACCATTTCGATCCTCATCAATTACTCAACTCGCGCGGCTCTTATTTTAAAGCTCGCCCGCGCGCCTGGATTATGTAATTCGAAAAATATTTTGTAGCTTATTTACAAATTATACGCGCGGTAATATATATACTACTATATATATGAGCAATTCTCTAAATGAAACGCATTTTTTGAGGTAGAATCGCGGCAAATTTTTTTTTCAACCTACGCGGATACGGACCCCCGGGAAATGTTTTTGGGGGTCCTAGGAACATGTAACCACGTAGGAACCATTGAAATTTCAATAGTGCTTACTTTTATAGCTACTTTTGTGATTTAGAGGACGAAAAATCATGTTTTTTCGTAAATGCGGCTAGTTACTCGATTTCCAAGTCGTTGAAAAAGTATCAAAACTCATCTGAAAAATTTAACTAACTACTGTAATCGATAGGAAATTTTCTCAGCTTTCCAATGGTGCTATCAGATTTTCCCACAATTTGCTCATTCACCGAGAAAATCGCCATCAAACATGCCAAGCTAAATATCTCGAAAAACTCGGTACGGAAAAAGTGATCTTTGAGGTTTATTTTTGATTTTTCCTGTTGAAAATGAGATTTTTCGGAAAAACTGAATGCACCATAAGAAAGCTGAGGAAATTTCCTATCGAAATCATATTTTCATTTATTTTTTCAGTGGAATTTACGAGCTAGTTTTCATTGTAGCGAGCCGAAAACCTCGTGACCGCGCTGAATCAGCTTGGAAACAGAAAACAGCGAACAACGTAAAAGAAATTCCCATGTATAACATTGTAATTCGACTCAAAAAATAAATGAAGATATGCTTTCGATAGAAAATTTCCTCAGCTTTCTTATGGTGTAGTCAGATTTTCCGATAAATTTCATTTTCACGAAGAAAAATCGAAAATAAACCTCAAAAATCACTTTTTCCGTACCGAGTTTTTCGAGATATTTAGCTTGGCATGCTTGATGGCGATTTTCTCGGTGAATGAGCAAATTGTGGGAAAATCTGATAGCACCATTGGAAAGCTGAGAAAATTTCCTATCGATTACAGTAGTTAGTTAAATTTTTCAGATGAGTTTTGATACTTTTTCAACGACTTGGAAATCGAGTAACTAGCCGCATATACGAAAAAACATGATTTTTCGTCCTCTAAATCACAAAAGTAGCTATAAAAGTAAACACTATTGAAATTTCAATGGTTCCTACGTGGTTACATGTTCCTAGGACCCCCAAAAACATTTCCCGGGGGTCCGTATCCGCGTAGCTTGAAAAAAAAATTTGCCGCGATTCTACCTCAAAAAATGCGTTTCATTTAGAGAATTGCTCATATATAATCTTTGTGCCGTGCCGTGGTATTCTCGACTCTATACATAAGGGCGTTGAACTTTACAAAAAGTGAAAAGATTCGACACACGTATCTCTCCTCAGTGGCCGAATAAAGTATATCGCATTCTTCGGATGCGGTTGCACAAATCGATCTATTAATTTTTTGAAAGTCATACACACGCACAACACACGGGTCCCCGTCACCTAGTAATTATGTAAAAATAAAATCACTCCTAGCTCGTAACAATACTCTTGAAAGAGACAGAGAGGGAGAAAAAAATGTCTCTCGAGCACGCGTAATTATACACAAGGCTTTTAATATAGCTTTTACGGACGGTTTTTGTGTTCACTTGCAGCACACGCGCGCGCGAAATTACGACGTTTAATTTTGAGAAAAGGACTTTAAATATGTAATTGCGGTGCGATATTGTGAGCAATCGATCTGGCGTATTATATGCGCGCGTGAACTGTCATTAATCGGCGAGAGTGCGTTTATTATATATCGAATCGCATTCTGTATAATATATATAGACGCACGCAATCACACGTATATATACGTGTATCGATAAGAGTTCACGCGCTAAAGCAAATCCCTCCCGCCGCAAAAACCGTCATTAGAATCCAATTAACCTATTTTTGCACGAATTTTATATTTTTTACATTCGCTTCATTCACGAGAGCGCATTCCGCGGCGGCAATAATACATACGACAGCAGTCGACGCGGACGTGATATAGTTATGTAAAAATTATAAGCATTCATTCATTCTCGCGGAGAGGAGAGCGCGGATAGGTATTATAGTGTTTAAGCTACATCTAGTCGAGAGGCTGAGCAGTGAGCTTACTTCTGTATTGTTGTAGCTCGATCAGAGACTTCATGGTGGCTGCCGATGTGGTGTTGTAGCTGCGTTAAGTACGCAAGGCCTGCGTGCGTATGCGTGTGTATGAACTCCGATCGATTCGATCACCTGAAATAAAAACATAAATCCTGTATTTAACTGTAATACAACGTCGTAGTCGTCGTGTGTAATCATAATCTGTCAACATCGTTATATACGCGGGATGGGAGTTACTTGGTAATTTAATTTTTTTTTTACTCGTACCTGTAATTGAAATTAAATTTTTTTTCATACGCTCGCGATTGTACGAAGAAATTAAATTTTTATAAAGCGAACTCGTAAATATCGTCATACGTATAGCATACGTATGATGTTTTCCATAAAATCGTGCAGAAAAAGGCAGATCATTGCCTGCGTTCACGGTACATTATCATCAAGAGGAGGAGAGCTGCAGCTTCGCATTCGCTTCTCAAAGCACTGCGCATCTCACTAGTGAATAGTAGTGCCGTATTGTAGTAGCCTTGCCTGCCACTGAACTTGCTTGCAACGAGCGATGACTCTATGTGTATAATAAATTAACATTCGCGGATTGCATCTCGCGCAAATGTTGCTATAACTACACCACGTTTGCATTGAAATAATTCAACTTTCTTTGCCAAGCTTCAAAGCGATGCGAAGAAAAAAATTGTTTTGATGTTAAATTAGAAACTACCTTCCATAACAATTTGAAGTTAAAACTACAATCTTTGAAGGTTGTCCCCTTGTTTAAAAGATATCCAGATGGTCAAGAGCATTACAAAATACAGTCAGTATGGTTCCCGACCTTTTCAAGACAAAATAAATTTAATACTGACTGTTTTTTGAATATTCGAAAATATCTATCTATTTATAAATTAAAAATGGCGAGTATAATTTAATCTTCCTGATGATAAGAGATGAACCGATAACTTTCATGTGCGATACATACTTGAGATACGGAAGTGGCGAGAAGTTGATGAAAAAAAGACATAAATTTAAAAGTCTCAATGTTGATCTGTATACAAAGAAGTTCAAAGATCAGTTATCTCGCATTAAAAAAATTAGAAAACACTGGTTCTTTCCTTGAAATGGAGCGCGATAAAAAAAAATAAATAATATCCTATAGTTTAGTCTAAAATTCAACCGTATAAACTTGAAACACAGAAAATTTCACGCACAACGCTAATTATCGATCTATGAAGAAAAATGAATCGAACATTGGCTGTATAGCTTGAGAGAGAAACGTCGGTTTCGATAAGACAACTATACGAACGTATCATAGCCGCGCGCGGGATTTTCAGTCATACACAAATATCCAAGCGTCGACGACGTCGACTCGATATGACGTTTTAACGAGCATGGGCTGATTATTGAAGTTTTTCTCGATCCTCTTTTTTTTCGACGCCGCCACTGCAGCTGCAAATTCATATGCATATGTACGAAACAATGATTTCCAGAAGCATCGAGCAAGGCGCTAAAATCGTACGATTGCGGCGCAATGATTCATCGTTAATTATATTTTAAAATTTATCGTTTTTTTGCTGCTTTTCACCGAAAGAGTGTGAAAATTAATGGACGCATACTGTGCAGTGCAGTATCATTTCGTCATTTTCAATTTGTTTTTATCAGTTATAACGCACACATGTATGAAGTATACGAGCTAATGATAGTAATTTTTATTATTGCAAATTTACTCAATGGAAATAAACATCGAAGAGATGCATTCTCACTTTAATTCAAGATCTATTACTTCTATCACAGACGTTGTGTACTTTGACAGCATTAATTTCCACGCGACGCAACGGGATTCATTACTTTTATTTAACGATATTATAAAGATGAATGAACGGTTGTAATAAATGAAGAAATTACACGAGAACGTCCCCATGCTAATCAGAAAATGATTTTCTGATTGACTGATAGGATAATTGCCAAAGCCATTATATCATATTATTATATAGAAAAATCATCCGATAAATCCGCTCGTCGCGCTTATGTACGAAAGCTTCGAGCTACACCCATCCTTAATCCCCGGGCTTTTATCGATATAATTGGCCGAAGAATTTGTCGAGAAAAAAAAATTACATCAGAGACACGGGCGGCGGCGTTGATCACGCGATTATATTAGCAAAAATACCACCACGTGCTTATTTCGCCAATTTCCTTGGAACGATCGTCTCGTTTCTGCCGCGTGGGAGATCGCCACGGATTATATACCACTGTCCCCCTGCCCAAATTTAAAAAAGAGAGAGAGAGAGAAGAAAAGAAGACATAAATAAATAAAGAAAAATGCGAAGCCTTAAACTCTTGGGGCGTGGGGACTCTCGCTCTCGCGCACGGCTTTGATTATCATACTCAAGGCCGTTGCACGGCAGTAACCCAATTTTGCGCGTCGCGACTCTCTCACCCGGCGCAGGATTATAAACAATTCGCGCGAGTACATTATGTATACATACAACAGCCGATACAAAGCCCGAAAAAGGAGGCTGCGCTCGCGATAGGCCGCGCCGATTATACATCTTGGGTAACCCGCGCGCGCGTGTGTGTATGTGTGTACTGTACTGCTTCGGCCAGGCTCTTATGTATTACATAAAATAATTACTACACTCGCAAACACGTGTGTGCGTGCGTACATACACACAGCACAAGTACAGAGAGAAAGAGAGACGGAGACATGGACACAACGGATATTTACCTCTGTATACGTGTGTATGTGTGTGCGTTATAGGGAGAGACGTAGTATATTATGCAACGATTGCCAAAGAGAGGCCAAACGCCAAACTGCAAGTGTGCACGGCGTGTGTCGCGCTACGAGCATGAGCATGTGATACGCGTGTGTATACGTATGTACCTACCATAATACGTATTATATCTGTTATGCCAACGGTAGATTTTTAAGCACTGGTAAGGTACGTGTACGCACATGAGAGCACACGTAGAGAGAGAGAGAGAGAGAGAGAGAGGTACCATCGCAGGTACGCGTGCATATAAACGCGTGCACCGATCGTATATAATGTAAACCGGTCGCCGGTTGTGTATACGAGAAAAAAAGAGATAGAGAAATAGGCGCGTATAATACGCAGAGTTGAAAAGTGCATGACTTTCGACTGTGTATGTGTGTGTGTAAGTGGAGTAATGTAGAGCGCGTGGGCGTATGTATGTACCACACTCGAGCGCGCGTGTCGATTCATTCATGATATAAGCGGGCCGATTTCAAGTCGATTCGTAGCGGCAATTACGATTTAAATTAATATATAATTATCATGAGATTTTGCTACATTTTCAGATCGCTCAGAGAGACGCACGTTGATCTCTTTTTTACTCGGAAGACTTCGTATCAAAGATACACGACAAAAAAAGGAACTGGAAATGCAGCTAAAAAAGTACATTGCAAAATGTTTATACACCACTACTTACGCTCTGCGTTCGAGAGATAAAAAAACGTATAAAGCGTGACAAAATCGTCTTATAAGCATACATAGACAAACTAAATAATTTTTCATAATCGCGCCTTTATCTCGCGATCGTATAGTCGGAGATAATGTAAAAGCGGATATAAACGTCAATTATCGTTGTGAAAGCGCGAGCTCGGCGCTTAACGATCGTTTAGATATAGGCGAGTCGCCTGGGCTTGTGTTCGTCGTGCGGGTGCGGAATTGTCTCTCGATTGTAATATTTTTTTTCTATACAAATGTTTTTGAATACACCTTGATATCCTATAGGACACGTGTGCACAGTGTTGTTTGTTGTTTTCGTCGTCACCGAGGCCATGCATTATAATAAAAGCCGGCTCTCCATCGTGTAATTCTATCCCGGGAATGTGGAAAAAAAATATCATCGTATCATTTAAACGCGTTATAAAGTAGAAAGTGGCGCGCACTAACGAAAACACAGTCACGAGCTAAAAATCCATTGTCGTAATGTTCAAAATCGTAAACTCTCGAGAAGTGTAACTCCGCCTGTGTGTATTATTTACGTGCTGTGTTGTATGTGCACTGCACTCGCGGGGTGCTCAATTAATTAATCAAGTCGTGCGGCGGCGCGTGAGTCCCAGAGCTGAGCTCGCGAAAACGTTTTTACCCTGTGTGTTATAGTGCACACACACACACACACACACATGCACGAATTGAACGCGCCACGCGTTGAAAACTGGTTCTCTAAATATATATGTTAAATAACGCGCGGCATTTAACGAGTAGCTCGCGCGCGCACACAATTATCATATGTAACACCGAATTCTCTCTCTCTCTCTCTCTCGCTCTTTCTTTCTGCGCTCCCAAAAACCGAAGAAAAAAAATAGTGTTATAGTCGCCTTGGTGGCCAGTATGTATATAATACTATAACGATTATCATCGTCTCGACATTTTTTTTTACTTCGTCTCTCGCGGATCGTGTAACATTATTATATTATCCTTGTCGTGCGCTGCAGAGCTGCTGCTGCTGCCGCGCAAATCACCTAATATGTAATTATATGAATAAAAATCCAATTCGATGTCTGCTCCAAAGCGAATCTCAGTAACATTATGTCACCGTCGAAACAGCGATGAAATATCCTATAGGATGTAATCGAATGCGCACACGTGACGCGATTTTTTAGCCAAATTCCTAGATGGATACGCGTGCCAGGAACCAAACACTTCAAAAATGAAAAGAGTGCGAAGCCGTGGAGATAAGGTTTAAACGCGCATGAATGTCAATGACCGGCACAGTGAGAGTCTCGGTACGGAGTTTATTTTGATGATTTGTGTACCCACGAGAGACACAATGAGAACGGCGGGACCATTTCACCATTTCGCAAGTCCGCAAGCGAAGGATCGGAAATAATACCGAAAGAAAGAAAGGAATGGCGTAAATAAGCCCGCGTTACATCTCGCGTTATTTGGCTTGCAAGGAAATTACAGCAAAAAAAAAAAAAGAAAGTCTCGCGCGCACCACTAATCAATCATTCAATTATTATTAAACCAACAAAGTTACCGCTATTTATAGAAAATAAATTACACAAAAGTTATTGAGAATCATTATTAAGTACAGTGTCATTGAAGATGAGACTTTTATATACATTCGCAACGTCCTGGCTCTCGACGACGACGACGATTATATGACCTATTGACGGGCGCACCGCGCGACGCGATGCCGTAACATGCAGCACAGCCAGCACACAGATCGGATCTCCTTCGGTCTGTAAATTAAATTCGCCCGGCGCGATGAAGAAAAAAATCGGAAAAGGAAGTAACGCGCACAGCTCTTAATCGAATGAAGAAGTAAAACGAAAAAAAAACGAGCGCACGCAAGGTCTATGCTGAGTGGTCCGGTTTTTATCCTACTGACCTTTCTTCGCGATGCATGCCCGCCTGCCGCTGTGTGTATAATTATATACATCTTGAGATCTCTCTCTCTCTCTCTCTCTCTCTCTCTCTCTCGCGAGCGAGCACGCACGATTTATATAAACAAACACCTCGTGCGATTTTTTGTATTTAAATATGTATAGGTATAGGTCCTCGTCGCGCGTCCCGCGCCTGTGAAAGTTCTCGAACTATTTTTTGACCGATCACGCTTTTTTTTCGTTTTTTGGCTGACCCGGCGCATATATACACGCGCTCGTAATAACATCAAAAAACAGGTTGACTCTTGCATAATGGTGCACGATGATGCTATAACAATGAAAAATATCAAATATTATGAGCCGATATCCTGCGGAAAGACCTGCGCTCTCGATCTTGAAGGGTATAATATATACGGTCCAATTAGCTAATACGATTTTCTCGGTCTCGATACTTTTTTTCTCTCTCGAAGAAAATTTAGCTCAAGAATTTCATAATAGAGCCATTAATACGTCGCATCAAATAGTTCAAGTACATCCGATTTTCTCGGATCGATTAGAGACAGAGAAGCTGCAATAGAATTCGATTATCTCACCCGCGCGCGCGCGTTGATACATCAATCAGCGCACGAGCTCCCGGTCAAGCGAGCGATTCTCGAACAATCGAAAGTCTCGATACATGCAAATGAAGATAGAAATTTGTCGTAGATTCGTCGAGAACAAAAAATAAATATGTGTGCGAATATCTCTTCTTTGCTCTCGTCACGAGCGATCAGAGACAAGTGAGACGAAAAAAAGGCACAAACACACTCCGGCTACGCGAGCGCGCGCGCTATCGGGTAAAAATGCCCTCGCGCTGCAACTTGCAGTCGCCGAGATTAAACGCGGACTTGCGCGACTGCGGCATGAGTGCATTTTTTTCACGAACGGATGTGTATATGAAACGCGAAAAAGTTTCGATATGTATAGACGTAATTGCTCGACAGACCGTGAAATTCTCATAATAAACAATAAAAATACGACTATAAGCTCGTTATTACGATCTTTCCATAGCACAGTGGTAGTAGAAAAAAAGTATTGACAGACGGTTGTGCACTCTCGCAATTTTCCTAAAGTTATTATATTATTAATATCGCTGCGCAGGGACGGAGAAAAAACAAAGTTGAGACATGAAATATTTTTATCTCTCTAGCGGGCTCTCTTTCTCCTAAGAGAGAGAGAGAGTGAGAGCAATAATAATCGTCATATTGTTCATTGGCAATGAACCAGCCGAGAGAGAGTAGCCGCCGCCGCGTTGATCACAGTGCATCCGTGTGCACGAGTACCGATAAAGTTCATTAGTTCGAGGCAGTAATAAACCGTCTTTTGGGTGAATAGTACAATGTACGTACTGGTCGTCGGTAAACAATCTAAATGCAAATTATCTCTCGCCTCTTTTCAATTTAGCTCGAGACCGCGGGTAATGAACACTCGCGGCGGGTTCCGTATCTTATACTATAGGAAATCATGAATTATGCTGGCCAAACAAGCGAGATTCACTTGCACGGACGACAAATATTGTCCGCGCTACCGGATATATTATAATAATAACGACCAAGTGTAAAAAGCTTTCGGCAGAGGTGTCGAATCCCGAAATGCGTCAGACCGTAACCGTGCGCGCACACACACCTGAGCCAGTGGATAATTGAACAGGTGAATTTATTTTTACACTTATTAGGCGGTGGAAAATTTCTATAAACTGTCCGAGGAATTTTCAAGATGAAGATTTCGAGTCGTCATTTTCGCGCGACAATTCGAGTACGTGTGTCTTATCGCGCGTTGGCGCATGCGAGCCCCTTGCGCGCACACGAGTCCGACTGCACTGCGAATGTTCCACTTTTTTTATGAATCCCGCTCTTGTTGTGTGCAGTGTACTTTTCGCGCGCGTGTCCATATATTCGATTGCGGAGAGAAATTCCGAAATGACGATATCTCTAACGAAAGGCCCATCATCCGGAAACAACGTAATGATGTACGCACGGTATTTGTAATTAATGTGACGAAACTTCGACTAACCTATGAATCCTGTTTTTGGTTGAAAAGTACCAACCGATTTTCCTGCGATTTTTTCCAGGTGTCGGGGGTGGTCGGCGATCCTCTGCTTGCAGCGCACTTGAATGTTTCACACTTTCATCGAATAGTTCACTTTTTTTTGACGATTAGTATACAAAAAAACAGAAAACAAAACAAGAACACGCGATAATGTCTTACTCAAGTCGAGAAACTTTTCTTTTCTCTCTCTCTCTCTCTCTATTCCGAAAAATCATAGATAAGAGAAGAAGAAGCAGAAGGAAGAACGAACCGACTATATAAGAAGCAGCAGCTATAACACGCGAGAGATGTTAACGCTCGAGTGTCATGCATGGAAATCATTGATCGGCGCTCGGCACGGAGATCTTTATATATGCCTTTTTAAAGTAAGTGTACAATATATACGCGAACACACACGAGAGCAGTAGCAGCAGCAGAGAGCCCCGCGCGCGCGAATAGCCGTGTGGTGCCTGCCTGTGTAATGTGGCCGCGAGCCGCGAGAGCCGTTTATATGTGTGTGGATATAATATATCCCTCTCTCCTTTTGTATATATACAAACGAGCCGAGAGAGAGAGAGAGAGAGAGAGAGAGAGAGACAGACAAGTCAACAGCGCGACTGTGTGTGAGTCTTTCGAGTTGTATGTATATGAATGTATAAGAGAGGAACGCACGAGAGATAGTGTGAGTGGCACTTTTATCTCTCACTCTTTCTCTTTCTCTCTAGCTTTTGACTACTACCCTTTCCCATAAATGCACGTCCAAGCATGTGGTTTCCCGATTCCCCTACTTTATCACCTGATTTTGTATATTAATTAACGTATGCACTTCTTTGAGACATTTTTATTGTTATGACCATCGACCGCAACGCTTACCTGCGCAATATTAAATACAAATGGATATGGGATTTTCGGAGAAAAGAGAGGATGCGCACGTATTACTCTTCTTCTTTTTTGTAGGTACAAACGTCAGACTTTGGAGAGCAAAGTTTCCTTATGAGCACTTTTGTAAGTTATTAAGACTGTCTCTCTCGCCGAGGAAGATCGTTAGTTATGCCTTTTTTTGTGTTGATATACAGCTCGTTTTTATCGGCAATTGATATCGTAATTGCTACCCATTTTTGTAATTAAAGAGTTCACGTACGATATGACGCGCGCGCAGCATTGTCTCTACAGTTCACCGCTTGAAATTTTCGTCTAGCTTCGTCCATTATCTATGTATGAATATATAAAATTACAAAATCTTGTCGCGGGATCGAGAGTTGCATTATCGGCCAAAGTTGTAAAATGGTATATTATATTATTTACTCGTCTGCGCGCGAGCTCTTGGAAGAAAATCATCGTCGTCGCATAGAGTTAAAAGCCAGAAATTGTCCGGAACAAATAAGATGACCTATTTGATATAAGAAAAACGGCTTCTCTCTCTCTCTGTCTCTCGGTGCGAGCACCTGTCAACAGCCGCGGCAGCGTGTATATGTCACGTATGGGAAAATACCTCACGTGGCCGCGCAAGGTTTATTTTTCCATCTGCACGTTTTACGATTCTCGCCAACGCACAAACACATTACTATTATTATGGTAAAAGCACCCGCGCGAACCAAGTTTGAACTTTAAATTAAGAAAAAAATTGCGACGCGGAAGCTACTACTGGATGCATCGTCATCGTGCGTTTTCTTCGCGGCGAGTTTTATCGAGAAGAGTCTCTATACCGATCGCCGCGAGAGAAATCGACGTGTATTATAAGAGCACAGATCATGGCTTTTCCGAATTGTAATGCTCACGTACGCACACTTCGGCCAGCGAAGGACGAGCTTAACGATTTTGTGTACGTGTGGCAACGTTTTACGATGTGTTTATCCGCGATTATATTCAATTACATTATCATCGCGACGAGATCGTCGCGGAGACGCGCACAGGTAAACTGGAGCTAGTTTTTTTTCAAATAGACGACGGATCGGATTAAAAATAAGAAAGATTCTATGTATGGAAAATTATGTGTAACGATGATCGTGCACCGATGACGAGTGTGTGCATAGTTCATCATCTCTCTTCTATTTTTTTCGTCAATTAAACAAACCTCTCTTGCGGTCTGCACCTAATTCTATAAATACCCATAACGCATACATACGTGATCGCGCCTGCAGACGTCATGAAAAAGAGGCTGTTGTACTCTGCAGTGTTGTTTCGAGACGATTGCCGATTCGGGGAGACGTGAGATTTCCGTGACTTTGCGCATGCAGATATACATGCATCATGCGTGCATACGTGCGTGAATGGGATGGATCCTTTTAAATTTACCTCACGGAGAGGCTCGAATTGACCGCGACTAACCGCAGAGCCATGGCAAAGAAAAAGGCCGAACGATGGACCGTGAGTGTATACCGTGACAAATAAAAGTTTCCAGTTGCGTCTTGCGCTTGTGCATATATATTCGAAAGCTTTATATATTATATACCCACGCCGATTAGTCGGTGACTCTTAAAAGTTCAAAAACCTTGTGTACGTATGTAATATTTTGCCTCATATACTTGCATAGTTGTGCACAGCATCGAGGCTCATTGAACCGTAAACTCTGTAATAAGTATTTTTAAAAACATCGAATTGCCATTAATTGAGCTCGGAGCATTAAGTGTGATGCGACGTAAATGGCGATAAGCGATTTTCTTTTAACGTCTTACAGATCATTAAATTTTTGTGTCATTCCTTTTATTCTTTTTTGATCCGCCGACTCGAGATTATAATAATATAAACCCCCCATCGCATATAATATATAATAATATTGCGCCAAAACCGCAGGGCGTCCTTCCCGCGCGTGTCATTATCATCGTCGAGAAATTGAGGCAGAGAGAGAGAAAGAGTAAAAGTTTATAATAACACGAGCGCGAGCATCGCCCGAAAATCCAAGGATAAGAATGACGCACTAATAGAAAAAAAGTGCATACATATTGGCTTTCGGCGCGGCGCATTTAAACGCGCGAGAGAGCAACAAAAAAAATCGGCGCGTGCGTGGACCCCGGCGCGTTTTCACTGTATATCCATGCTACTACAAGGGAACCTGCGTGCGCTCAACAGGTGCGCGTATAACAACCATGCCGGGCACCGAAACTGGCCTCGCGCGCGACCACGAGACGCAGACACACGAAGAAGTGGGCAAGTAAGTATATTTTGTCATCGCGCCGATCGTCGGGTTACATAAAGTACGCCGCGGCGGTGGGTATTTATAATACCCGCGCGCGTGTGTGTGTGTGTGCGAGTATCGAAACAGCGCGTAATTCACGACGACGAAGGACTTTATTAATCGATCGCAGGGCTATACGGTTCTCCTTTTCTCACGTATTTTGGCTTGCTACATTGATTCGTCTGAAAAAAAGTCTGACTATTTTCGTACACGCACACACGCGATAGCTGAACATCTTTGCATAGGAAACACATTATCCACGTGGATCCCAATTAATCATTGTACTTCGCGAGACACGTTACGGTGCACGATCTTTTCGACAAGGCGCACGTGGACCCAGGATACGTATATCGTACGTTCGTCACCCGAAAACGAAACAAAAAAAAACAATCACACGAGCGCGAATTACCTGCGGCTATATTGATTTCCAGCCATGAATAATTTAAGCGCGCGCTGTTAAAATGGAAATTTTATAACGCTTCTTTTTCGTGATTTCGCGCCTCTTTAATTAGGCGCTAATTGTAATATAACGCATTTGAATGTGTACCGTGATAAATCCAGCAATGTGGTATGTTTCCATTGAACAAGATCGTGCGTACATTATATTGTCCAGTGCGGCGAGTTACGCAGGAAACATAAAGAAAATACGTTTTCTTTCCTTTTAACCAGGATGTCATTTTTGGGAGTTTCGTATAGCTGTATATACGTTTCGAATTACAAGAAAAGAGAGAGCAGCGTTATTAATAGACGAACTATTTAATTGAGTCGCACACCACGTCAAACTAGGAGTATCGTAAATTATTTAAATGCAGCTTTTCGATTACACTCGCTTCTCGACACGTCTTGTGCATTTTTTTTCATTTCACCTACAGCGCGCTGAGCAAATGTCGCGCGCGCGTTAATACGAAGAAGACACCGAAGCTCATCGGATCGGTTCGGATTTGACGAAAAAAAAAATTTTAATATCGTCGCGTTACATCCTCAGCTCTCGGTGCTGTACTGCGCGGCGCGAATTACGTCTTTTAACTATCTCTCGCAAAAAAAAAAACAATTTCCAATTACATCAGCAATGGAATTGTTCGTCGCGTTCGTGTCTGTCGCGATTTTTAGCATCGCGCTTCGGATTACGTCTCTCCTCTCTCTCTCTCTCTCTCTCTCTGTGATGGTCCTCCCGCGGACGCGAACAATCGGGCGATTTTTTTTGACTCGTTTCGTTTTTACGTTCCGTGTAGATTATATATCGATAAACGTAAAAGGAAATGGCGCGCCGGTAACAAAATGTGGAAATCAGTCGGGATGCAACGAAATCCAGCCTTTTTCTACGTCGCAGAGAAGTGCGATACATAAACGGAAATGCAAAAAACTTACTCCAGACTCTATATGATAAAATATAAAAATACATATTGCAGATGTATGACGAAGTGCTATACGTATGTGTATATGGCTTATATAAAAGCTCTTCCTCGGGCACGACAGTTTCCAAACCTTGACAGTCACCTTGAGCGATCGCGACGCACCAAATTTCATCGCGTGAGAGACATAGAGAGAAAGAGAACACACCGCCAAGCCTATTTTATTTTCTCCGGTCCAAGAATGTCAAATTCCTTAGGCGGATTCGCGATTTTTCATTGTCGCAATCGCAGTCGGCGATGTCACTTTATTATTCGGTTCGGCCGCAGAAAAAAAAGTCGCGTTCGCCCGATGCGCGCGACTGGAGGCAGTTCGGTTTTCTTCTCGAGTTTTGTAAATGCATAAAATTATTAAAGAAACTGCATCATGTGATGCAACGTGCGCGACTTTTCGGGTTAGTGATCTAAAATAATATCAATTGCATCACGCGTTTGTTTGCGCGAAAAATAAATGCCCCATCATTAATGATTTATTAATTTATTGAAATTGCTCGCTTGATTGTAATAATAAGTACACATGATGATATATCTGCTTAAGGATATTTGAAAGTATAATAATAAATTTCAGCAAAAAAAAAACAGTGCGGCTTTATGTCACGTATTGCAAGTGGATGGTATAATTTAGTAACAAACGAAAAAATTGTGATACATAACATATGACTATTTTTAATTTTTACTCGTTTTCATAAGTTGGTATTTAAAATTCAAAATTAAATGATGTTTTTTCCTCCTATCACAATAACATATGACATAAAAGATGTTTGACATAAGCTAATTGAATTTCATTTTTTTTTCTTTTTTTTTTTATATCAAATTTTCGTAACGTCCATCTGAAAAAAGTTACTCTCGTTCGAAATATCAACAAGTGATCAGTATGTAAAATTTTTCGAGTTTAATAGCGTTATATAGCTCGTACACCAGCGATAAGCGATTTTTCCATTTGAAATATCGATTTTTATGAAAACGCACCGCTCGCCTCTCGCAGCGCACACGAAGAGATTCATGAATAACATGGAAATTTCTAGCCGTAGTTATAAATCGGTTGTTTTTCCAATGAAATTTATATCGGATATCTACGAGCGTACAATGGACAACAAATTAGCTGAAATTAAGTGTAAAAATAGGACGATATAAATAATGTCTGTATACAATGTGTATGTACGCAGCCTCGTTACGCACGGAGGCGATGACTTTTTAAGGAAAGAATGCGCGGAGATTTCAAGATAGAATTTTAAATCAGTGTCTCGTCGTTTTGTTGCAGCTCATTTATCGGATGATCCAATGCCGTTCGTTCTTATTAAAATATCATGTAAAAATTAACCTACTTCGACTCTCCCATGATTCCTGAAAAATCGAATCTTAATCATAATTGCTCAAAATGAAAAAAATCATCGTCTAGTTTACACTGTGCGGCGCTTGTAATCCAAGCCGCACGCGAGACTTCCGTATCAAAGCTTAAATACAAGAACTTTTTATCCGACACGCAACGAGTACGTATCTATGCCATGTTGCTTGCTTTTTTTTCAAAGCACATTCAGATCCAGTCTTCGTTGTTGTTTTTTTCAATCTCGATAATTGTGTGTGTATGTGTGTGCTCGAGTTTGAAGAATAGTTTTTCGAAAAACGTTTAAAATGAAATATCGTTTTCCTCGTTACGAAGCATGTGTCGCCGCGAGGTGCTGCTGCTGAGCTTTTTTTTTTAACATCCAGCAATCATAACATATTATGTCGCGGGTCTTTTTGTCGCACCCTATTGGAGAAGAAGAAGAAGATGAAAAAAGGAGGCAATCGATCGATATTACATTATATCACCTGCACAGATCGTATCGCGCGCGGTCTCGTGCATTATACATGAATGTCAACACAGTACGCAACGCTATCTTTTTTGAAAATAACAGCGCCGCGCAATGGGCGCCTTTTCAACTATGTAACTGTGTGGAAAAACGAAATCCATAGCCCAGCCACGAGATAGACGCGTGCAACGATCCGCGCACATACATTTTTGTTGTCATCGCATATAGAGTTATAACCCAAACAAACAGTCGCGTATCAGCTTCTTCCCAGCGGCAGATCAACTCGATCGCGCGGCGCAAAACATTGGCCGCGCGCGGGACTGACCCGGCCGCGTGCTCCACACGTTATTCCATCAGCAACAGGTCGCGTGTATTAAAGTACTTTGCCGGCGAGCATTGCACTTGTGAGTGTACGAGACTGTGCGCTATATGCACAAACACACACACACATGCATATACGCGCAGGCACGATAGTCGAAGGAAAAGCCCATTACGTGGCAAATATTACGTGATAAAGCCATTGCATTTGTTCATTATGCGGTGTGTGTATGCGTATATGTCTATGTGGGTACTGCAAGTGTGCGCGCAGTATATACAGCGTGCAAAAGAGACAGGTCCGTGACTGACTGTGCGATTATGTCAGTGGGTCACCGAAAGCAAAGCCGCCGCGAGAGGTGCACAAATACACGACACACCATATAACACGATATATCGATTTCTTATATCGCTTCACCGCGTATAACCGATCGTAAACTACAAAGCGCAAAATCGTCTTACAATGTATAAACTTTGCATTACGCGCACCAAAGCGCCTCTAAAGCGAGATGAAAATTTAAAAAAAAAGCAGCAGCAATGCGCAAAATATGCATCTTTCTCTTTGAGTCACGTTACACAATCGACGTTGTGCACGTGAAAATGATTGATTTTGCGCGGCGCCGCGTAAAATATGCTATAATACTAGCCGTTGTGTCGGATCTTTCGCGAAGAATTAAAATTTATTAATGACGAATCATGGAAAAAAAAGTAGCAACAACAATCGTTCATGGAAAATCATCTTGTGCGGACTGTTAGTATACAAAAAATTGGCTGCTTTTACGAAGTCACCCTGCGCTCACGTGCACGAGGTGTCAAGTTGCGAAGAACATTCTTAAAGATGCGCAAAACTGTAAAGTCTAACATCGTTATTTCAAAATGAAACTTGAATGCGCTCGTCATGATTAGGAAATTGACCATTGAAAACGAGGCAAATTACATTGAGGACTTGTAACGCTCCTTTATAGCGGTAGCCTAAAACTTTCCGAAATAGAGAAAGTAGCTTTGATTTTAAAAATAGCTCGTTATTACTGCGACTGCGCTCGATCGGGACCCGCCTTTCCCGTATTTACAGCGTCGTCTGTTTCCGCCTGTCCGTCTTCGCGTGTTTGATTGCTTCGACGCTTTGTATCTGGCGCGATTCTCGATTGCTCGCACGTGTTTGCGCTCAACTAGGCTAAGACTGTGGTACAAACTGTTAAATAAACGAACATTAAATTCACTGCCACAAGTGATTTTCGTGACAAAGTGATGATAATATTTTATGTATTGTAATAAGCAACTGTACTCATGTGAGTTTTTGTGTGTGTAGGCCAAAAGATGAGGGAAATTTGGTCCGACGACGAGCCGGAAGAAATGCCTAATATTAACCAAAGAAAATTATTAAAATTGAAACGGTTACGAAAAAAGGTCAACTGGGAGGTGGGACAAGAACGACTCGACTTTCTCCGCCAACACATTTATCCACTGGTCAGCCAATGGGAGGGCGAACTGCCAAATTTCCGCGACGTTTTTTGGCCCGAAGAGATCGACTGTCTCATTTCGGATTCCATCAAGGAAGGTGACAAAAATCATAATTGGATGAGAAATCGGTTCATCAATTTTATGGTCCGGACGGGTTACAAAGACGAGCCGAAAATCGATTACAACGGCAAGCCGATTGTGCGCCGAACCACGCCCCTGCATCACCTCGCTAGAAGCGGTTACTCCATCAATCTGTTCAAGGAACTATTCGAAATATACCACACGTTCACAGTTAACTACGTCGACGACACAGGTCTCACACACTTCCACGTGGCCTGCATGTACGACGATGTAGAGATTATCGAGCAATTTCTGCTGAACGGACACGATCCCAATCGCGTCGTGCCGGAAACGGGGGATACGCCGCTACATTTGGCTTTGGAGTACAACAGTTGCTTGGCGGTATATGAAAATCTGCTGCATTACGGTGCCAATCCGAATTTGGCCAATAAGGCCGGATGGACACCTCTGAACATTATTAGCGACAACGACATGATGCCGATGTTTATCCAGTTGGAAGTGCTATTTCGTCCGCCGTTAACGGTCAACGAGAAGGGCAAATTGGGCCGGACCCCACTTGAATGGGCCGTTAGGAAAGGTATGCCGGATGTAGTCAATGTACTCACGGAAAAGGGTATCGATGTTCCGAGCTTCGTTTTTCCCGCCCGGGAAGACTTCTCTAAATTTATCCAGAAGTGTCGTAAATGTTGGAATTCGGGCAAAGTAAGACTAGCGTCTGGTCTTCTGTCCATAGTCGAGAGCCTAGAGAGCAAGGGTTTTAGGCTGAATCGAAGCACCTCTATGAAGATCATGAAATTATTCGACGAGCAGGAACTGTTCGAGAATTCGAGCAATGTTGAAGAATCTTGGTACAAAGATGAAGGGTTTGCAGAAGAAGCGAAAAAAATTAAGATACGTTCGGATCTGTCGCTTTACGATCTGACCCGTTTACGACCAAAAGAGGCTTCCAAAAAACTCAAGTACATAGACTACTACCATTTTGTAAGCCCGAAAAATGTTAAAAAGTTGTCCGAAACTTACAGAAAAGCTTGTTTCGAGCATCTGGTTGAGAAACTATCGAGACAATTTTTCCAAGTTTGGGCATTGAGTCCTTTGATGGAGCTGATTCACTTCGCGCTCTCATTTGAGTGCTGTGAATTGATTGTTGATGGGCTAATGAACAGAGATTTATATAATATTTGCTTGGCGGCAAATAGTCAAAACGCGTTTTGATACCAAGCTTATAGGGTGTTTTCAGATTGTCACGAAATGGTTACTTTACCGAACAACTTATTTGCATGGAGGCATAACAAATCGGGCCCCCTATGCTTCACGTGTTAATTAGCTTGTTAAAAGTACTTGTAATTATAATTAGTTTAAAATCAAGTAAAAAAATAAACAAAAAAATATCTGGTGAAAGCGGAAATCGTCAGGTATCGAAACAAAGAAGCGGTTTTTAGTTAAATTCTTTAGTTTGCAAGTATAAATATATTGAAATTTCAGCCTTTTGTCTGTGATATTGTCAATAATCTCTGATAAAATGGTTATTAAATGTGCTTTTTCAGGTTGAAATACAAACTCTCAAGCGGGGAAATTTTATTCTTTAAAGTTACCGACGAAAAACTAAGAAACAATCGTAATTAGGAACATCATCTTTCCACCAACAGCAGACTTGGGTTGGAAGACGATTGCGAGATGATTTTCATAATTTTTGGGAATTACGCTTGTTTCTTAGTGTTTCGTTGGTCATTTGAAAGAATAAAAACTTCCCAACTTGAAAGTTTGTATTTGAACCGTAAAAAGCACATTTAATAACCATTTTATCAGAGATTATTGACAATATCACAGATAAAAAAGCTGAAATTTCAATATATTTATACTTGCAAACTAAAGACTTTAACTTAAAACCGCTTCTTTATTTCGATACACGACGATTTCCGCTTTCTCCAAATATTTTTTGTTTATATTTTTACTTGATTATAAACTAATAATAATCACAAGTACTTTTAACAAGCTAATTAACACGTGAAGCATAGGGGGCCCGATTTGTTATGCCTCCATGCAAATAAGTTGTTTGGTAAAGTAACCATTTCGTGACAATCTGAAGACGCTCTATAATCAGTATTTTTGTACGTCTGGTATTAAGAAAAAAAAAAGATTTAAAAACGAACAAAAACAGTTTTTGATTTTTCTATTGGTATTCCTATTCCTATTGGGCGTCGAAGTCAAAAAATTTTGCTCGAAAAATAATTCGATATTCGGATTCCTCGTCGAATTTCACATGAATTTGAGTTGTCACATTCAACAAAAAGTTGATTTTTGGTTCGCTGTAGCTTCGAGGTTATGTTTAAAATAAAATTCAAGGTCACCATTCGATTCCTCGTCGAAAAATGTTAGCTGGCAAATAAATTGTATAAAACTTTTGAAATAGCAAGATATTTAAGTAAAAAATGGCCTCAGAATCGTATTTAATAGAAAATATATTGAAAAGTAATGTGTATTTGTGTATTTATGAAAATGGTTGTCGTGAAATTGGATTGGGGAAAGTGGGAGGTAAACAACATGACCGTTGTAATCGAGGAACTACTATCCGCTTAGAACCGATACTAGCGATCGGTGCGAGTTTTATCAAATTCGTGAACGAGCTCTATGATTAGACTGACTACAGTCTGATTTCCATTTGGATTAAAATATATCCAGATTTTGCCTGGTTACCCCAAAAAAACTACTACGAGATTCAGCGTGATTTCATCTTCAAGAAAAGTCAAGTCTCTTTGCTTGAACTTAGGGCAAAGGAGCCTCCATAAAAATTTTATATGTGAAAGTTATATTTCTAACAAGTAAGTAACAACAAGTAAGATGTAAGCGTATCATTTGGGTGTAAAAACTCATGTAATTGACGCATGGAACGCTGGTATCGTTTCGTCTATCCCCTTTTGTGATCTATACTAAAAGCATTGGATCTTCGGTTACAATGGCCATGCTCTTCCTTCACTATATAGACATTACTTCCTAATACAATAATATTTTCCGGAATCCCCTTATGTCCTCAACTAATGAAACTCATCTGAATTCTCTCTCGATATCTGGATTAGCAAATTGGTATTTTCAACATCGGTAAATAAAGGACACCCTAATATACATGTATACCATGTTCATCGTAGTTTTTCATCCCGATCATCTTTAGAGGCGATCGATATCCTCACATTCAATCTGGAAGACACAGTTGCAATTATACATTCGACTTTGTGTGTATAAAGTTGCCTCAACGCCGTCACGTAAAAAGCCATTGCGATTCGGCGCGAGATTTTTTTATTGTTCGTCTCGCGACGTCAACGTAAAAGAACATGGCAAAAAATAAAGGTGTAGGAAATGACAATGATATGCTTGCGAGCTCGAAACAATGAATTAAGATCGAGATAAGTATACACGCTAATTACTAGACTATACGCGGACGTTTAACAGCTGTTTAACAGCGCAAACGTCATGTACATTCGAGTTTCCAATGATGCTGCACTTTTGACAGGGTAAAAATATTTTAACCGCGAAAAAAACCCATGAAACAAAAAAATAAAATAAACATCAAATTGTCTAGCCTGAGAGTCGGCTGACTGCTACTCTTGCCGCAGACACGAGAACGCGACGACTATCTGGTTGTGTTGTTTTTCTTACATTAAAAACACGCGTCAAAAGCTCGTGTGTATAAGCTCGCGCGATGACGCGTGCGAACTCTCCTGATGGTTCGGACGATTATAATTGCGCGCGGATGAGTGTGTATGTACAAAGCAAAAATGTTAACTCGATATCGATACGTCTCTCTCAAATTATACATGATATTTACGTATGTATAGACAAATGTAACGCGTAGTACAAGTTTATTGACATTTTTTTTCATTCGGTACGTAATGAGGTTTTTTTTTTATTTATACTAATCACGCAGCACTCGATAATCGATTGTTCAAAATATGTTAAGTACAGCAGCCATTTACCTATTCTGCTGCTGTACGAGCGGACATGCGTGCGTCTTGTTCTATAGGTACTCGTTTTTTGTCTTTATTTTCGTCGTAAAATAACACACACCTACAACACGCACATGCGAAGGCACACAGAGCAGAACAGCAGCAGCAATGGTATCGGCGATTATTGGCAATCGCGTACGGACAGATAAATGGGGGAGGAAGAAAACAAATAAAGCATGTACGAAATTGCCAGCGGATTCAAACGCGATTATGCAACCGAAAGAATCTCACGACTGAGTCGAAACGCGCGAGAAAGTGCAAAAAAGTCCTCCACCGACCAATCTTCGAGCGAATCCTTTTTATTTTTTAACGCATTTACGTTTATTTTACGTTTATTCGTTCGAGGCCGAGAGTGACTACACAGTCGATCGAAGTGTACAAAATTGTTGCATCATAAAAAAAAAATTTAGATAATCGAACCTTATCCACGCAAGCACACACAAAACACAAAGGATCTATACTCACCCCAAAAATGTACCGCCAAAAATGTCACCAAAGAGCCTCAAATGTTTCCTAGGAAAGCTGCTCATGTTTCGCGAGGAAAACTATTCTTCGTAACGACTCTCGCGAGCGAGAGCCGTCAAAGAGACAGCCTCAGCACACATTCTTTGGAGATTATACATCATGCCTCGTTACATGATGGGTGTTACATCCAGCCTCCGGGGGGCTTTTCTCGCGCCTACGCACCATGTAATAACTGCTATGAGAATTAAGATGAAATGTTATATTTTGAACGGTTTCGGCTTCCAACGCCAGTCGAGGCGCCATCTTTCAGCGAATCGCGCAAACTCCAGCACGCAGTCTCCGCGCGCGATTAAACAGTGACCCCAGTGTATCTACCTGGAGACTCCAGATGATACAGTGTCAGAAATAAAAGAAGGGGGACGCAGCGATATATACATTGTAGTAGTAGTAGTAGCTGGCCTGCGACCGCAGCGCGCGCGCATCAACAATGAGTAACCCGTTAATCTATAAAAGTGTGTAGCAGCCGCCACCGATAGTTTATGCGCGGCTGTCGCGCCGTTGTGCTCTACCGCCCTCCGCGAGCTCTCGTGTATCATCTCCGTGTATATATGCAGAGCATCCGGAGCAGCAAGTTCGCGCAGTGCAGTTTCGCAGCGTCCCGTAAAGAGTCTCTGTGTTTGTAAACTCGACGATTCGACACGATCTTCATCTTCGACGCGTCGCGAGAGTGTTATCAGTTTCGAAGTGTGTCGGTGCGTGTGCGTGCGCGTGATTATCGAGATTACACGATCTCGCGCCCACGTAGACGTCGTTGGGTATTATTAAAGTACTCCCACTCGTCGAGCAGCGGAATGTATGTGTTAAAGGCCCCGCGAGAGAGCATGCCAGTTATGGGGCAGTAGGAAGAAGTATATTGTAGCAGTAGCAGTAGGCAGCAGAAACTACAGACATCGTTCATGTAAGCGAGCCACGCGACAGTCTCCGCGACTCCGACTCTCGGTAGTAGTATGTGTTTGTGTCGTAAACGTCAGTACTACTGCTTATCAGTGCGTAACGAGGTGAAAATAACACGTACGACACGACGGCGGAGAACGACGCATAGTTCGGATTAGTGAATATAAAATAAAGAGCAGTGCGTTCAACGATCTGCTGCTGCATCCATGCAATATTTACCAAGTAAGGCTCCACATGTAATTATATATGCTCCGAAATGTGTAAGATGTGTTTTCTACATGTAAGGTGTGCGAGTGACTCTGTGACGTGCAGCGTGTGTATGTGTATTATGTGCATTTGTATACCGCTTGCACAAGCAAAGTGAAATTAATGCGTCCGCACGTATGGTATAGTTTCGTAATGATTCGATTGCTTCTTTTTCTGCTCTCTCTCTCTCTCTCTCTCTCTCTCTCTCTCTCTCTCCCTCGCTCGACTCTCAAAGAAGAGCAGCATAATATACCAAACAGAGAGTCCCCCGCGTGTGTGTGCTGAAAGAGCAGAGGATATTATTATCATGATGACGAGACGAGGCGACGATGGGGTGGCGGAGAAAAAGACGCTAATGCTCTCTTCGAATCGGGAGCGCGTGCCAAGGAGGAGCGACAAAAAAAGTATAGACGAGAGAAAGAAGTATTTCGCTCAACGTGAAATCCAATCTCACGCGCAGCACGCGCACACTGTCTATCTGTCTGCTGCCGTAAAAGAGTTTTTTTTTTGTTGATTCCAAGTTCGCGTCCAATCCAGCGTGATAGTACCTTAGCTAGGAAGTGCATTACCTTACCATCTATACACATATATACGGATCGATCGATCGTCGTCCTTTTTCGTGCCCTGACATACACACACACGCGCGTTACAGGGAGAGGGGCTAAAACTTTGCTGCCAGGTTGGTGCTCTTTTGCCTCTGCACGCGCTGTGAAAGAAGAGAGGAATTTGCTCCCTTGTATATACTTTTTTTTATTTTTACTTCCAGCTTGGCCTGGATACGGCATTATAACTGCATGCGTGCCCCGTATATAGCAATATCCATTAATACGCGAACAGCGTCTCTGTATTCGCAAAGTCCGAGTGTCAGTGCGCGTCTTGTATTATAATCATCATCACGGGATACACTATGATGATTGACTGATGACCTGTTTTGAATACGCGCGTGTGTATTATATACGTGAACGAACGACGCGTGCATATTTCATGCGTCGTGTATCGTTTGTGCATTGACATGTGAATTATGAGAACTGAAGTTTGTTATGATTGAACCCTCGAGCAAGTGTACTACGTACGCGTGTGTTTGTGTCGTGTATCCTTTGCTCTCCCTAAATGAGTACATCTGGACGTCTATATCTGTATAAAATACTCCGTTTTTTTTATCGATCCTAAAATCCATTTGTCAAAGAATGGATAATGACGATAAAAATTTCTTGGCTCTTGTCCTTTTTTAGAAATCCACTTTGCGCGCGATAATAAAAACGAAAAACTGGAACAAAGAAAAGAGATTACTCAAGGAGATTTTTATCTGATTTGAGACTGTTTCAATGCCTTACTTTTCTTGAAGTGACGTATTTTTTTTTTTTTTTTTTTNTTTTTTTTTTTTTTTTTTTGGATCAATTTTTTACCAAGATTCACAGCGATTATTATGTGTTGAAAGAAAAAAAAAACTAGTGCAGCTCCTATTTTTTGGCTGCTCTGCATCGATTTTCACTTATGTTTGTCATATTATGTATTTATGATGTCAGTGCAGCTTATATTTTGAATGCTTTGTTTGCTAAGGCTTCAAAATATTAAAAATTATAAAACAGTACATGATCTTGTGTAATACATAAGCAGCTCTTGCTTCTGATACTTACTTATTCATACTCAATTTAAATTTTTCAATCCTAGAGAAGAGCATTAAAAAGAAGGTATTTACCTTTTTTGAATATTCATACATTGTCTGTGAATTTTGAGTAAAAAATATTCTAACAATGTCTACCTTTTGCAAAACCTTGAATTTTTTATGAATGATTTTATATATTTTAAACTCTTCTATATTTATTAATATATTTTATTTTATTATACTTTTAGATAGTATTTATCAGCAAAACACAATCACAATGATGGAGTTAAGTCATAGCTTGATCCTTAATGAGGATGCACTTAAGCAAATTCCTGTGGCCAATCGTCCAAGGTTCATTTTTGAATGGCTCAGATTTTTAGACAAAGTTTTAGTTGCAGCCCAAAAGGTAAAAATGAATTCATTAATGAATTAAGAAAATCATATACACAATTTTTATCATTTGTATTTAAAAACATTATTACAATTGCAGAATGACATAAAAGGATGTCAAAAAACATTGGTCGAACAGCTTACCAGACATATGCAAGGGGATCCTGGCCCACCTGGTCCAGGTGGTCCACCAAGTGGTCCACCTGGCCCGGGTCCACCAATCCGCCAACTAATAGCAAGATGTCTGGCCACCTTGTTCAGCGTTGGAGATACATTTTTACTCTTTGATACAGTCAACAAGTGCAATGATATTCTGAAAAACAAAGATGATTCGCCAAGCTTTCTTCCCAAAAAATTGTAAGCATCAATCAAATACCATAACTTGAATTTCTAAGAATTAAGATTCATTAAATTCCATGAAGTTTAACGTTTTTTTCTCTTACATTTTGAGAGAGCAAAGAGAGCTATCTCCATTCATGCCAGAGTACCATTACTTATTTTTAGATTTAGAGATTCAACTGCTAATTTTAACCATTCCCATACGGCATAATGTATAAGTCATAACGAATTTAAGTGAGCTTAATCATTCTCGCATTCTTCGTTTAATCCCCGTTTTAACTGTCTCACATACTCGAAGCGAAAAACGAGAATGTTTAACAATTCCAAACAATAAACACGATCGGTCACTTTATGAAGCGCATTGTCTCGCTCAGGCTCGAAAAATGCGAGAGCCTTGGTGGCCTGCGCACGATTTTATAAAAGCTAAAACGACACGCTTATGTGTGTATATTTTTCAGAGCCGCTATCTGCTGCGTCGGATGCATGTACGAGAAACTAGGAAGAATGATGGGTCGCTCGTACGAGGAAACAGTGCAGATTCTGATTAAATCATTGCGCTCGGCCGAGTCGCAGACTCGCATCGAGATCATGCACACGCTGGAAAAGGTATGTGTGCGTGTGTGGGTAGTGCATGTGTGCGTATATACGAGCGCGCCGCACCGTTTGAAATAAAGCACATAATCGCTCGTATACATTTCCCTCCGCACGAGGAGCTATTTCAAGTATTCAGACGCACACGACGTATGTATATTGTAAAAATGTTTTAAAACACTCTGCTGCAGGTATGCGCCGGTATGGGATCCGCGGTGACGAACGTCCACAGGGACATCTACAAAGTCTGCAGGCACTGCTTGACCGATCGCGTCATGGCTGTGAGGTGCGCTGCCGCCAAAGTAAGCATCGAGCGTTACAACCTGTTTCCCTCGAAACATTTTTCTTTTTCTTCTTTTTTTCTTTTCTTTTTTTTTTGCCTCAGAAAATCGATATCACGTCGCCTAGCACGCGCGTGTACGTACGTATCCAAGTACCCCATTACTAATGATTCATAAATGTTTTGCGAAAACACACAGTGCTTACTTGAAATGCTGCACCACGCGCCGTTTCTGTACACGACGGAAATCGAGAGCGTAGCCACTCTCTGCTTTCGTGCCTTCGAGGGATCGAATTACGAGGTGCGATGCTCCGTGGCTAAATTATTGGGCACACTCGTTGCCATGACGCAACTGCCCGCGCCGAAAGGTCAAAATCCACCCGGTAAGAATCATCTCATATTGCTGTGTAAAATATACATCGATAGCTTGGCTTTTTACACACGATAAATCATTTGAAAATTTGTCTGCGGTGTGGATGTTTCTAATATATGGCTTTCTCTCTTTTGTGTGTTTTTTGCTTTTGACGAGCACAGCTGCGCTAAATAAAAATGCAAAACAAACGTCGCTGGAGGAGGTGTTGAATATATTAATGTCAGGATTCTTGCGAGGAGGTGTCGGATTTCTCAAAGGCACTGGTGAAATCATCAAGGGTAGCTCGGGTGTCAACAGAGAAGTACGAGTCGGCGTCACGCACGTAAGCACCTGCTCTCTTATTTACTTTGTCGCTGCATAGAAAAGCTTCGATGATTATCGTGTTTTCACGCATATAGGCGTACGTCGTATTCGTGCAAATGCTGGGCAGCACGTGGCTCGAGCGCAACATCGGCACCTGGGTGGCGCACGTGCTCGACCTGGTGGCCAACCCCAAGGCCGCGAGCTCCCACGTCGACGCCGTCTACTCGCGCAAGTGCATCAACTTCATACTGCGCGGCACTATCGGCAAGCTGCTGGGCGAGGGCGCCCAGGCGGCGGCCTGCAAAGAGATCGCCCACGTCATACTCAAGCAGATGAACTCTATCGACTTCAGTCCGGAGAACGCCAAGGACTTCAATCAGGAGACCCTGTTCAGTCAGCATCTGCTTGTCTGCGCTCTGCAAGAGATGGGAAATCTCATTCTCGGACTGGGCACAACCGCCTCCAATTTACTCAACGATCAATCACTGAGTAAGACGACAATAAGTTGTTACTCTTTTTTTTATTGCTCACTGATCGAGAAAATTTAAAATAACTCCTTTTTCTTTAAATAAAAATTTGCAGACTTGATTGAAACAACAACGGCTGTACTGGTACATCCCTGTCAAGCTGCAAGATTAGCGGCGGCTTGGTGTCTACGATGCATCTGCGTTGCCGTGCCGAGTCAAATCACTCCTCTGATCGATGCGTGCGTCGAACACATGGAAAAACTTCGGACGTCTCCCGAGGCCATCACGGGTTACAGCAGTGCATTGGCCGCTGTTCTGGGCAGCGTGAGATTTTCGCCCCTCGGAGTACCGCATACCAAAGGAAAGGTACGCGTCGAACTGGGTCATCAGCGATGATTTATGATTTAACGTAATTTTTTTACAAACTCTGTAATTATTTTTTCAGATTATATTCAATACCGCCGAAGAATTATTGAGAAGCGCTAGTCAGAACAGTCGTTTGTCGCTCAATCGAACTCACGCGGGATGGCTTCTCATCGGAGCTATCATGACTCTGGGAACTGCCGTTGTAAAGGGTCTCTTGCCCAGAATGCTGCTACTTTGGAGAAATTCCTTCCCGCGATCCAATAAGGAGCTCGAAAGCGAAAAGGCACGAGGCGACGCGTTCACTTGGCAGGTCACCTTAGAAGGACGCTCCGGCGCCCTGTCGGCTATGCACAGTTTTTTGCTGCACTGTCCCGAATTGGTGAACGAGGATATCACGAGGCGACTCTTGACGCCCATCGAGTCCGCCTTGGCCATGTTAACGAAGTAAGTTAATCGCTGGCACCGATTCAAATGAGCCACTTCTTCCTCGCAATCTGATTTGGTATTCCGTTTGCAGTTTGTCGACCGTATTGAAATGCTACGGGCAACAATTAAAAGCTCCCGCTGCGATGGTGCGACTTCGCTTGTACGAGACCTTGCTGCTGCTTCCTCCACAAACGTTTGAAAGTAATTGGAAACATTTAATTATATAAAAACTTGGCTTGCATTTTTCGTTCGGAATTCATAACGTGCGTTGTTTATCTTTCAAGGCTCTTACACTCACCTACTGAGAATGTTGGTGTCAGAATTCACACTGTCCGACAGCCCCGGAAACACGACCACTTCGTTGCTTCGGACTGTGTGTCATGCGAATGATTCTGTAATACTCGGCACTTGGCTGCAAGAAACCGATCATCGAACTATCGAAGATCAGGTGAGACATTTTTATGATAAACATTTCTGAACAAAAAAAAATTATTTCGAATTTTACGCGGTAAAATCTATGAGAGAAAAGTCAGACTAGAGGTAAACTATACAAATTCGATGATCCTTTAGATGGAACCTAACAGAAAAGCAGATGTGGAGCATGTAAGTAATGTGGTTTAACAGTAGAAGCTTTTGATCATTTTCAATGTTAAAATGTATGATTTGCAATTGTTTTTACCTCTGCAATCTAAAAAACATTGAAATTTCTGCTTCTTATATAGATGTAGTTTTTAGTTGAGTTAATATAAATCGAATATTCATGATTACTTCATTGACTTATATTAATTCCTGTATCATCTTCCATAGTTATTTTTACTTATTTATTACTTTTTTCAAACTTGTAATTACCATATTTATTGTACTCATGTTAAATCTCACATAGGTTTATTTTTTTATTAAACATTGTATCTTCGACCATGTAATTTTCATTGATAATCTCGTTTTTATTTGCAGTTACAACCGAACAGCGCGGCCGGCTCCGGCGCATTGGAGCATAACTCGTGCTGCTTGTATCGTCCGATTCCAGCAGTAAGTTATCGCCGAAATGATTATCCAGCGTCGGTTTCGGGGCGCTTTAGCTATGAAACTTTTCAGGACGAGTCGCTACCGGGCCCGCTGCCCCTGGGCGTCGCGGTCATCGACATGTCCGCCTCTCTCTTCGGTCAGATTTTCCCTCGCGTGGCCAACAAACACCGTTTGCAAATGTTGGATCACTTCAACGAGTGCATTAAGCACGCCAAGTCCGCCAGGCAGGAGGCCATACAGATGAACGTGTTCACGGCCGTTCTCAGCGGTTTTAAGGGACTCAGCGAGACCAAGACGAGTTTCGGACAGGATGACGTTAAAAAATCCGCTACGAATCTCATAATTGTACGTTTTTAATTCTAATTTTTGAATTGCTCGAAACTAACAATGGCCTTTGGAATTTCAGAGTTCGCTAAATAGTAGCAATGCCATTTTACGTTGGGCCGCCGGCGAAGCGGTTGGTCGAATGGCTCAAGTGATTTCCGATCCGAAATTTACCGCGGAAATGGCTCAGACGAGTTTCGACCGTTTGAAATCGGCGCGAGATGTCGTCAGTCGAACCGGACACTCGCTGGCTCTCGGCTGTCTTCATAAATACGTCGGTGGAATGGGCTCTAAAAACCATCTCAACACAAGCTTTATTATTCTACTCGCTCTGGCTCAAGATAACTCCTCTCCCGAAGTGCAAGTGTGGGCCTTGCACGCTTTGGCGCTCATAGCTGATTCTAACGGTCCCATGTTCCGCGGATACGTCGAAGTGACGCTATCTATAACGTTGAACTTACTTTTGAATGTACCTCACTCGTATATCGACGTACATCAATGCATCGGCAAAGTTTTGTCAGCTCTCATAACGGTCATAGGTCCAGAACTTCAAGGTATGGTATTTTTTTATTTATTCAAAAGGTATAATCTTAATTGAGGCAAATTTATTTTGCACAGAGAATTAATGAGAATAAAATAAAATTCTAGGCAATACTTCATCGATATGCGTGGCTCGAACATCTTTTCTATGTGCCTGCGCTATAATGCAAGATCACCAGGATTCACTGGTTCAAGCAGAGGCTACTGGTTGTTTGCAGCAGTTACATCTATTTGCTCCGCGCCACGTAAATCTCTCTTCGCTGGTTCCTACTCTATGCGTACGTTACAAAAAATACTTAAAATTATTGATAAGACGTATTGATATTAATGTTCACTAAATCCATTTTAAACTGACCAGCGAACCTTATCGAGCAATCATCTACTGCTGCGTAAAGCCGCGATCTCGTGCCTTCGTCAATTGGCCCAGCGAGAAGCGAAAGAGGTGTGCGAGCACGCGATGACCTTGGCGAACGAGAGTCGCGACACCAACGTCGTCGAGGGCCTGGTCATCACGGAGACGGGCCTGCCCGGCGTACTGTTCAGCATGCTCGACACCGAGACCGATCGCCAGCTCATCAAAGAGATACACGACACTCTCACCAGTATGCTGCAGATATTAGTCGCCAGTAATCTTTCTCCTTGGCTGTCCTTGTGCAAGGACGTACTGACCATTGCCACGGAGTCGAGTCTGCTGGACGACGCGGTGAACGCGACCGCCGAGGAGCAGGTCGTCGACAACGAGAACGTCGACACCGAGGGTGACGACGACCAAGCCGAGTTTCACGCCGACGAGTCGACCAAGCAGCGGCAAACCGTGTCGCCGCGTTGGCCGACCAGAGTCTTTGCGGCTCAGTGCGTTCGTCGAATAATCACTGCTTGCGCCAACGACAAGCAGGCGCACTTTGACTTGACTCTGGCTAAAGAAATGCAAAATAGTAAAGGCAAAGGTATTTATTATCAATGCTGAATACCATTTTAATGGTTTAGTAGCAAATTTCTTGACGAATTTAAATTTGTTTCAGGTGATTACCTCGTGTCGCATCTATCCGATTTGGTGCGAATGGCTTTCATGGCAGCAACGAGCGATTGCGATCCTCTTCGCTTGGAAGGTTTAAAAACTCTGCAAGAGATCATCGATAAATTCGCAAAAGTTCCCGAGCCTGAATTCCCTGGTCACCTACTGCTGGAACAATTTCAAGCTCAAGTCGGAGCCGCACTGAGACCGGCGTTCGCTTCGGACACGTCTCCGCACGTTACGGCCGCGGCTTGCGAGGCTTGCAGCGCTTGGATCGGTAGCGGGGTCGCGAGAGATCTGAACGATTTGCGCAGGGTGCACCAGCTGCTGGTCTCGTCGCTCGAAAAGTTACGAAACGGACACAGCCGGCCGCAACTGTACAACGAGAGCCTCTCGACCCTCGAGCGATTGGCAATATTGAAGGCTTGGGCGGAGGTCTATATCGTCGCCATGATCAACGACGGATCGACGTTGAACAATCGAGAACTGATCAATCGTCACAATCAGCAGATCAACGAGGATAGCAAAGAAGATTTCGGTGACTTTGAATTTCAAAATGAAAGTTTGCTGAGCTTGGTGCAGCCGGAACTACCAAGTCTGAGTCAGCACTGGCTCGCCGCTTTGCGAGATCACGCATTGCTCTCGCTCCCTCCAGAATTTTCGAGCCAATTACCGCACGACGGTGGAGCCTTCTATACGACCGACACCATGGAATCTGCCCGTCCGTATTACGCCAATTCTTGGGCACCAATTTTATACGCGGCAACTTTGTGGTTGAACGTGAAAGGTTTCGAACTGAATGAAACGACTGGTTCGAATACAAAATCCGTCGATGGAACCAACAATAATCAGGCTGTAAAAACTGGTTCTAACAAAGAACGGTTTTATTTATTGTTTGGAATATGCATGGAAGCTCTGTGCAGCACTCGATCGTCCGAATCCTTACAAAACATCGAAACTTGTTTGAAAGCATTATATACCTTACTCGATTCTGCCTGGGCTAGGAAAGTATTAATGTCCAATAAATCTCTTCCAATTGAACTCTGCAATGTACTACATAGACTGCTATTAACAAAAGAAGTATATTCCGTTCAAATAATGGTTATGGAAATTTTAAAGCAAGTAGTCAAAGCCAATCAGGAAGATTTGTCTAAAAAGAAAAAAGCCAAATCGAAAGAACTCGCAACCGATGAAGATGATGGTGCAGATATTCCAGAACTAGATTTACTTGGCGAAGGAGAAGAATCTGGCGAACTTCTCCCAGGCAAATCACTCGTCTTCGCCATAATGGAAGTTTGTTTTTGCCTTCTGGTTCGTCAAATTCCACCGCTAAATCCAACTCCCGGAGCAGCTACGGCTATACTGAGTCAACGAGGATACACAGCGACGGTGGAGAGCGGCAAACTCATTGCCACAGCGTTGAGTGTCATGGAAGCGCTTCCGGGTCTTTGCTCCCCAGCGGGTTCAGTGGCCATCTTACCAACACTGCTTTATTTAACGACAGGTGTCATGAGGGAGACTGCAATCAGATCAAGCAATAGCGTAATAAAAACAGGCGCTGATACTACAATTCACGCGGCCTTGCATTGCTTGAAAAATTTGACCGTAAACAAATACTCGCGCGATCCTCGAAGTCAAGATCAATGGACGACTTTCGTACAAAGTGCATTGGCAAAAGTAATAGATCTGGCCAAAGCCGGAAACGACGAAACGAAAATGGACGAGGTTGCAATGATGCTGGGAATCGCCGTTTTCGTTCTTCATGCGTTGCCCGAAGTAGTGAGCGCTCCGAATTTGCTGTTTCCTTGCATCAATCATTTCCGACAAACTATTCAATCTGATAATATATATGTGCGTTTTTAATCGACTAGTTGACATTTATACAAGCGAATCGGAACATTTTTAAATATTTTTTCTTAAAATTTTCAGATAAGACTGAAGTGTGTACAGACTCTTCGAACGATCTTCCTTCATCCAGAACGCACCATAAGTACTCCATACATTCATGCGTTAGCTCCAAGAATAGTCGAATTTTTGTACAGCGACGCAAGTAAACAACTCACTGATGAGGTGGAATTACAGTTTACTTTGGAATGCATCACAACAATTGAATGTCTTATTTCTATAGCGGAACCCTCTCGAAGTAAGAAATTTTCATGCAATTTTATGTCACATATATATATATATTTTTTTTTATAAATTCATACAATAATTCGTCATCCATAAATTCAATCATGTTTCATGCTAACAGGAAATTTGATACAAGGTAAAAGTTTTACTTAAATTTAGCCATTGTTTATTTTTAATATTGAACAATGGCTAAGAAACTTTTTTGAGTTTACTGTAATAATTGTGCTTGTTTACCGGTTTCTACATTTTGTTAGCTTTTGTCTGATCGTACTTGCAATTTTAATAATCAGCACCCTGTATTTAATTTCCACGAGAAAATTTTCAATCAAATTTTTAATAATTATTTTTTTATACAACAGTTGACTTTTAAGACTTTTATTAAATTGTAAGAATTTTTTACAGGAATTCAAATGCTTACTCTGTTAGTTCCCAATCTTATCAACTACTTACTCGAAGGCGATCAATTTCAACAAGTGAACAAGTATCAAATAAGTCTTCATCAACATAGCTTCCAATGGTTAAATAAAATTGGACCCAAATATCCTCAGGTATAATCATAAAATGGCAAAAAATTGATATTTTTATGAAAGTTTTTTAATACTATTATTCTTTAAAGGAATTCAAAACTCTCATGTCACAATCGACTGAGTTGAAAACAAAATTAGAAAATGCAGTTCGTATGAGTCATCAACAGCAAGCTCAAAAACAGAAAATGTCAGAGACCACGAAAGCCCATCTAAGAGTACCTGCGCCATCAATAACTCTAAAAACTGATTTTTCTAACTTTAATTAATTTACCAACCAAAAAATAGATAAATTCGATGAATGTAAAAATGTAGGCTCTAAAAAATTTAAATTATTGAATGAAATCATGTATAATACTATTTTTATTTATGAAGTGGGTGCATGTGACTGAGATTAAAAGTTTTAAAGTTTGATTTAAGTTATAATTTAAATAGTAATGTATAAATAATCGATATTGTGAGATGAATCCTGATTATGTTCCAGCGTGTCAATAAATTTTAAAAGATTGCAAAATTTTTTAAATTGATTCATAAACTTCATTTTCAATGAATGAAATACATTAGTGAGCTTCCATAATTTTGCATAAAACAAACTTCGAGTTCTCATACTTATACATTCACTTGATTATAAATAAATGTATTGGCAATATAGTATACGCAGCACTGATTTTCTAGTAAAATATCTAAATTGAAAATGAATGATGTAAAATTACCTTGTGTTAAAGAAAATTACGTGAGATTAATAGTATTTTTGTCATTAAAAGTGAATAATTAAGAGTATAATTTTATTAGTAAAGGTAGAATTTAATGTGTTTGAAAAATACATTTTGAATAAGCACAAAATAGGCATTTTTATCAATGTAATTTTCAAGAAATGAAGCAGAAGTCTATCTCTTCAATTAATTTACAAAGAATGTCTCGAACTATATTTTTATATGTAAAATAATGCACAAAAATACATTATTTACAACGAGGAGGCATCCTTCTTTTATATTAAGTGCCATTAGTCAATTTGCACCTAGAACCTTTTACAAAAAAAATGTCTTGCCGATTTTAATTTAAAAAAAAATTAAATGTATATAGAAAAAATATGTTATTTTTATTTCTCAAAAAATGAACTTTATTATGAACCTTGCCTAAATTTAAAAATTTATAAGTAATAACTTTCAAGTAAGTTATTAAAATAATATGCTATCTACACAATAGTATTACAAAAAATCTTTTCACTTGTTTGATATCCAAATTTAGTGGAATCCGAAAATGCATCAATCAAGAATGCACATAAAATGATTATTTTTATTATCATCATTATTTCAATTAAAAAAAGATCACTTCTATATAAATAGAAAAAAGGTACATTATGTAAAAGATAAAATTTAAAAAATCAACAGAAGGTTTTATGGAAATAACAAATTTGTAGAAAAACAAAGTGAAGTATTTTTAAAGAATAACATATAATTTTAATGATTGCATAATAAATTTAGTAATATATTACAGTTATAGTGAACCTATGTCAAATGTGTATTAAATTGTTAGTGATGAATCAAGCATATAAAATAATACTGTTAGAATTAAATTATCCTAAATATAGAAACGTCAAAATCAGTTACAGGGTAGGTTGGCACAACTATGAATTGGCTTTAAAGAGTAAAATTCGTTTCTTTGACCACAGAATTTATATATAATTTTTCGAATAGTTGAATAATAATTAAAACATTTATCTAATTGCAGAATTTGATTTCAAATTTTATATTAAATAATACCAAAATATTTAACAGACTTTCTGAATTAGCTATGATCGAATAATTTTAAATTTTCATTTTTGAAATGTTTTTATTAAACAAAATAAATTTAGGACTTGAAATGTAATGTATCAATCAAATTAAGCTGAATGATACACATACTTTACCTATATAAATAATAAAAATTTATAATAAACTAAAACCTTAATCGAATCTTCATAGCTGATGCATAGTTAGTAAGTAATTTTTCAATAGAAGGCTTGTTTAATAGAAAACACTTTTATCTTATCCAAAAAATTTTAAAGCCTTATTTTTTATACAATAATTTTAATTGACTGTGATTAAGACTTATACCTAATCTGTATACAGTTTTGGTGCATCTGTCTCATAGCCACATGTGTTGGGAACAAGAAAAACGTCTGATAATCTAAAAGTGTCAAGATTAATAACAACTTGTTCTTCAGTTTTAACCCAAAATATATTTGTAGTTATATTCTATGTTAATTGACAATGTATTTCACAATAAAAAATACTTTATTAAATGTTTTGATGTTTTTATTTTAATTTATATTTTTTTATACATAAAAATTTTCAAATTTTCTGGTGTAAAAGTTTTAAATTTACATTTGATAGCTATTTAAACTACTATTATTTACAGTAAAAAATATACATTTCTTTATGATTATAAATGTTTTCAATTTACAGTACCCAACTATCACAGCTGTTTTCTTTTTAGTTATTAATACTGGTTGTGACAAAAATGTACAATTGCTATCCATGTATGCTTGAATATTCTGTGAATAATGATGATGTTTTGAATATTGCAAGAGGCATGAACAAAATTTTTTGTTCTTCAAATCAAGACATTTCCAATCCTTCAGTATCTTCTTCTTGACTGTGATAAAATACTATTTTGAGTGGAGGCTCTTTGACTATAGACTCAACAAGTTGTTTATCATTACACATATTGAACCATTCGCTATACCAATTTTTGATATCTTCTGTGATGGTATCTGAGGGTTCGCAATATACAACAGCTTTTCCAAGCTTTTCATGAATTATTGGATATATTTCAGCAATTATTTTCTTGTGCATGAATTGTAACCATGGATAAATCCATGTACGTATGGGTAATTTATCTGTAACTGGACTCCATTCTTTTTCTACCGTAGATTTCAATTTTTGAAATATTATTTCTAAAATATTCTCCAATATGCTAGAGGGTAATATGTTTTTCCAAAGCTTTATCAGATGAACTAAACGTTCTGGTTGGTAACACATCCAATTTTGTATAGCAATTTGTACAGTTAGCATCCATGAATCCCAAACTAGTTGATCAAACAGAGTCGTACATAGTTTATGATTGTAAAGGGCTTCATTTTCTAAAAATTCATTCCATTCTTCAAATAAAGAGAGTGGTAAGGTGGGCTGACACAACGGGTTCCACAGGTAAAGATAATCTTCTAACTTTGATGCAATAACAGAGCATGCAAGATCTCCTATTCTGAACACCTTGTATTCAATACAGTATTTTTCTTTTAAATGCATCAAGGCTTCCACCGTTTTCTGTATATTCAATCCTTCACTATTTACTTCTGTTATCTTATTTACAGCACCTAAAAAATCTTCAAATTCTTTATTCCATTGTGCACATTTCTGTGATTCTTTGCAAGTTGAAGCTGTAATTGTTTCATCATCAGTTACAACATTATCATCGAGTTCTTGTTGCTTTTCAAGAACATGTTCATACTGATAATGACTCTTTGCTTCTTCAGTACAGTCTTGAAATGTTTCAGCTACACTTTCAACTTGAACTTTTTTATGAGCCATGTTTTGATACTTTTAATATTCTTCACAGTTACAATTAAATATTATTAATGGTTAAATTTATTATCAGTATCGTTAACAACAAATCACTGTTTTGAACAAAATTTGTAGAATTTTCGATGATTATAATTCTCTTTATTTTCACACAAGCAGACTGAAACCACGTGCACTCGTTCTGTTAAGTGTTGTTTACACGCACGTGTAGAACCACCAGAATAATATATAAGCCATACACGACACACATACACCTACTAACGTACCATGTGCTCGGCTCGCCGCTCGGACTCGTCGCAGTACGCGTATTTAGCTGCGTGCGCATCTTGAGAGAGAGAGAGAGAGAGATCAAGCATGCGCTGTAGAGGCAAAGTAAAGAGCGGTGGCTCACTGGCTAGGGAGGATGTATAAGAATAAGAGAAAGCGAGAGATACAGGGGGGGAGAGGTGAACTTACTGAAACTTACCGACGGCGCTTGTGTTGTCCATCGTCCGCAACACATTCATCGGTGACACTGCATCGTTGCATGTTGTTTACATTTTTTTGTTTACAAGCATATTGCTTGACACTTATGATTAAACAATTCACTTGTTTTGTCAGAATTCGACTAAGTTTCTGAAAATGCCCAAACATGTGGTAAGGAATGATGTTTTTTCTTTAAAAAATTGTATTCAAATGAGTGTTACAATAATCTCATAATGATATTTAGTTATAAAATTTATCATTCCGTTTTAGACAAAAAGACCAAAAGTGAGCTTTGCGGTAGATACAAATGATAAATCTGCTGATCTCATGGAAAAAAATGAAACTTTAATCGAGCCATTACTTCCATATAAATCAATTCTTCCAGAAGAATGCTTGATGAATATATTTTTCTATACTGAGGCTCGAACTTTATTAAAATGTCAGTTAGTTTGTAGAGAATGGAATCAGATGATCAAAAATTCAGTATGGAAGAAAAAAGCAGAGAGAAAAGTTATGAAAAAATTTTCGTTTGACAAACATTACAACTGGCACAATTATTTCTTTGTATGCAATAATGTGCCATTTTATACAAATCTACTAAAAAATCCTACTGGCCAGTTAAATTTTAAATACTGGGATATAACAGAAGAAGGAATAGAACCTCATTGGACTTATGAGTATCTTGGTTACGCTGATAGACCTCAAAAAGATATATCTTATTGTTTTACATTGTTATCTTCAAGAAAATGTTACATGGAACAGACAATTCTTCTGAAAAATGAAGGATTCACAGAATATGTGCTAGACTATTTACAACCCACAATAAAGGTAACTGAAATATACACTGAGTAGTAACATTTATTTTGTAAATAAAATTAAAAATGGTTCATTTTACAGTTCACTGAATGGTACATGTCTGAAGATGAAACAGCTATGTATGAAAACTGCATTAAATTGTTAAGAGATCAGAGGTCAGATCGAACTGCTATAGAACTACTGAATTATAGGAAAGTAATTCGTAGTGACCAAATGCAACGATGGTACAAAGTATGTTTTACTTATGCAATAAAGTGTTCAATTGATTCATCGTTTCACATTTTACAATTATCTTATTTGCCAACAGTTTACTCATGAATTCAAAAACTATGGAAAGGGTGTAAGAAAAATTAAATTTTGCCGTGGTTTCAAAGAAAGGCCACTAGTAGGTGGTTGTGTGAAAATGGCCGGAGCTTGTATTGAATTTATATTAGAAAAATGAATTTTTTAAGATTGTTGTGATATTGCTCAAAAGTATTTTTGTAAATAATCGACTAAATTAATTTGATTTATTAAAGAATAAAATTTTTGTAATTGTATTTTGCAAACCAAACTGATCATAAATTTTTTTTCATATGAATGTAAATACATAATCGTCGAGCTAATGGTTCAAGTTTCTTGATCAAATTTATAAATAACTGCTCGATTATATCCACATAAGATAGCTGAATTACCGGAAGGGTGAAACCTAGCGTCAACCATTGTCATTCCTTTGGGAGTATTTAAGCAGTTTGTATTATCAGAGTTCCATTCAAACATACAAGCACTGTCTGTAAAAATGATCAATTTAGGATCAACTGGATTCCATTTTACACTAGAAATTATGTTTTTTAATATCAATACGTCAACAGCATTTGTTCTTATATCCCAAATCCACAGTGTCCGTAAATAATTTCTATTCCTTATGGCTAAATATCGAGCACAAAAACTAAATTCTAAAATATCCATTATTTTGATTGGAGACGAATAGGCACTCACTCCTAATGAGTTTTCATTTTCATCAATTGGAATATTAACTGGACGGTTACTTACTTCTTCAATATAACGACTACCACTATCAATAAAAATTGTATTGTTTCCTTTCAACATTTTATTACTTGTTGTTTTGAGATCTACCTTGATGATTTCCTTGAAAACTCTTATCAAATAATCACTCTCTTTAATAACTGGTTTCAATCTTATGTTTAGCAAAGGTTTCCAAGTAATATAACTAAGAAGAATAACTGTTTCATTGTGACCAGACACAGCAAGAAATTGTCCATTTGGCATCCAGTTAACAGTCTCTAATCCTCTCAATTCTTCGTTAAACTTTTTTTTTGATAATTCATCTAAAGTTGAATTGTACACATTATCAAGAGGTTGAAAAATACCCTCATAATTCTCATTAGCAATGGAATAAATTATGAGTTTGGCAAGTCCACTAATTTTGCACCATATGCTTACAAGCTCACTACTGGGTGACCAAGCAAAACCATCTACAGAACTAAGCCCTTTGCATATTAATTTTCTGCTGAGCAGCCAATCTTTAGTTCTGTACACATCAACATCATCATGACCTTGACCATTAACGATGAGTGCTAAATACTTTCCATTTGGACTGAATTGAATACCATTAGAAACACTGGACTTTAAATTTTGTATGTAAGTAACACTGTGACTTTCTAAACACCAAATGGAAATTTGAATTTTAAAGTTAGACACAGTAATAATATGTTTGTTGTCCGGTGCCCATATAACATTCTCCAAGCCTGAACTACCTTCAGTTAGTTTGAATTCCCAATCGGGGTAATAAATGGAGAATATTTGCACGTAACAATCTTTGATATTGTAGCAAAGCACATAATCACTTCTTGGAGACCATTCGAAACCCTCGATGGTATATTTGAAATCAAAAGTCAGACAAATATCAAGAGTAGTGGCATTTTTGATGATTAATTTATCATGATGAGCTAAGGCGAAAAATCTACCATCCTTCGAAAAATCGCATAATTGCTTGTTTATTCTGAAAATTTCACAATCATTTCCCATAATGAAAAATGGAAGTACTTAAGTTTTACGGTGTTGACAGTTGACAGTACTTTTGTGTATTGTTTTGCCGGCATTTTTCCTAACCTCGCCTAGTGCTAGTGTGTTGCACGCCCCCACCGGCACCACCAGATACTCTTATTTATTTTGCCCCGGGGGCCTATGATTTTTTATTTAAATTCAGGATTAATTACTTACAATTATTTACAAAAGCTTTTAGTGTTTATGCACAATAAATACTGAATGTAAAATTTTAAAATGCTTGTATTCTAATTTACAATAATTTTTTTAATAAAATGGACGTGAAATTTGTCCACTCTCAATGCAAAATTCATCGATCTGTCATCTGCATGCTGGACATTGTGTTGCGATTCTTGAATCGCTGACGTTTTAGTGCTGTCTTGCATTTGAACCTTTTTATTAAGAGGTTATATATTTGTTTTTGAAGGTGTGATTCTTCTATGCTCATTTTTTTCGTAGAGATTAGATACTGGCTATTTTATAATAGATTTCACATAAATAATGGCAGAAGAGCAAAAAGTAATTCTCGTCACGGGTGGTACTGGTTTGGTAGGAAAGGCCATTCAAACGGTGATCGAAAATGATAAACGCTCGGATGAAAAATGGATTTTCGTGGGATCAAAAGATGCAGATTTAAGGTAAAAAGTCGAGACTACTATATGACATAGAACAGTTAACTTATTCAGATTGTTTATTGGCAGCTCGAAATCAGACACAGAAAAATTATTCAAAGAGCATAGGCCAACCCATGTTATACATCTTGCAGCAATGGTTGGAGGCCTGTTTCACAATATGGCCAACAATTTGAACTTTTTTGTATGTAATTTTTTGAATATGTGACAATGAATTCGAATAATTAATTTAATTTTAATTTTTAGAGAATCAACATGCAAATAAATGATAATGTACTTCATACAGCACATCTAAATAATGTTGTTAAAGTCATCTCATGTCTTTCAACGTGTATATTTCCAGATAAAATAACATATCCAATTGATGAATCAATGGTATCTCTATAGCATTACTTGTGAGTTAAAAAAAAATTGAATATAATTTTAAAAAATGAATTTTTTTGTAGATTCATTTAGGATTTCCTCATACGTCTAATTATGGGTATTCTTTTGCCAAGAGAATGATTGACGTGCAAAATAGAGCATATTTTGATCAACATGGCAGAATTTATACTAGTATCATTCCATGCAATGTATTTGGACCACATGATAATTTCAAACCAACTCACAGTCATGTTATTCCTGGATTGATGAGAAGATTATATGATATTATTAAGACTGGTATACAACTTAATGCCTTTCTTAAGTCTCTCAGACTCAGGAAAAAATTCAAGCATTAATTATTTTAAATATTTTACAGGTAACACAGAAGATAAAGTTTTCACTGTGCTTGGATCCGGAAAACCTTTACGACAATTTATATACAGTTTAGATTTGGCTAAACTTATAGTATGGGTGTTAAGAGGCTATGAGTCTGTTGAACCAATTATATTGTCAGGTATTTTAATTTTTTTACTTACAAGTAATTTAAATTCAATTAAGAGTATATTTTAATATTAAATAAATTTTAGTCGATGAATCAAGTGAAGTAACAATAGCTGAAGTTGCAGAAGAGCTAGTTAAAGCTTTTGACTTCAAAGGCAGAATAGAATTTGACAGCTCAGCTGCAGATGGTCAATACAAAAAAACTGCTAGTAATACTAAGCTTAGAAAACTATTGCCAGAATTTCAGTTCACACCTTTTCATCAAGCTATTAAAGAAACGGTTGAATGGTATAAATCAAACTATGAAAATGCCAGAAACTAGAGTATTGTAAATATGTATACTATTTGTAATTAAGCTATGATGGCACTTTTCAAGTGTAAAGTTTATTTTAAAAATGTTAAGAGACAAAGAGACTATATATTTATTATTAGATTATTAGATTTATTAAAAATTTTTTTGAAAAATGTGAGAGTTGTTTATTATTAATTTTCTCTAACAATTGAAAAATGATCATGTGATGTGCACATGTTACTTTACACCGTATTCGTGGAAGAATAGAAAGGATAAAATAACATTTTTAAAAAGTTTTTTACAACTATAGTAAGAAGTGATGGACATCTACAAGCTCGTAGACCATTTGGTACGGCTGTGAGGTAAAATAAATTTAATGGGAAAATACGCACGATCAATGAGTCATACATTACTATTGCTCGTCTGTACACGCTCAAACATTGCGGCACCGGTCTTGAATATAGCTCTATAAAAGCGTCAGCTGATTTCATAACTGGGTTAGTTCTGCGGCGCATGTCTCGACTTGTCATTGTATCATAGTCTCATACAGACCACCTGAAAAGAATTGCGTTTATACGCGACAATTTCGCGTGCAAATATTTCAAGTGCCATGGGAAGTGTCATGAAAACGGAAATTCGTGAAACTGTGGGTGAAAATGGTGAAAATGGTGAAAACGGACTGGTTTTTAACTTCGAGCATTACATTCCCCAAGAACTTGTGTCTGATATATTTACCTATTTGGACATTGAGTCTTTAGTGGCGTGTCAACAAGTTTGCAGAACATGGAAAAGCCTTATACAAAGTTATGTGTGGCGAAAAAAAGCAGAACAAAAATTAAGACAAGCACTTCCTCATGATGAAGAAGCATCTTGGATTATGTATTATAAGATATGCAAACAAAGGCCTTTAAAAAGAAATTTAATTAAAAACCCATGTGGTAATAATGGATTTCGTCACTGGAAAATATTGTCAAATGGTGGTGATCGATGGACTACAGAATCTCCACCGACTGGTATACCACCACTTCCAACTGACTTGAATGTTTTAACAGAGGATTCATGTTTTGTCACTTCCTATGGTCCTTGTTGGGCTAGTCAAGAGATAGATTTGATCAAGGAGGGATGTACAGAATATCTTTTGGATAATATTCAACCTGTGATTAAGGTAAAATTGATGTAACTATAATTGTTGATTACTTTATTATTAGAATATTTTCACAGAATGATATTCTTACAGATAAGAGAGTGGTATGGGTGTAGATGGGATTGTAAAGCTGTTTATTACAATTCAATTGAATTACTAGAGGATGAAAACATATTTGATGTCAGCATAGTTAAGGCAAAAAAAAAATTTAAAGATACCTTATGGCACGAAAAACAAAATAAATGGTTCAAGGTATCAATGATGTTTTTTATTAGATGAATTTTTCTGTGTTAAATTATAATTGTATTTCATATAATTAATAATTAAATAATTATTTTAGTTTGAGCATGTATTCAAAGATTATGGACCAGGATTAAGAAAGATAGTTTTCAATCATGGTGGACAAGACAGTCAATTTTGGGCAGGTCATTTTGGATCAAAAATGACTAGAGCCAGCATTATCCTTGAAATACCAGAAACTTATTCAGGCAAAAATGATTTGGATAATTCAACACAAGAGGCAGAAGATTGATTTTTTATTTTACCTAAAAAAATATCTGACTATAATTATTTACAATGTTACCTCTATTATATACTTCTTGATAGTAATTTTTAATACCATGTTATTCATAATGTTTGAGTTGCTGGCAAACTTACTATGTGCATATTACAAATGTAAAAAAAATCCTTCTAAACCTTGCATTTTAAAACTGAGCAAAAAGTTCATACTGTGAAATTTTTGAAAACCTAAGAAAAACAAGAAAATTAATACCAAATGTAAATCTTATCTACTGAATCATGTACAGGATCTATTTTTGATAAATCATAATACTTAAGACTTTTTTATATATTACTTGAAAATGAACTTAATATAAGTGATAGTATTTTTTATTTTCTGCAAGATCATAAAACAATTTTTATTTTACATCGATCTTCAGACGTATAATTTATTTAGATGTTTAGAACCATCAATTTCGAAAATGGTCACTTCAATTTTTATCTTGTAAACTGTTAACTTATCAACCTTAAATGTTATGCACATGAAATACATGTAAGTTGATTTTTTATGCAGTGTTTATTGATTATTTACTGCTCTTTAAGTATTTAATTATAAGTGTTTCTTTTATTTTATATTTAAGTAGTAATCAACCAAACAAATGTAATAAATCTTTGTCAGAGTTGAATATGATTTCCCAAGCAACATTTTTTACTGAAAAAAGATGAAAAAAAGTGAACTAATTGTATCGGAAAAAATTGAATGAATAATTAATTACACGTTTAAAATTGAAATGATGTATATTTTTATTTGCAAAAATTTATATTACTATCCTTTTTTTGCAACTACATAAAAATTTTCCTTATGCGCTTCACAAGTTTCTAATACAATTATCAAGCCGTAAAATTGTAAAATACAAACTACTTGTTACCAAGTAAAATATCTCAATCTGTACAGATTATACAGATATTGTTGGATTTAAATCTGACAATTCGAAATGCACGCGTGTAGCAATGATCCGAAAATAAGAATGAAAATCACCTCGCGACCTGTACCATTTTCCTATACTCTTGCACTGCCATAACGACGTTTGGGTTGACTATTTCTTGTGCGGCTGTTATCGGTGGATTTTTCGAGTACAATTCAATCTGAGATCGCACGCCATTGTACGAAACGTTTCTGTTGTAAGGTGAGCTCGTGGCCTTGCTCGTGGTTTGTTTCATCGTTGTAATTCGCGCTTTACCCACTGCTGGATTGTACATCAGATTGTCTCGACGTTCGAGGATCGATCGAACATTAACCGGCATTTGAACCAGCGTGCGAAATCCGAATCGGGCTATTTTCTGACTTATTACCTCGTGCTCAGCAACGTCCGTTGGTGAGGCTCGATGATGTACCGTGCCCATGAATCCGAGCAATCGAGCTCGTTGCTCGGTCGTTAGACGATGCTTGGTCGAAGTCATTTGACCGGATGACTTCGTTCGAACCCGATCTTTTTTCTCGGCTTTATTGATCGCCTCCGGAGGTGGTGTCTCGGTCGCGACGATTTTCAAGAGATTCCTCTCGATCGCTTGAGCGTCGGCACCTTCGAGGCTCGAATGATCCAAATTCTCCAAGATATCGTTGTACTCGCTCACGAACACTGGAAGATCGGTATTGTTGTTTGTTTCGTGAATCGAATTGTCGCTTGGATTTGGTGCATCATCGAGTTCGATCGCTTGATGGCCTGTTGGTTGGTGGTGCGGTAAAGCAACTTGATTGATTGCTGTATTTGAGTTGATTATTTGATTTTGTGTTGGAATCTGAGAATCATTATCGCTATTTGGTTCAACTATTTGATTATTTGTCGGATTGAAAGTTGAATTTGTGTTGATCGTATGGTTTTGTGTTGGAATCTGAGAATTATTAACATTAGCTATTTGATTTTGATGGTGATTCGGTACAATTATTTCATTATTTTCTGGATTGAAAGAAATATTTTTATCGACAATTTGCTGTTGAGTTAGAATTGGAGAACTATGAACAATGCTCGTTTGATTTTGATTATGCTGTGGTGCATTCATTTGACCGTTGGTTGCATTAAGGGCAGTAGTCGAGTCAATCATCTGATTTGGCTTTGGAATCGAAGAATTAATAAAGTAACCTGCTTGATCGTTAACATTTTGCCCGATATTTTGGTCAGTCATTACATTATGATAGAGATCCAAATTCTCGTGCTCATCGTTCACTGATGTTGAATTCGATGTTATGGTATTCACACAATTTTGAGGCAAAATCTGAAAATTTGAAACGTGAACTGCTTGATTGTTATAGTTCGATTCAACTTTTTGATAAACGTTTTGATGGTCAAAATTTTGTTGAAACATCGGATTAGTTACTCGATCTTGAGCATAATTTGCTTGAAATTCAGCATTCTGATTGAAATTCGATTGATGCCCAGAAGAAGTCCAATTACTCGTATTATTCTGGGTATCATACTCGGCTCCTGCTTTTGCTAGCATATCATGCTCATAATCTTGTGTCGGCATTGGAGAATTGTAATTTAGAGCCGATTGATCTTCATAGTTCGCTCCAACGTTTTGGCCAGTAATTGTTTGTTCAACTACTCCGTTCTGGGCATAATTCTCGTAATTTACTTGGAATTCCGATGTCTGGTTAAAACTCGATTGATCCATCGAAAAATCCAAATTATCCTGAGTTTCCATCTCGGTCACATCAGAAAACCAATGTAAAGGATTCAGACCTTGCGCATGAATCGGACTGTCATTTTCGTATTTGGTCTCTTGCTGGACCGTCAACGCCTGTCCGTTATTTTTGACGTATTCTTCATACTCGCCGTCCAAATGATATATTACATTTTTAACGAGATCGTCCAAGTCGTCAACTTTGCCACCTAAGTTCGGCTCTGACTGGGGCTCGGATAACGATGCCGATTCCATAATGCAATCAATTTCGTTCTGATTAAATTGCAGATCGTGTAAATTTTCATTGTCAATGCCAAATTGACTTTGATCCGTAACAAATCGATCGAAATTTTCACCAACTTCCTCGCCACTGGATTTACGTAAGTTCAATAGATTATCTATAATTGCGTCAGCTTCTTCTATTTGTTGCTCGGGATTATCGAAAATCGAGTCTAGTTCAGCAGATGGCGGCGATCCAACCGAAGCAGGCGGCGTGAGCGGACTGTAACCGGACAGCAAGAAATTTGTAATTTGTTCCTCGGCATTTTCGTCTATTGTACTCTTGGCGGATTCGAGCGGCATGAGGGCGTCGTAATTCGAGTCGAGAAAATTTTCTTCACAAATCAATTGATTGTAATCCAGGTCTTTGTTTCCGCATTCAGGAGAGTAAAGATACGAAGGCGGAGATGATTCGTCACCACTATATGGGGGTGAAAACTCGCACTGCAACGCTTCGTTGCCGTACGGATAATTCGGCGGCGATCGCGCGTGATCGTACTGAGAGGCTTCGGGCGAATACATGGCTGTATGTTTTTTCGTCCGCACTTTTTTTTCTATCAAACGCTTCTGCTCCGAGCCTCTGTTAATCAAATTTCACTGGCGTTTTCAGTCAATGGTATAAAAGTCGAATTTCACTTGTTTCGAATTTGTTTACTTGTAATGATCTCGACTATGTTCTACTTTCACAGTACTGTTTATGTTTTATTTGTATGGAGTCAAAGAATCAAATTAAAATTTTAGCGTGTGATCCCCACGTTTTTCTTGACTTTTCTATTTTTTTTTTTTTTTATTCTGAAACAAGTAAATTAAAAATCCTAATTGGTTTTCCAAAACAACGCACGGTCGANTTTTTTTTTTTTTTTTTTTTGTTTAACGTACGAGAAAACTTCGCTTCGGAGGATTCGAACTTTAAGACACCATTACAGATTGAAAATTGTAAATCGTAGATCGTTGGCGATTTTTGCCATAATATTGGCACGATTCGCTGATTTCGTGAGCCAAGTTACGCAGACACTGTCTTGAAACTTGGAAAAATGTATCGTCGAGCCCTGCTCTCAAGATATACGGGTTTGACAGTAGTAGTGGGAATAGAGAAAGGTACTCGATGTACGTAAATAATGGTAATTTCATAACATCGATGAGAGCTTATAGCAATCGAAGTTGAATTCATACTTTTCAAACGACAGATGAACGATCGACAACAAATGAAAATAAAAGGCACGCGCGCGTAAAATTAAGAAATGTTTCGTCATCCTTAATGATAATTCTATCACAATTGATACGCTCTTATTTGGTAAAGAAAAAATTGACTTTATGCTGAAACGAATAACGATGAATTAATCTTCGCGAAATGACTTAATCATTCGTGTGTGTTTTATGCAAGGGCATTTTAATCGGCGACAGCTCGCTCCAAACGATCGAGAGCCAATGAAGCTTATATATATTGACACACACTCGGCTATTCAAGCTCGGCTGCAATATGCATCGTTATTGAGCCGCTCGTCGTCGAGCAATCGAATTAAAGACATCGGCGGCAGCGAGAGAGAGAGAGAGAGAGAGAGAGAGAGAGAGAGAGAGAGAGAGAGAGAGAGCTGATTTATCGTGAATATTCAAATCTCCGTGATCGACGAAATTTCCTCTCTCTCTATATCTCTACTACCCCATCTTCGTCGTGTGCAAGCTCGCCTTATATTCCACGCCGATCCACACACATATATATTTGAACGAGCTTAAACTACTGCAGCAGTAGCAGCAGCAGCAGCAGCAGCAGCACATAGAATATGTATAGTAATAACGACGCCGAGCAACACCAGAAAAGCTCAGCTTTCGGCTCTCTCTCTGCTGCTTCCCTCGCAAGCTTATACTGCTACTGCTCTGCGGTGTACTACTACGGATGCATCATCCACGCAGGCGCTTCGCAGCCGAGCCATGCCAGGCAGGCAGGCAGGCAGGCATACAGGCAAAGCTCTCGCTCTCTGGCTGCCGGGGCACACGCCGCTGGCGAGTCGGGCGCTCAGCAGCCCCGCACGTATACATATAATAGTGGCATAGAGTAGAGCAGCGCGCGAGCGCGGGGCAGACACAGACCGTGCGTATATATACATATACCTCCGACACAGGCATTGTGTGCCAGTGGTAGCGGTATCAGAAGTAGCCAGAGACGGAGTCAGTCGGTTGTGGCGCGCCTCCGCTACGACTGTACGCGCGTACCATCTCCCATTATCTAGCTGTATCCAGTCGCGGGTGAAATTTTCGTCGTAAAAAAAAACAGCCCCTCCGCGTGTGTGCTTCCTTATAATAATACACGCTGTTGTGCTTGTGTCATATGTACCTGTGCAGAGATCATGATAATGTATGAATTTGCATCGTCGTAAGCACACGTGCTTATACCCCTACGCGTGTGCGGCTGTTTTTCCTTTTACACCCATGTGCGCGGGTCAAAAATTTAATTAACATACACGAAAGGTGAAAATACAAAAATAACGTGATTGTTGCACTGCTGCGTTTCTGCGCTTTGGCTATCGATGACGAGGACCGATGCGCGTATTCATTATACGTTATGAATTTTCGCGAACGTGTATTAATTACAACACGCGCGAGGCGCGGGGATATTGAAAAAGCTCGATACCCGCGCGCGCGCGCCCGATCAGCTGAATTTGCGTTTACAGCGATTTCAGAATTTTCATGTGAACGCGAGTTCGCGCTCCCGAGCGTGAAATCAAAAATTAACAAAATGATTGCTATTCGATTGTAGAGTGGCTTTCGTGTTTTATTAAAAGTAAAAATATGCCAATCAAATTTTGTAATGTACGTTAGTTAATACCCTCTTTTTTTTTCCTCCATTGTGAAAATGCTTGCACAGCTAGCATATAACAATGATGAAGAAAAAACTTTTTTGTTATTCACGGAAATCAAAGGCGATAGTCGATAGTCTCTCGCGAATGATATTAATTAGCATGCGCATCGCCAGTCAACGGTTGAACGTTGACAGTATACGAGTTGGCATTTTTTCCACGTCTACCTTGTGCTAAGCAAAAAAGTATTGACACGCAGCTTTTGTAATTACTCAAATTCTTGAGAGACGATCCGGGGTTTTTCTATGCGGAGTATCTTACGTGTTCTATGAAAATTTTTTCGACGTTTGCTTATAAAATCGACTGTGTACGTATAATAACGTATCATATACACGAGACGAGCAAGACTAAAAATAAATTGTATACATACCTATGTTTTATTTTAAAATACCGCATTAGAATTTCTCTGAATAAGCATCGATCGTAATTTTTTTTTCGCGTATACATCGTGGTACAACGAACTCGGAGACATTTCTCCATTCGAATAAATAAAAAAATAAAAAAAAAGTAAAAAATCCATTTGATATCTCGTCGCATGCATACAAAAGAAGTACGAGTATTTCATTTGGCGCGTCGGCACGAGGCGGCTTTCTTCGCGCGCGTATGCACGCGCCTAGCGTCTTATCATATTATATACACCATTCCCCTTGCGCTCGGAAATGTATATGCACGTATAGCGCGATGGAAAAAAATAAGAATCGCTTTTACGAAATCGTCGTCGTCGTAGTGCTGCTGCACTATAATATTGAATAGCATGCAAATTCCGGCGCGCAGCGCAGCCAGACAGATAAATTATAATAATGCCGAGGATCGCGGAAAATTCAGGATTAACTTTTATCATCGAGCGCACAATGAATGCATTATAGTTTCGCAATGATTATAATTTATATAAGCGGCATGATTAACGCCCGTCGAGTTCGAATGATTCAGCGAAATATATGTATATATGCGCGCATCGACAGTTATCGATAGCCAAAGCCTAAATAGCACATATAGCGTGCGACGAATTAACAACGTTGAGCAACGATTTATTAACAGGTTTTGACGCGCGGATAGGATATATTGTGAGCCCCAAAAACGCACGAGTGAAAAAAAGAGGTGAATCCGGTGTGAACCGAATAGAAAAAAGTTAATATAATACGAGAGAAGAAAGAAACGAAGAAGAGAAAAAAAAATTGAAATATTGTGCGCTTCGGCCCTGGTCCGCGGGTTTTATGGAACTCTGTATAATATACTCGTGTTTTGCATGGAAGCGTGTGCAGCAGCAGCTCGCGCCGTGTGTGCGCGCACGCAAAAGTCAATTAAAAGTTTATAATAGTGTCTGAATAGTATCTAACGTATTATTATTATTATTATATATACACGCGCTGTGTCGTCTATGGCAGTACCGTGCGATATTTCGCGTGTGTGTTGACGCCACTGCTGCTGCTGCCGCCGCTGATGCTTCTATTATACACGGCAGAAACCCGTGTGTGTGTAGTCCTCGTACGTATATATAACTATACTCTCTGCAGCCGAAAACGAAGAGGAGTTGACGAGTTTCCGTCGAGAATTGGGTGAGAGAGCAGCTACTGCATCGCTTCCGTGCATCGCTGCTACTGACGAGCTACCGCTTTCAGAGCTGCGCACAGTAGTGGATACGTGTTTGCCGGGGGAACAATTTCGATGGACCTCGAAGCTCTTTCGCCAGCTTGATTGTGCAGTACGTATATATATCGAGCTTACACTTACAGAAAAGCTCATCATTTTTTCCCTCTTTTTTCCCCGACGCTCTTTACCCATCTGCACGTGTGTAGAAGAAACGAGAGAAAAAATTCACTGCAGTTAATTGACTGCTTTTCAATTACAAGCTCGTTGAAAAACGTCGAAATACTCTGTATATACGTGTTTCGCTAATGGACCGGTTTAGTTTTTCTCGCGCGAATTGCAATTCGATTCTCATGATTGTTGAACTTTCCAGCCGCGCATGTGTGTCGATTGACGTCGAGTCGTCAAAATGTTTTCGTGACATTTGCCACCTCGAGAGTTCATTCGCACGCTCGCGCGCGGTCGCTACTTTTTTTTAGCTTTTGTATTTTTGTATTGACGGAAATAAAAAAGGAAACGTACGCGTATATATACACTCGGCTAATTTTAGAAACAATACAATCCAACGAATATAGTTTTGCGCACTCGCGAAAGCGGCCTATTGCATCCGCATTAATCGCACTAGTCCACGGGGATAGAGCAAATAAATAAATATAATAAACGATCAAACGAAGAGCGGCGCGCCGAAACAAGCCAAAATCAACACGCGCGAATCTCTCTCTCTCGCCGAGCAATTTTGCTATTGCTCTATATAAAGCTCGTTTACCTAAAAGGTGGTCATTAGAGGCGGGCGCTAGATAGAGAGAATAATTAAAAATAGAAATGCTTTTGTACGTATACCGAGAGCCGCATGTATATACCTATATGTATACCTGTGCGCGCATCACGGACTCATCTATAAACCAACACCTTAATGACGACGAGAGAGAGAGAACTCGAGGGAGCTAAAAAACACAGTAAAAGACACGCGACGCGACGCTAATCGATGTTGCCGCCGCCGCGACGAACCAACGCGAGAAGAAGATGAAAAAAAAAAGAAGCGATGCACACGCGTTCGTGAAAAGCTCACGTGTGCGCTGGCGTCACAAGATCCGCTGTGTGTGTATTTTGTGTACATGAAAAAACGTCAGAAGTCGTGCAAACATAATAATAAGAAAAAACGTCCAGACTCTCTGCTCTCGAGATCAAATATGCTTACATATTGAGGATCAATCGAGATGTAGTATACATAGGTCAGAACGAATACTCGAGGGTTTTGCTATTTATAGAAGATATATAATACGGCGATAGATATTTGGAATTACTTCGCTAAATGCCACTGAACTGCTAATCCGCATTTGCTCGCTGGCTTAAATATTCAACGTTTCGCTTTTATAATTTTGGCGTTGGTTTATAATCTCGCCTCGTATACGCCAAGCTCGATTTTACAAAACAGAGACTTTGTTCTATTATCGATGGCCGTTGTAATTACATACTGTCGAGAGTATTCAGAAAAAAAAATGGCAAGCTCTTTGACGTTGGGTATATAACACATATAGAACAATTTATACAACGTTGAAAAATTGATGAAAAAATTCGATTAAAATCGCTGCATTAATTGCCTCGTTGGTTTTTTCAAACTTTGATATCCAATACCAATCAAATTATAAAATTTTCATCGTATGAATTTAAAATGAGAGCTGAACGATAATACGGATGTACATTGTACATTTTAAAAATATAACGGGCATATTCGACGAAAAATTGTAAAATAAAAAAGATGATAGGATCGTGTTATATACGAGAAATAGGAAATATTGTATATGAATTCCACGATCGCATAAAGTACATATTACAACGATATTAAATGAAAAAAAAAAGGAATAGTTTTCAAATATGGTACCGGAAGAAAACACGCGCGTATTCAGATTCGAGATATGCTCACGATAGTAAAATGAAAATACTGGCACGACTGAATTTTTTTTATTGACTGACTGCGTATTACCGAAAAAGATGTCTGCGCAAGTGTATACTTTACTTTTTACGAGCTTGCGTATGATAGGGGAAAAAAACTGACCCGCTTCTGCTTCAGTTATTACATTTTCAACGATATTCTTTGTTAGCCATATGTATGTTAAGAATTGCAGCATTATATACACGAGTAGTTGCTCAAATTTTCAAGGGTTTGGCGCAATTCACAGCGACGATTAATTAACCGCCGACTAAAGTTACTCAATTGATTTCGCGATTCCTGCAAAATGTTTCGGAGTTGAGCATTTTATACGTGCCAGGCGTTGCATCAAAAGAGGTTATTACTATATACCCCGAGTTTTATCGAGCATGGACGTATACTACATACACGTATGCGCACATCAACTCGAGCAAACAAAACGCATATGTATCGCTCATTTTTTTTTTATTTCACGTGTCAAATCGATTACGATCTAACTCGCGCATCGCTGACCGCTGCCACTGCGACTGACGCCATAAAAGCGAAATTATACTCTCGAGAATTTCTACTCGCGCGCGAAGAGTCGTGAATGCGCGCGAGTCCTATATATATCTAGACGGCACTCGTCGCGCTTTCATTATTTCAGGCAGACGTTTTTTTGTCACGATTTTTTCTCGTGCGCGCGTGCTATAGGATAACTGTAAAAAATTGCTATACTTGGCCCGTAAAAAATAAAAACGAGCTTCATCACGGAAGGTATCAAGATGCGAGAAGCTCGAACTTTATGCTCGAAGAATCAAGTTTATCATACCTATTTTATGTATTTTATGATTTATTTATCAAGACGAGATACTGTCAAAATTTGATTTACGTCGAAGGAGCCAAGATTGCCATATAAAAATTAAGTACTTAGATATTTTTGAAGACTTCTTATTTTTAAATTATACCAAATAAATTCAATTTGAAAGTATTTTTATACTAGTTATTTTTAAATTCAATATGTAGCTGCAAGAACAACTTTAGTTGCAATGAAATTTCTTTATATCTCTTTTATATTTATACTAAGGGTTGAACAACAAAAATGCATACACAATTTGGGATATTTTACTTCGAACGATCGGGTGCGAATAAATAAAAAACTTGAAATTTTTTTTTCAATATTTTTTTTAAATTTATTCATTAACATTATATGAAAAACCAACTACATTTAACAATACCAAACAATTAAAAATACTGTAGACATGAGTACCATTACAAGAATAAAAGAAACCTTTGTGATCTTCATTGTACATAATCTTGTAGCTTTTTTGGAGCTTTTTTAGTTCTAACAGGTCTTTTATCATTACTTTTTATTATGTTTTTTGTTGAATTTTCGTTACTGTCTTCAGGGTTTTGGTCTGCACCCGCCAAACAAATACGCAATAAATCTTCGTTTATCAGATTCTTGATAATCATGTCACAGCAGAGAATTGGCAGTCGGTAGCGGATCAGTTTCAAAAAAGAATCCCGTGCCCATCGTCGGCAAAATCTTTTTGATAACTTTTCGCACAAATGCGCATCACAAACCTGTTGATACTCTTTGGAAAGTTGAAACAATCTGCTCGAGCGCCAAAACTCTAAGTAATTCATAAATGTGAGTCGTTTTTCCGCCTCTTCAGGTCGCAGCGCAATTAGATGGTACATCGAAAGGTTTGGAATTATCATTATCTCTTTCGCTACCGTCGCGAATTTTTTATCGGCATACCAATGCATTTCAAGATTCTTCGACTTCTCAAACAACGAGTACTTGGTGAATAATTTCATGATCGTTAGGGCGTCACTTAAATCCAGTTTGTATCCTCTATTTTCAAGAAGCTCGGCGACGGCCAACAGGCCAGTTGCTTGTATTAATTCAAAATTACCAATGTAACGCGACTCTGCAAAATTTCCGGCGAGATCACTCTCAGTCGGGAAAACGAAACCCGATAGATCAGCGTCATGATTTAAGAGCACATCGACCACACGTGGCAAAATTTTCAACGCGGCCCATTGAAGCGGTGTCCGGCCCAACTTGTCCACAGCATCAATCTGCACCATTAGGTGTTTTTCTTCGTCTTCATCAATTTCAAAGAATATCTCCACCAAGTCGTCATCTTCGTCTCTTTTGCAAACTGTGTGCAAAGCAGTCAGTCCCTCCTCGTTGGCTGAATTAGGGTCCGCGCCTCTGCTCAGTAGAAATCGTGTCACTTTTTTGTGTCCGCGAGCCAGGGCCAATTGCAATGGCGTGTCGCCGCGTTTGTCCCTGGCATCGATCTGCACCGTCTGCTGAATGTCGTCAGTTATCTTGAAGAATGTCTCCACCACTTGATTGTCCCATATGCTCGAGCAAATAACGTGCAAAGGTGTAAATCCGTCCTTATCAGCCAAATTAGGATTGGCGCCACTTCTCAGCAGTAAGTCGAACACCCGACCTTGATCTCGCTCCAGAGCCAAGTGCAGTGGTGGGCTGACGGTTGCTATTTGCTCGAGGCAATTGGGATCCTGTCCGAGCTCGAGAAATTTTTCGACAACCTCACTTAGACCAAACTGGCAGGCTATGTGAAAATGTGTCAAGCCATTTTCGTCGACGTAGTTAACGTCGTACCTGTTGAAAATTTCAAAAAGCAGATAAATGCAGTCATCGTCGTAGTCGTCGTACGAAGCCGCTAGATGCAATGGAGTCCTTTGACGCAACAGCGGTTTGCCGTCTTTATCGACTTTGGGCTTGTCCCTGTAGCCGGTCTTGTGTATAAAGTCGATGATTACTCCTCCATTGACATGTTCGGACTTGACAGCTTCCATGAGAATCCAATCGATTTCTTCTTGCTCGAAAATGTATCGAAGTTTTGGATATCGGCCCTGCCAATCTTCGATCAAGGGATAAGCTTCGATGAGAAATATTTTTCGCTCTACTTCGTCCGTCCAATCGACCTTTTCACGTTTATTTATCAATACCATAATGTCAATCGAATCATCGTCGTCGTATTCGTCGATATAATCGTCGGAATCATCGAGGTATTCTTCGTCGTATTCGTCACCTTCGCCATGAAAAGGTCCATCGGATCCGTCTTCGGACGAGGACATCGTTGTAAACGCACACACACACACAACGTACGGTCACTTGCAATATGAAATACTTTTCACTTTTTCCACGAGATTCACTGTAG